GAGGAGGAGGAGGAGGAGGAGGAGGAGGAACCCGGTTCTCCATTCATCAAGACAGAAGCGCAAGAAGGTTTGACAGCATTCCGACCAGCGATTGTGGACGAAGATCCTCGAGCCTCTTCGTCGACCACCTCGTCGGAATATCAAAGCACAGAGCGATGGGATGACCAAGCACCTACAACACCCCCTCGATACCACAATCCGGTGAATTTCACAGCGGAAGATTTGAGGCTTCGATTGTCGTCAAACTTCGGCTTGTACGTGTGGCTGGATGCCAACACCATCTCGGGGAAAGTCGAATTCGCTCTCTATCAATCGCTGGAACCGCACCTGGCGTCGATCCGTCTACGGCGGACGAAGCGCATCAATCCGAAAATGATCGACATATATGTCAACAGTGCCCGTGAAAGGGAGCATTTGATACAATGTGCTGAAAAGTGGGTACCATGTGTCAAGGAACATCAGTATGTTCACCCACAACCTCCCCCTCCCCCACCTATTCCCCCACCAACGCCCACAAAAAGACAAATTCTTGGAAATTCCAGCCCTCTGAATCGAGCATTCAAGCTCTGAGCCCTTCTCGATCTTCCGTAAGCCGAGGGTGATGGATTGAGGACGGGGTTCTGGTATCTCAATTGATGGATTCTGCACAAGATACTTCTCCCCAGCACATGCCCCACATCTCGGGGCCTCACTGCTTTCAGTCCCTCTGCCTCTTGGCCTCCCCGAATGTTTCACCACAAGTAGACACGATTGGCAATTTCGTAGGCCAAGATTTGATGCAAGAATCTATCTATGTGAGCTTCCGCCTTTTGTGGAGTCGAAACGAAAACAAAGGCGAGCCAGAGAAGCTGCTCGGAAACATAATGGTCATGTTGGGCCGACCACTCGATCATCTAGATCTGCGTCGGGACGGTATCACCCCTACAGATGATAACATTGCCGGTTACAACTTGCGAGTACGGTGTGTGTGTGAATGTGCGTATGATCAGTTGTTAGGCAGTTCACAGACTCTGAAAGTTTAGTCCAATTATACTGTTTACCCAGCTTTTCGAAGCTTCGCAGGTCGGCGCTAGTGCCTATGTCTGCCAATGCGGTAATGCACGCGTTTGCACTGCGAGCTCATCATGGCAAGAGCGTGCGAGTGCAAGCAGGAGGGAAGACCCTCTCCAAACAATATCTGAAACGGATCCAAGGGCAATATCAAGATCCACTTATTCTCGACGGAAGCAAAACCCCACCCGAAGACTACGCATCCCTGTATCGACTTAAGCAATTGTGACGAAGAAAAACTGGCTTGTTGGAAGATGGTCTAAAACGCTCTAGTTCGGCTCATCATACACACCCATCACAAACCCAATGGAGTGCCTCCTCAATACTCCAAAGAACGCAATCACACTTGCTTTGCACGAACGCGAATCCTCACCAATTGCAGCCGGATCTCAACAGATACCATCATTCGGGCATATGCAAGTGAGACTGTGGCAACCGTTCCTGACAGAAGGACAGTTTACTAGCCGTCCACAATTCTTCCGACTGTATTCATACGACGTCAGTCAGTCTTCGATCAGTGGGTGACGGAAGAAGAAGAAGAAGAAGAAGCTCACCGGCTGCAACCGTCTCTTGCACTCCGGTTCCAGTGAGCCACCCTTGATGGAGATCTCCTCGGGCGCACTCTCCGCAACATCGGATATCGGGCTCCCACAGACCCCGCAGAAGCTGCGATGCACGGCAAGGCCTGAGCTGCCCACATTGGTGAAGGTGCGGAGCGGACCATGGATATGCACCGTATCCTTGGGGAATGTCAAGATTAGGGCTGCAGGAGGGAGGTCATCAGAAGGATAGCTATGATCCATGATGGCAGCAGAACTGACCGTATGTGGACCCGGTGTTGCGCTGACAGTCATCGCAGTGGCAGTAGACCACGAGAGGAGAGGCCGGGTCGACGATGTAGGTTACTGCACGGCAGAGGCAATGGCCGGAGAAAGTCATTGTTCAGGTTTCAGGGTTGAATTTGCCCGCCCTTGGAGGACTGACTGTAGGGTTATCATGGATCTATAAATCTACATACGCATGGCATGCACACTAAACCGGATCAGGCAGCCAAGGCGCAGGACTCGGGATCCCCCACCGCAACATTCATTAAGTTATCGATTCAAGCTGTGTGGCACAACTCTCTTCGAACTTTCGAACTTTCATCGGGAGAATCCCTCCCAAAACATCACACATTTTCTCACCCAACCAGCCTTATCAAGCAGCAAACTGACTGACCAGGGCTGGAGCTCGTGGATGCCCTACAAATCACACGTGAAAATCCCCTTCCACACCCCAGAACTCGCCCCACAACATACCCCCATGCCAAGTGCATGCCACACCTGTCGCCGGCGTCGGGTAAAATGTGACTTTCGAGCCCCAAAGTGTGACCGGTGCGAGACATCCGGGGTGGAATGTCTTGGCTATGGCAAACTGATCACCTGGGTGCAAGGTATTGCGAGTAGAGGGAAGATGATGGGGAAGTCTTTCGAGCCTTCATCTACACCCCCCGTGTCCCGGAGCACGGAAATGCGTATCCATGTGCAAAGAGCCCTGATGGATCCCTTCCTACAGGACCTCAGCTCCGAGGCTCGCCATTACTTGAATCATTTCTACTCCCGTGTCTGGGAGGATCTGGTCATCTATCACCTGCCCATGCAAACTTGGAATCCGTGCAGCGAACTCTACTGGCGCTCCCAGACCTGTCCCGCCATGTTCCATGTCATTATAGCCATGGCTGCCTATCATCGGTATAACCTCATTCCATCCAAGGAGCGTGCGCAGAGCATCCTGGTCGATGCACTCCAGTGGAAACAGGGTGCCCTGGTCCGATTTCAGACAATGCTCAGCCAAGTCCAATCAACAACGTGTGTGCAGGTGCTGGTGTGCTCGATGTTGCTGGCCAATTTCGATCTTCTCGAGTCTGGCAGGGATACATGGCAGCTGCATCTAGATTCAGCAGTACGTCTGATCAGTCTTATGGGTCCTTCAATCCGTTCCTTGGCGGGCAGACCAGAAAATGGGGGAAATTTGTTCGACCAGTGGGTCATATCCAGTATTCTCATGTAAGTCCTCACCTTTTCCGTCAAACATGCACGGTCACTTAATCGGAACGATAGCCAGAGTATCTTTGGCTCGACCTTCTCCCCAAGCGTAGGACACCACCATCTGTCTACACTCAACGATCCTACCGTGAGGGTGCTTGACTCCCTGGTTTTCGCCGAGGGTAATCATTTCCTCTCTTGTCCGGCCGAGCTAGCGAGCTGTATTGTCCTAGCATTTCAGACACAAGAAGACTCCCAAACCCCGAGCAGAGACGCCTGCCAAGAGCTATACGAGTCCGTTCAACAGTTTGACCCAGCCGCATGGGCCACCGCTATGCAGTGTTGGACTCCAGTCAATGACTACCCGAAGCGATTGCATATCGGATCCGCGTACAAGACGGCCGTGGTTCTCTACCTCTCACGGATGCTGCCCAATTTCTCCCCCGGCGGTTGTACACCCGAGCGGCAGACTGGACTAGTGCAGGCCGTTATCGGCCATATCTCGCAAATTCCGCCCTCCAGCGCATTATTCAAGTCCACTATCTGGTCGTCTTTCGTCGCCGGGGCGGAGGCCACCGATCCCCATCACCGAGAGTGGGTTGCCGCCCATCTCGACGCCATCTCGGCGCAGATTCCCTGGAATACGACAGTCACTGCGACGGAAGCGCTACGAGAGGTCTGGAGGCGGGTTGACTTGCCACTGGCCGAGCCACGGTCAGCTCCAAGGAACTGGATGCAGGAATTCCGGCGCTTGAAGGTGGCTGTCTTTCCAGCATGAAGATTATGACAGTAACTATGAACACCAAAGCAGCTTACTAAGCCGCTTATTAAGCACCAAGCCTTGTCGATTCGGGATCGATGCCTCAGGCACCCAAACCCGGCTCTCCTCGATGACATCACCACTTGCTCCTCGTATTAATGCGTCTCCATCGCTTCACCGTTCAACAGACTGTACTTCCTGTACATCCATCCCACATGGTCTGACTTCAACCTTCCCACGGCCTGTCTCAGATACCATGACCGGCCACATCGTCGACACGGTCAGAGAGGACCATAATGAGATTCAAGCTTGCTATGGCCGCATCGTGAGCTCGGCCGATCGACAAGAGCAGATCCGCTTCCAGAATCTCTTCACTTGGGCGCTGGCACGCAACACCGTCGGCAAAGAGCTCGTCGTCTACCCTGCCTATGAGAAACACCTCTCGGCCGGGGCGGCGACAGCCGAGAAACGCCGCAAGCAGAATCACGCCGTGAGTACCCCGCCAGCTGGTGCGCGGAGTGCGCGGAGACCATGGACCATGATTGACAGCCCGGCTAGGTCAAAGAGCATCTGAAGAAATTCCAGACCCTGGATCCGACCAACCCCACTTTCATCCCCACGATCAAGGGCCTGATGGAAGCGTTGAGTCCGCAGATGCGGGAAGAGGAGAACAGCGACCTGGTCGATCTCGAGCAGGTCCTGTCCGATCACGACAGCATCAGCCTGTCCAAGTCGTTCAACCGGACCAAGATCTTCATGCCGTCGCGGGCGCATCCCAGTGCCCCCAGTAAGCCGCCATTTGAGACGGTCGTCGGACTGTTGACGGCGCCGATTGATCAGTTGGGGGATCTGTTTCGGAAGTGGCCTCATGAGAAGGATGTTCAAACGTGATCAGTTGATTGTCTCCTTTAACACTTTTGTCCTTTTATGATTCCCGCTCCGGCTCCTATTTTTGGATCAGACTTTCTGGGGCGAAAAATTCTACTAATACTCGGTTGCTAGCTCATAATGGATAATGTATGTACTGTGCGTAACCCAGACTGCTACAACACTTCCTCTCTCCAACCGTAAGCCCGTCACATCCCCGTCTCTGGAACCCTAGTGAGACCGCCAGAAGCCCCTCCCCCACCGAAAGAGAAGAATACACCGGCCCACCAGACGCCCGAACGCGAGCGGAAGCCCGAACTTGAACCAGGTGGCCGGCTGCCACAAGGCAGCGCCGGGCACGGCAATCACGGCGCCACGCGCCGTGGACGGCGCCGTATCCCTGACCGTGACTGACAACCCCGCGAACGCCTCGACAGCCTCCAGCATGATCGCGACCGTCGCCTCGGGCTGGCTGAGAAACGGAGAATGGCTCGTCGGCAGCTCGCGGTGCTGGACGCGCGCCCCCATCGCGCGCGCCATGCCCACCTGCATGCGCTGCGCCACCACAGGCAGGCCGCGATCCTCGACGGTGCCGATGTACCAGACGGGCACGTCCTGCCACCCGGCATAGGCAAACTCCCCGCCCTCGAACAGGGCCTTCAGACTCTGCGTCGTCAGCTGCGACACCCACACCTCCGCCTCCTCGCGCGGGAGGTCGTGGTAGAAGAGCTCGCGTGGTGGTGTGACCAGCTCCGCGTAGCCGGTCTCGCGGTTCGCCCGCCACGACGGGGGTGGGTGGCCGAAGAACGGGTCCATGAAGGCCAGTCCGGTCAAGGTGAATCCGGAGGCGATCAGGATGAGGCCGATCACGGACCCCGCGGTCGGCGAGTCGGACTGCCTACCGGTAAACCCCTTGATGGCGCTGTTGCCGACCATGCCCCCGTAGGAGTGGGCGACAACGACCACGTTGCGGCCCTGGGCGGTTTCGTGGGTGATAGCGGCGCGGGCGGCGTCGAGGTCATCCTTGAAGGTTGCATTGGGGTTGCCGGTGGTGGAGGGGAGGGTTATGGAGACGCAGTTGAGCTGATACTCGCCCTGGAGGAGTTGGATGATGGGGTTGTAGCAGGTGGGTTGATGCCAGGAGCCGGGGATGAGGACTAGGGTTGGGGTTGGGAGGTTGGCCATCGTTGAGTAGCCGTAACTTGATCTCACTTATCATCCACGTCGTATGATAACTATATAATATAGATATGGGTAAGATGTATGACAAGTGGTGAAGGATTTGTGCTATATGGAGTATGGATGTGGCTGTGGCAATGCCCCGCGGGGAGGATCGAAAATATTTTATAAAATACTTATCAATTCAACCTTACGGGTACAGTACAGATCCACCCTATGAGTTACTTGGTTTGGACAGTATCATGGCCCCATTTCCCTCGCAACGCAACAGCCCGACTAGAACTCGGATTGAGCCTGAGAAATTAACGATGAACATGGATATACTGAGTACTGAGTAGTTGCTACTTGTATACCTTGTAAAGTAGCTGGATTTGCTATCACATCATATGATCAAGATATCTTCTGTGGCCTGAGGCAGCAATGTCTTAGTAAGTCTTAGACAAGCATCAGCCCTTTCCCAAAGGGTTGTCCCAACAAAGGTTGCTGTATTTAGACGAGCAGAACAGTAATGAATTAATGAAAGGATCTTTATTCCCAGTGAACAATGAAGAGGATACAGAGGCATGACAGAAGAGAATAGAGGAAAGAGAAGTTTGAAGAAAAGAAACAATCAAAGTGCTAATCGAGGAAGAACGGGCAGTAGCATCCTGTATAGTGAGTACATAGAAGCTTTGTTGTTGCCCCCAGTGAAAGGTAGAGTGTACAGTAAACCGAGATCACATAACAGCCTCGACGACTAGATCAACCATGCGGAGTCTTAGAACTGCTGCTTGTGATTCTAGACAGATTTGAATATGCCTCGGACGTCAACGCCCTGGCGCAAACCTATCGCCGGTTCCATGACCTCGCCCATAATTGATACCTCTATTCCTATTTCGCCCAGACATGTTCCCCACAGGGTCTTCAGCGAATGGCGGACACATGTAATTGTGAGTCTTTGCGGAAAATGCTTGAGAGCCAGGTGGACATAGACCAGTTTTACACTCTTGGTTGAGCTATTGGATCGTGGGGGTGAGGACTTCATGGACTTACCATGCTGTATGCTGCGCTCACGACCGGAAACAAGGTAGCATGCAAGCTCCTATTAAAGCGACACGCGCTCCTCTACTGCAGGTGGAAGTTGAAATACTTTATCCGTGAACCTGTCCCCAGAGCGGCCATGCAGGCTGGGGCATTTGTCTCTGTTCTGGCAGGCTCTAAGGCACGCCAATATTTGGCCGGCTGTCGGTGAGGACCACAGATCGAAGACGGTCGAGATACTGGGTCTCGCGGCGTATCGCGGCTCCGTCGACACCTCCAAGCAAGTCCTCAGTCACTGTGCGGTGTTTTTGGACCCCGAAGATCCTGCATATGACACTTTTCTCGTGTCGGCAGTTCTGGGCAAGCAACCGCCACATCAAAGCCTTTCCCTCCAAGATGAGCTCTTTGTTGAAGAACCCAGTCCAAGACGCAGTCCAAGGCCCAACCACAAAAGCCGTGCAAGACACAGCAGCTACTGTGATTGATATCAGCAAGGCGGTGGAGCAGCTCCTGGACGGTACGATCTCTCCGCTTGGCTAACCTTGGGCCATTGATTCGACAGACCTCGCAAGTACTGACCTCTATCAGGTCTTGCCAGCCAGCCACAACAGATCCTTCATGTCTATTTGTACAGTGATTAAACCAGAGCCATCGAGGAGAAATCATGCATTTCGTTCAAGAGTCTGGATGTGAATATAATTAAACTGTCTGATGTTCGAGACCTCCTGTTTAGCGAAAAGGTCTTGGAGCCGACATTGTAAGTGCCCGCACCGAGACAAAGTCAACAACATCCATTCACCTTCGTCCTACAGGCTATGGAGCTCCTTCTGCAATCAGCGTGGGGCTAAACCACCACCTTCCAGTTTACCAGCAACAAAGCGGGGAACAAATCGGTGTACGTGCAAGAGGGCGACGAGGTCTTCATTGACCAGTTCGACAAAGAAGGTAACGCTATCAGGGCAGCGGCGTGGCTGCACAATCCGGAGGGTTGCATTGGTACATATATCGACTCTCTCCAAGACCCTAAATATTACTGGTTCATGTTCAGCTACTTGAAGTGACGAGGCTGCAGTAAAAGATCGTGGAGGCGACGGTGGCGGGGTTTGTTTGCATCGTGCCAGGGCTTCCGTCCATGTGCCCTTCACCGTTCGGATGAATAATTCAGTGCAATGGAATAAATGCCATTATGTCCCTTCCCTGGGACTGTGATTTCAACTTGAGACTGAATACAGGACCCAGCACCCAGCACCCAGCACCCCGCACCCCTTCGTACTCCGTACGTACTATACAAAAATCGGGAGATGAAAGCTCCACGGTTGGCCCACTTAGGGCAGGCCAGGACGTCTTAGCGCGAACGCCACCATGAATGGCCTCCACTCGCACCCACGTCCAGAGTCTAGATCCCCTAGGGCTTCCAGTATCTCGACGTCTCATTCGTGGGCTCGTCTCGCACGAACTCTAAAGTTCGATCGATGTTACGGTGGGGGATGACAAGGCACCATATGGGTCAAGGCACGGAGTAAACTACGTAGCATTTAAAAATGCAGACCCATAAAGCATCCTGTTCTTTCATTCATTCAAATCTACCCCTGCAGCACCTTAGCCACCACCTCATCTGCACTCTCTTCTACCACCCCCAACAAGGGCGAGTCCGATTCCGACCACGAAGGCGCCACAACACACCGGGCCTGCCCTTCGTCGAACATCTGCGCGACCACCAACTCCAGCCTCCACATACCATTTCCCTCCTGAAATTTCCGGTGCCCACTCTCCATCAACCGCTGCGCTGAGTCGCGCTGCACCCTCCACTGCCGACCCGTACTAGCGCGCTGAAAGGCCTCCAGCAGCTCATTCTGATTCGTGACAATCGAGAGAACCTTGACGAAGCGATTCGCCGTCTCCTCCGGGTGCAGGAGCACCCCAACCACCGCCTGCCCGATCCCCGCCAGAGTGGTGCCGGAGAACCTCTCCGTGCCCGAGTCGTAGATGATAGCCGCCGCGCGGGCGATGTCGAAGCCCATCATAGGGAATTTTTTCATAGCCTGTACCGCACCAAAGACAATCATCAAGGTTAGCATCTTACTCCTCCCACCCAGCATTCTGGGATTAGGGGGGTAAACCGTACCCAATCAATCGGATTCCCCGTCGTGATCCCCGTAAACGTGAACCCGGGGTTCTCCCGTGCCTTTTGTTGCGCAAGATCCCACCCCACGCGGCGCTGCGCGTGGATGGCGCTGAACTCCGGCAGGCTGTGCGGATTGTGGCCCCAGCCGAAATCGTCGATGATGAACCGTTGCACCCCCGCCGCTGCTGCAGCTTCGACCATGGTGGCTTGCGCGGGGATGCCCCCGGGCCCGACGACGCAGATGGCGGCGTCTTGGCCGGTCAGAGCGGTGGTCAGGTCGGCGAGGGTGTAAGGGGTCCGGATGATGGGGAGACCCGGGGGAAATGTAGAGGTGGACTCGGGGCGGGTGATGATGGTGATGGCGAAGGTTTCGGTGCGTTGTAAGGCTGCTGTGATTGGGGCGCCAAAGTTGCCGGATGCCTGTGGGCGGGGTCAGTGATCGTGATCTGGGGGCTGAAGGAAGAGATGGAGAGTGGAGACGTAGACGTACTCCGAAGATGGTGACTTTGCGAATGGTAGGCATAATTGTGGTGGGAGGTGAGGTTGGACAGTGGTTGTTGTTGTTGTTGTTGTTAGGGTTAATGTTGTCAACGGGAGAATACTGGGCGGGTTGGTTGCATTTTATGTATAGCGAGAGGCCATAAGATGGCCTAGTAACTACTAAGTTAGTACCTTAGTTAGTATCTAATACAGAACTAACTGATAGACAGCATTAGTAATTTAATAAGGCTGTGGACCTGTGGTTGACTTACTAAACCAGATAGAGTCTATCTATGACTCAATCGAGGCATTTATCTGGACTTGGACTAGGCAGGCCATATGCAGTCAGGGTACGGAGTACACATACTAATTACAGCTTGAATGTGGGGAAGTCACGTACTGTTAGCTCTGGGTCGCGTCCGAGATATGCTTTCAAGTGGGTCTTCGAATGACCGTGACTGATGCTCTCGTATCACCCACCAGTGCCACTTGTGAGGCTTTCGCTAGTCGATTTACAGTATGAGCCAGAATAATGGTTTTAAAGTATCTTTAATATCTTCGTTGCATAGTCCTGAGAGACTTGACATCAAGTGAGCATACATTGGTGCATACATTGGGGCATACATTGGTGCATACAAGCGCATACTCCGCCTTTACAGCTTAATCCACCGACCCATCCACTCATTCACAATCGACTTGGCCTCATCCACCAGTCCCAGATCCAGCAGCAATTGCGTCGTGCCACGGACAGCCGAGTCCAGGGCAGAGAAGATCCACGCATGAGTATAACTGGTGTGCTCTCCAATGAAGATCGTCTTGAATTCCGTCTGGTAGTAAGCTGGGAGGTACAACTCCTGCTGTCCGACCAACGGATCCGCCCATGCACCCGCCTGGTGCTGATCGACCTCCCAACACTGGCGGTCGTAGATGCCAGTGAATTGCTCTGCCGCGATCTCGCCGTGAACTTCCACCATCGTCCGCTGGACAAGCGCAACGTGCTCTTCCTCGCTCAGCGCCGCAGTGGAGCGCGCCTCCGTGCCAGAGATATACGAAGCCAGGATCACGCCTGGCCCGGTGCCGTTGAGGTTGTAGGACGGGTAGCAAACGCTACCCACCCCGGCCACATCGACCGAGCCGCAGCCACCGTAGATGGGTTCATCCAGGTGCTCCCAGAAGCGAGTCTTGTAGAGCAGCGCCATCTTACAGGCCGGATCGTAGTTGAGCGTTGAGATGGCGCGGCTGAGCAACGAGGAGTACCGCGGCAGTTCCCAAAGTCGAACTTTGCTGAACGGCGCGGCCACGACGGCGTAATCATACTCCTTCGTCGTGGGCGTCATTGCGAACAGATCGTCCCGCCAGGAGACTCCGATCTTCCCGGAGGTTTCATTATACGTGAGTCCGCTGATCGTGCGGTTCAGGGTCAGTCGGTCCGAGACATGCGGGTAAAAGGCGCGAGGCAGGGATTCGAGACCCTTGTCGATGGTGCGCCATTCCGTGGCGGCGAAGTACACGTCGTCATAAAGGTCCCCCCAGATGGGAGAGTCGGTGGTTCCGGCAACATAGTCGCTGATGTTGGCATTATATCCAAGAGCGTATTGCAGGTATCCGGCCTCCGACCAGTGAAACATGTTGTTGTCCACAGCCCAGCGGTGCATCTTGTACATGTTCGTGGCAATCTGAGCGATGGTCTCGCGCGAGTCGATCGTCGTATAATTGTCATAGGCGGCTTTTGCATCGGCAACAGCCGTAGCGTTTGACGAGGCAGCCGTGTAGACTAAGGATGAGTTGGCGGCGACGTCTGCGGCGGTGGGGATGCGGCCGTCCGGGAGACGGACACCTCCCGAGTCGGCGGGCACATTGGGGGTGCTCTGGTGCCAAGGAATGAAGTTGACCTGAAGCTCAGGCTCGTCGACGTTCATCTGGTTCAGAGCCCCGGCCAGTTGAAACACCATCCGGTGGTCCATGATCTCAAGTGTCTCGTTCGTGTCGGAATAGGTAATGCTGACAGGGAATCGCATCGGGCCCATCTCCTGATACTGATATTGGTCGGGGCGCGTGTTGTTGAGGTATTTGGTGCGAATGCGGCCGCCGATCCTGCCGGAGGACTCGAAGATGTGCCAGTCATGGATCCCGACCGACTCGAGGAGCAAGCTTGTCATCAAGCCGGACATGCCACCTCCGAGGATAGCGACCGAGGTGTTCTTAGCTTTGGCGACCAGCGATGCGTCCTCGGTCTTAGACTTCATGTATGCGACCCCATCAAACCAGGGGCCCTCCATGTCGGCCACATCGGCGATGCTCTCTCGTTTGTCGACGCGCTTGGCAACTGAGACGGGCGCAGAGCGACCGACCAGAGAATTCCCCGAGAATGCATGCAGGCAGTGTAAATGAGGAGCGTCGGACGGAGTGATCCAGACCAGTCGCCCGGGTCGGGCATCTCGTTGTACAAACACGCTGGTGATATCGTGATGGCTCTGGGAGGGGTCGCGGAGGTTGCAGTCTCCATACACGACTCGCAGGGTGCCTGCAAATTCATTGTCGAGGAAATCCAGATGGATGTTGTGCAAGGAGTCTGCGGTGACGTCCACTAAGTCCCTGAATCGCACGAGGTCGTAATCGACCCCTGTCCGCACAACCCCAGCATCACTGAGGCCCGCGACTGCTAAGCTTAGCAACAATTGTCTGAGATATCTCTTCTTCATCTTCCGCTGTGTCAGGTCAAACTATGGCGAGAGGTGTTGTGCTCTGCTGCTCGATTGCGATTGTCCCAACCCCAGCGCCTGGGCTTTATACGCCTTCCGGGGGCATGATTTGAGCTCGCTGCCACCGCCCGTTATCAGTTGAGCTTGTCCCTCTCAATCCGTGACACAACAAAACCGGACCTGTATCGCCAGACTGCGATTAAGGCGCGCCTTTGCCATGACATGACCGTGTGGAGTTTAGTCCTCGTCTCGGTTCCTCTAAGCGAGGCCGCGGGTCACTGATTCTCCCGGTGTCGGGACTTCTCACTGGGAGACCGTTATCAATGTCTCCGCCTGAATTTGCCAGTCGAGCCAAGAGGCGAGTAAGCCCCGCGCGGGGTAGGTTGAATTGGCGGGATGGGAGTTGTGTAGGATCATCCCTGACGTATCTGGGGGGGTGAGAGCGAGATAACGAGGGTGGGTTGGTGCCGCACTGCCGATATCTCCTCAGCTGGTTCGGTGCTTATCATGATTTGCTCTGGGGGTGCCAAGCACACGTGGTTCGAGATGCTCTTGGCAGGGAAGATAAGTGATGAAATCTCAGATAAAACACTGCAAGGAGTAGTTTAGACGAGGGTGTCTTATCATGGGGGGAAGAAAGAGGGGGTGGAGAGAGAGAGAGAGAGAAGACGATGACGATGAAGGATGGAGGATGGAGAAACGGAAGAGACCGGCAGAAATGGGGGATGGGGAATCAGATCATGTGATCCATTGCGAGTTGTATGCGAATTGTGTGCTGGGGAGCTCTGCTGTGCACAGGTCTACAAGTCTACGGCGTATATCTCAATCATTTCTATCATCCTGTCAGATATATCATATATAAGGTGATCATATGGCCTTGCGCAGTGGGAAGTGCGATTGTCGACTGGTGAATCACTGCTCCTACTATTGAGAAGATGGGAGATATAAATATGTTCCGCTGCGGTAGGCCATGCAAAACACCGAGTAGAGCACAAGAGCCCAAGCCATTAGCTACCATTGAAGGACTCAATAAGACTAAGTGAAGCCATCTCATTACTAAAGCAAGATGAATAGGAAGGAAGGATGATTTCCGACCGTGGTCATTTACTCGTACTGTACGGAGTACTTCACACTTTACTGCCTGAGGCGTCAATCTATCTTCTAGCCAAGTCGGGACTAGGGCGGAGTGACACAGTCGCGCCTCGATTTGTTTTGTTTGTCTCGTTTGTTTCACTTGTCTTGTTTGCTTCCTTTGTTTCTTCAAGCCCACCACCACCATCACCACCAATAACAACTTCATCATCATCATCATCTTTTTCTTCTTCCCTCTACGACCACGAGTCCTGATATAACTTGCTCTTACTAGTAGCCATCTGGGCCACCGAGGTCAACGTGGCCCCACCCAAGATGTCGAATACCGCCATCTCCGATTGCAACTCCTTCGCAAACCAGCTCCGCAGCTCGACCGCCACCAGCGAGTCCACCCCATACTGATGTAACGGCTTGCTCGCATCAATGTCCGTCGCCGCAATCGACAGCGCTTTCGATAGCTTCTCCGCGATAGCTTCCCTGGCCACTGCATGAGCGCTGGCCAGCGACTCCGCCCGTTGCAACGCGCTCGCGATCGAGTCGCTTGCGCCCGCACTGCCATCCGTTCGTTCGTGGACGGTGAGATGCCCGAACATTGGCTTCTTCAGCCACATCGCCTGCGTCGCCTTGGGAGACAGTCCCACGGTGACTTGGCAGTCTGAGGCCTTGTCTAGACTGACCTGAGGATCACAGTAATAGTCCAAGAGCGCGTGGAGTTGAGGTTCAGTCACTGGTTCCAACCCCATACTTGCGATCAACATATCCCGCAGCTGCGCGTCCTCAGCCACCGCCCCGGCAAAGTCGAACACTCCCAGATCCAGCGCAGTTGCCTTCTCCCCAAGCGCCACGCGATGACGTGCCAGCGCATCCTGGAAGGCGTTGCCCGCCGCGTAATTGGCCTGCCCCGTGGTCCCGACGATCCCTGAAATGGAGGACAACATGATGAAGAAGTCCATACCTTGCGGAAGGTGACGGTGAAGATTCCATGACCCTTGCACTTTGGGGGCGAGGGACTCGTGCCACGCTTGATGAGAGATGTTCTCGAACAACGCATCCTGTCATGGTCAGGGTCAGAACGTGCATCGGGAGACACCATATGATATAGGGAAAGCTTACTCGCAACACCATGGCCGCGTTGAGACATCCCCGGATTGGAGGCATCTGAGACCTGCATAGCTGGAGGGTGTTTTGCAGCGGCACTTCATCCGAAACATCACAGGCTGGGGCTAGGACTTGGACGCCTCGTGTTTGCAGTTGCTCCACGAGCACACGGCCTCTCTCGCTTTGTCCTCCGGAGCGTGACAGCAACAGGAGGTGGCGTGCACCTCGATCCGCCAACCAATGGGCAATGTTGCTCCCCAGTCCTCCCAAGCCTCCGCAGATGACAAATGTAGAGTCGGGATCCAAAGAGTACGTTGGCTTGGAATTCAAAATCGTCTAGCACAGTGTTAGTGTCGCAGCCAAAGAAAGGGTACCCCGGGAAGCAGCTCACCATCACTTCGTCATCGGGGCGCATTTCCAAAACCATTTTACCGACATGCTGTCCGCCCTGCATGATTCGGAAAGCTTTCTCGATCTCCCCCACTCCATGTTGACGGATGGGCTGCGAGGGGTGCAGCTTTCCTTGCTGCACGGACGCGAAGATCTTGTCAAGAGCAGCGGCACAAATTTCGGGTCTCTCCACCGACATGGCGGCGAGGTCCACGCCACTGTAGGTGACATTGCGAAGAAATTGAGACATAGGAAGTCTCTGATTAGATAGTATGTCCCGCTTGCCGATCTCAAGGAATCTGCCATACGGCGCTATGCATTCCCACGAAGCCAGTAGACTCTTCCCAGCCAGCGAGTTTAGGATGATATCCACCCCTTTGCCGCCCGTGCGGTGCTGAATGGCTTGCGCGAACAAAGTGGTTCGACTGGAGAAGATGTGCGTCTCTGGAATCTGATAAGTGTCGATGAGAAATTGCTTCTTGCTCTGAGAGCCGACCGTTGCAAAGATGGTAGCCCCCGCGTTCTTTGCGATTTGAATCGCCGCTTGTCCGGTGCCGCCAGTTCCCGAATGGATCAAGACCGTTTCGCCGGCCTGGATGCGCGCAACATTGTGCAAAGCTACGTATGCGGTGGCGTAGTTAACCGGAATTGCTGCAGCCTCGGGGAAAGAGATGCCAGGGGGAATTTTCACAACGGGCCCATCCTCGTGAACCCGGATCGAGGTGGCAAAACATCCGTCGCCGAGGGCAGCAACTGCATCTCCGACCCGGAATTTGGAGACAGCGTCGCCCACTCGACTGACAATCCCCGAGCACTCGGAGCCAGTGTGCGTGGCCTTCAGTTGGCCTACAGCAATTAGTACGTCGCGGAAGTTCACGCCTGCGCACTTGACCTGTATCTCAATCTCATCTGGCTTGAGCTGTCGGTATGCTGTGGCATTTTCCAGGAACTGAAAGCCGCTGATCAGTCCAGGCGAAGAAGCGTCTAATTGCAAGGGGATTTGGCACTCAAACTTCTGCACTGCGCGCTGCTGAGAGCTGGCTTTGCGTGATACCGTTTCGTTGAGTTGCGCGGGTGTCACGATACGAGGGATGTGAAGCATATCGCTTTGTTCAATGTACTCTGTATCTGCACCCTTCGCAGCTGGCGAAGTCAGAAAACGAGCTAGATTCGCCACATGCTGCGCCACTTGGCTCAGTGGTTTTTCGGGCTCCAAGCAAAGAAGGTGCAGATTGCGCCGGCTATCCTCTTCCATCAAGACGCGGAACAATCCTTCAACTAGACGGAAATGCGGTATGGTGGGCAAGACACCCCCTCCTTGGTTGACCCACAGCACCTGAGATGCCGATGAAAGACAACTCTGAAGCTTTTTATACAGCTCAGGTTGGATGTCTGCCCACACCGGACGCTGGAGCTCGATGACAAAAACTCGAAGCGATTCGGTGTCTTTTTGATGGCTGATGGTTTCCTCGAGCGAGACGCGTCGAACCTGCGTGCATCCAATACTCTCGCATTGTTTGGTAATGGCATGTGCCAGGTGTTCCTGGTCGGGTTCCGTAGAATCGTACACTACCTCGATCTCTGTCACAGCACGCGTTTCGTGCTTGTTTTCGACCGCTGTCGAAATCATCAAGCTGCATTCGTGCGAACGCTCGCTGTCGAAGTCGGGTAACGAGACATCCACCCCAGAATATCCAACCTGTCGGAGGATTTCATCCCATTGACCTTCGTCCACGTACCGGGACGAGTTGCAATGAGGCTCCGAATCTGTAGCTGCTTAGTATTGCGACTCTTCTGACATTGCGAAGAGCTTACCCTGCCACCATTGCTCAAATAGACTGGACACAAATGTCAACCGGCACTCAGGAACGACTCCTTCGTACAGGACTAGCTTGCCGTCTCTACTTGCCGTGTGAGCAGACATAACAAAATAGCGATAGATGTGGACTCACGGTTTGAGCAGCCTCCGCGCATTCTGCAATGCCTTTCGCAAATTTGCTGTTTTATGAAAGAACTGCATGACTGTCAGTTGCGGGCCCGAAACAACTCAGGGTGGGAGATATACCATCGAGGCCACGACCACATCATACGTGCCACACTCAACACCTTGCGTGGCCGGGTCTTGTTCAATGTCGAGCACATTGAACCCCATGTGCTCGGCTTCCGAGGCGAACCTATCCTTGGCTGTAGCGATGCTTTCAGGCGACACATCAGTGAAGTCCAGGTGTGCGTATCGTCTGTCACTTGCATCCCCTCCCAATGTAGCCAGAATAATTTCCGTTACAGTTCCAGCATCTCCCCCTAACTCCAGGACCTTCATCTTGGGAAGGCGATGAGCCAGCAGATCAAGGTATTTGCTCAGGCCCCGGATGCCGTGCGATTCAGCGACCTGACTCGTTAGAGGCACGGTTCGTGAAGTGAGAGGGTAACCACTTACATGTTCCCGATACGCTGCCTTCAGCATATCCCCTTCAAGCAGACTGGACGGATCCAGCTCCCCAGTCAGGAGCTTTGTTAGATTGCGAGCGACTGTGGCGTACATATAGCCCTGTTTGCTGCCTAGAATTCGATTCTCGGCCTCCTCAATATACGATGGGTTGGTCATTTGGCTGGCAACACCCCGCGAGACCATTTGCTGGTGGTGGATCAGCCAGGTGTGGTACTTCTTGAGCTTCGGATCTGCTGGCTGGAACCCTGTCTCTACCAAGGCAGAGAGCGTTTCTTTCCCTCGTGCTGCGAGCACAATATCCAGGTCTTTATAGAAGCTTTCGTGGTCGACCGCATCAGCAGATACAGTACCGCATAAACCGGCAATCTCCGCATTGCTCAGCAACATCAAGTCTGGCTTCCACTCAATTTGATGACAGAGGTTATCCGCAGACTCATCGACCCCGTCAGTGAGACCTGGCGTGTCAACGATGTTCATACGCAACCCAGTCACGGACACTAAGGTCTTTTGCAACTTGTCGTCAAGTACAACGATGTTCGAAGATGGGCCAATGAATTGCGACACCTCGCAGCATGTGCCATGGACCTTGAGCACCGTGGATGACAGCGCGTGGTTATCGACCCATAACGTCTCAATGTAGGTCGGCACCGCTGTTGGGATCCTGTCCGTTTCCGAGGGTACTGCTGCCCAGATAGCTGTTTGAAGGATGGCATCCAGTGTTGTTGGGTGGATCGTCTCTCCCAAGGATGTCGAGAAGTTCTGGACCAGCGCAGTCACCTCTGCCTCCGCTCTGCCCTGGGAGAGCTCTTGCACCAGTTGGAAAGCCGGACCGTAGCCATAGCCTGAATCCTCCAGGGTATGATACAACTTCTCCCCCCTCATGGTCAGTTTTGACGTTTGTGCTGCCGCCGAGTAAGCGTCCCGCTGAGCGGCCTGCAGCTCAACTGCGAGCGCTTTCTCCATCTCCTCTTCCTTATCGCCATAGACAATCTGAACGGAGCCCGTGCAGTTATCGATCCAGGCCTCGTTCTCGAACGTGCAGACGTTGAAGTCAAACCAGCCGGACCGTTTCGACTCCATATTCTTGGCAGGCCGAAGATGAAAATCAGTCTCAATGCCTTGTGCCCCCGATGGCACCCGAATGGCCGCGTGGAAGGCGACATCTCGGACATTGAAGCCGGAGATCGGCCTGCTTGGATCCGCCAGCTGCTTGGCTGCCTCGATGGCCATGACCACCATCCCTGCTCCAGGGTAGAGGATCGTTCCATTAATCTTTGCAAATATCAGCATTACCCCCTGGTCGCAGCCATTGATGGAATCCGTACCTTGTGATCCTGGACCCAGGGCATTTCAGACACCCGGATGATATTCCTCCACCGCGCGTCCAGCGGGTTCTGGTTCTGATCCGCCAACCCCAAGAGGTCGTTCCGAGCGAATCGTCGCAGACGGTGACCCTTACTTATTTTGCTCTCGTACCAGTAGACTTTCTCGTGGTTGAAGGGATATTCAGGCAGATCTGGCAGAGCTCGGCATGTTGAATCGTCCTGGTTGACCAGGGTCAAGTCGATGGGATATCCTGCGGTATACAGATCACCGAACACTGAAAAAGCGGTATCCACGGCGGACATGTTACGCACCAGCAAAGACAGGTATTTGATGGAAGGGCTCTTGCCGATGTTTTTCAGGATATCCTTGCAGGCACCTTGCAGTACTGAATGAGGCCCGACTTCCAGAAGGTGATCGATCTTGCATTTCCGTCGGTGGCTGCCGTCCAGCGAATTCGTAGAGTTGGATGAGGCGGAGCAGAGCTTGGCGAGTCCATCGGAGAAGCGTACCGGCGATATCATATTCCTAACCCAGTGAGAAGCCTGACGCGGCTCGTCGGGGTCGATCCAGTCACCGGTGATGGATGAGACCATCTGAGGCTGGGTGTGCGGCTCTGAAGGGTCACCCTCCAGCTCGCCAAGAGCTTCCAGATACTGGGCCGCGATTTCCTTCATCTGGACGGAGTGATAGGCCAAGTTGACCTTGAGCCTGCGACAGAAGACCTTATCCAGGTCCAGTCGAGCCTTGAGTGCGTCGAGTTGCACCCCTTCTCCAGAGACGGTCACGCTCTTGGGACTGTTGATGCAGCCAACGGTCAGTCGTGGAACCTCAAACGCGGCGCTCACTGCTTCAATGTATGACAACACCTCCTTTTCGGAGAGGGCGACAGCCAACATGGACCCTTTCATCTGTGCGCTTTTCTCCAGCCGACTGCTCATATTGCCTCGGAAGTACGAGACCTTCCAGGCCGAACGGCGGGATATCGCGCGGGAACAGTATCTGGCCCATAATCAGCAGGATTCTTGCATGCTGATGGAACGGATACTCACGCCGCGGCAACCTCACCAGAAGAGTGGCCGAGTACGGCTTTGGGTACAATGTTGAACGACCGCAGCAGGTCCACCAGAGCTACTTGGAGAATTGTGCACAGAATCTGGCTGTACTCAGTGCGATTCACGTTCGATTCGCTTTCGTTTCGCTGGAGTTCATCTGGATTCAATTAGCAACAGCTAGGCTTGAGAGTGGAACATGTCACTCAGCATACCAACGGGATCCCATTCGCATCCTAGATTTCGGAGATATTCTCCGGCCTCTTCGATGCTTTGACGGAATGCAGGATACGTGTGGAGTAGCTCGCGTCCCATCCCATACCACTGCGCTCCTTGCTACAGAATTGTCAGCGACCACGGCGGTGTGATGAGCAACCCGGAAACACCTGTACTCACGCCCGAGAAGATCATGGCAAGGCTTGGAGACTCCCGCGACTGAACAGCTCCGGAAAAACGCTCAGTCACTGCTCTCAAGTCGTCCGATGGCCGAGCTACGGCAAAGGTTCGCCACGGTAGGTGAGTCCTTCGTGAGGCCAGGGTATGTGATAGGCTCTTGAGGAAGGAATACTGATCCTCGACTGATTTGGAAAAGAAGGAACTCCAACTTTGCTCGAGGCGCGGGATACCCGCTTCATCCGCCGCAGACCAGACGAGGAGCTTCGGCGTATTAGTCAAGGACCTCGCAACTCCATTGGTGCCGTTCGATACTTGTTGGTGGACCCCGTTCTGAGTCGTACCGTTGGTGCGAGCCGAGGCAAGCGGTGGCATTGTGTTATGGTTCCCTTCCAGTTGGTTGAGTTGGAGGTAGTGATATGCGTCATCTAGGACAATATGTGTGTTTGAGCCTCCATAGCCAAATGAGCTGATGGAAGCACGTCGCACATCGCCCGTTGGCCACGGTAGGGCTTCTTGAGGAAACTTTGACAGTTAGCTTTATGCTTCGCCGCTAATCAACGGTGCATTGGGGTTTTACTTTGATATTCCAGAACTCGTCATCAATTCGCCGATTCAGGGTCTGCAGGTTCTCACTGTTTGGCGGAATGATGCCCTTCTCCAGCGCCAGAATGACCTTTATCATCCCGGCGATACCACTTGCACCCTCGAGGTGGCCGATATTCGACTTCACAGATCCTCTGCGGATCACATCACATTAGTCCGAATTGACGGACAACCAAGATGTAGCGAACTCACATGTACAACGGCTCGTCCGGCGAGCGTTGCAGTCGGAAAACGGAACCAATAGCCCTGGTCTCGATGGGATCGCCCACGGCGGTGCCTATATGCTGTCAGCTCAAACCATACCGAGAGTCCGGGGATAGTGAATGCCAACCAGTTCCGTGTGCTTCAAAATACCGCGTCTGCCCGATATCCAGTCCTGCGTTGATGTAGGTCTCGCGAATCAACGCTGCCTGCATTTCCGCGCTGGGCTGGGTGATGCCCGGCGTCTTGCCGTCCTGATTTGAGGCTGAGGATCGAATCACTGCTCGAATGACGTCCCCGTCGCGCACAGCGTCCTCCACGGTCTTGATAACCAGCACCCCCACACCTTCACCGCGCGAGTACCCATTAGCACGGTCGTCGAAACTGAAGCACCGACTGTCCTTCGACAGCAGACCCAGGTTATCCATCATCTGCGTGACCTCAGCTGCCAGCAAGAGATTGCTTCCGATCGCCATGCCCTGATCATGTTAGCACACAGCCTGCATCCGTTCAGGGCGCTTCAAACAAACCATAGTCGCCTGGCCGCTCCAGATCGACTGACATGTCATGTCGATCGCCATCAAACTACTCGAACAGGCCGTGTCGACGGTCGCACTGGGCCCCGTCAGATCAAAGAACCAACTGACGCGATTGGCGAGCATGTTGCCCGTCGTCCCAGTGATATCGTATTTATGCTGGTGCAGGGGATCCTTCGCCCGCGACATCAGCCAGTCATGGCCGGACGAGCCCGTAAATACTGCGGTTCGAGACTTCGCAATGCGCTGCAACGGGATCCCCGCGTTTTCCAGCGCGTGGAACGCGGTCTCGAGGACCAACCGCTGCGGCGGCTCCATCGCCTCGGCCTCGGCGGCGGTGATGGAGAAGAACGGCGCATCGAAGCGGCGGAGATCCTCCGTCAGGAAATGCGCCCCGCGCATGGACAGCGCGTCCAGGCGATCGGTGTCTGCGCGGTGGTGCGTGTCGATGTTCAGTCGGTCCGGCGGGAAGTCGGTCGAGGCGCATCGTCGCTCCACGAGCATCTGCCAGAAGGACTCCGGGGTGACGGCATCCTGGGGCAGTTTGAAGGACAGTCCGACGATCGCCAGCGGTGTCGGAGGCTTTACTTCTACCGTTTGCGCCATGGATGGAGGAAGGGTGTAGATGTGAATGGGATGCCCTTGGGAGGCCAAAGCAAGAAGTCTATTCTAGGGAGGAGGGACCGTGGTGGATGGCCTTCCAACCGACCGACGAACCGCCTTTATTACTTTTGAGTGAACTGACAGCATCTTGGGCGTCACTTTTCCATGCTGCTTGAAGGGGCTAGTGGAAGAATGAGATCGCCTCTTGCATGATGGGGTTGGGGTTGGGGTTGGGGCTTGAGACTGGGCACTGAGGCGCAAGATGCAAGACGCAATCGAAAAGTCACCGGTAATTTACTAGGTGCCAGATTTCAGCCAACTTTCCCGAGACCTGTCAGCTCAACTGCAAGCGATTCGCAGGAGTAAATTCCGCCCAAGAATGAGAATTGTGGGTCTTATCTGCAGGATGTTGCTCGGCGTGCAGCAAAAGGTCAATGCTGCCGAGCGCAACGCCACTTTCACGCCATCCGCACATACCGTACCGGTACAATGGTTCAGACTGCAGTAATAAGTAATCTATTCTGTAATCTGACAGATAATGAGCCCGGCGTGATTGCGGGGCGTCGGCTATGCCGAAGAGTTGGGTCTCAGCCTCGAGCATACGGCATAGACTCCTTGCAGGGGCTCTTCTCCCCTTTTGGAAGCGCCCCTCGTCGTCTTCTCCTCTCTGATTCTTTTTGGCTTTGCTCAGCATTCCTCGGCCCAGTTTGGGCATATCAAACTTGCGGGATGCTGTTTCGCGTTATAAGTTGATTATCTGGGGCATACCGAGGGACTGACCTGTTTTCTGCCAACCCATCCCTCCGTGAGTCTCAACAACAGCGATTTTGCAAATGCGTTTCCTGTGGTATGCATGATCAAGCCAATGGCTCTTCCTGTCTTGAGGTTAATTCTAAGTTCTTTGCTAGTTTACACGGACAAGGCAGCAATGCCCGAGTGAGTGTGACCCGGCCCGGCATAGACGTACTGACCTGACTCTTCGACACAGATCTTCCAGCAGCAGACTGGTATGAATCTAGCTAGCAGCTTGCAAGCCAATCCAATGGCGCTGACACTATCAACAGCCGCACTGCGCTATGAACTTGGAGACGACCACAGCTACGACTTCGTCAACGGCGCGGTCGCATGGGAAACCGATCGAGGTGTGCCGCATGCCATCCTGCCCCAACTGGCCTAAGTGCCCTAACTGAACCTCACCCACCCTAACCACCCAACAACAGATCTGGATCAGTTCGTGATGGGTGAAGAGCAAACGTTCGCGCATTGTGACCCCGAGGAACCTGAATCATGCCTCCAAGCTCTGGAGCACCTCGAACGGTACATCGCCGCGGAAGGACCTTATGACGGCATCATGGGGTTCAGCCAAGGGGCTAATGTTGCCCTGAGCTGGCTGCTCAAGTTGCAGCGGGAGGCACGCCCACTGCCCTTCAGGTTCGGGGTCTTCTTTTCCAACCCGTGGGCTGTGTACAATTACCAGGAGCTGGTGGGCGGTCGCATTGTGCCCTTGCAGCGGGACGCGTACGCGGGGATGCTGGATCTGCCGACGGCGCATATCTGGGGGTCGGCGGACAAGAACGCGCCGGCGTCGGAGGCGATCACGGCGGCCTGTGTGGAAGGCAAGCGATCAGTCTGGGTTCATAACAAGGGTCATGAGATTCCCGTCAACACTGACGCGGTGATCGCGATGGGGAAGACGATCACCCGGGCGCTGGTGAGAGCCTCGACGACGCAATATGCCTAGATAGTCCTCCCTCCAGTGGATTAGCAAATGTACCAGTGGTTTGCTGCCCGTAGTTGATCCTTCACCCTCGTCTCCGTCGGGATTCTGCTGAGCGAGCAAACGGCAAATGAAGATGAGATGCGTATAGGGGGGCGTAAACCGAGCTACCAAGACGGGAGAGAAAGAGGGGAAAGGGTCTGCCAGCCGTGTTTCGTGCAACTCCTGACATTATCCTGACTGGTGGACGATAGCCAAGAGGGACTGTATCTGTACACTGCCTCGGTAGCAGTCTTCTGCAGCGTATGCGCTGGCAGACGCCGGGTTTCGAGGTGTGAGTGCAGGTGGGCCCAACCTATCAATCACAGCCTCTGCGGAAGCGTCTGCAGTCATCCAAGCCCTGACAAATGCAAGGAATGGTAAGACAAGACAAGAGGATAGACCAAGAAGATAAGCGCTAAGTTACCCAACCCTGGTGGCTCCAATCCGCTCGTATTTCCGCCGATGCTATAGCTCCGGGGGAACGCATTCCCATTGACACAACAGAAAAACCTGCAAGCTAATTGACTGGTCTGATTGTCTAGAACCGATGCAGTATTTGGTGGAGACACCACCCTTATGGTCTTGCTGGACTCGTACCGTGCGCATGCATCCTGCAGACTCAAGTAAACCACAGGAGGTTCAACGGTATTACAAAGCTCCTGTATCGTCATGTTCCCGTCACGGACATGCAATTTTGCAGTCTGCGTTACGCTTCGTTTGACGCGATGGGCTGGAAAAGGATTCTTGGGACATCCAGACGATCCAAAGGACTCGCGTCGATGATGGGACACCCCGAACACCCCGAACACCACATTCATCAATCACATCTTGTTTAAAAGGACACTGGAATGAAGAGGAGCATCCCGCATTTTCTTGGAAACCCCATCTGTTGACCATGCCGTCCTCCAGAACCACCGTCTCGCTGGCACAGTATCTGTTCACCCGCATCAAGGAAGTTGGCATCCGGTCTGTCCATGGTGTGCCCGGCGACTACAATCTGGTTGCGCTCGATTACGTATCGAAGGCGGGTCTCCGGTGGATTGGGAATTGCAACGAGCTCAATGCTGGTGAGACTCAGGCCCTTCTGTGTTCTATCTACCTACCCTATTGCAGACTCCCTCGACTGACGAAACGACGACTCAGGATACGCGGCTGATGGCTACGCCCGGGTCCATGGCATCTCGGCGCTGATGACTGTCGCCGGGGTCGGGGAGCTGTCAGTCTCCAATGCCATCGCCGGAGCGTACGCCGAGTACGTCCCGATCGTGCACATTGTGGGACAGCCGAGCTTGGCCTTGCAGAAGCGGAAGAAGCTGCTGCATCACTCCCTGGGCGACGGGGACTTCGAGAGCATGGCCCGCATGTCGCAAAGGACGGCCTCGAAGAGCGTCAAGCTCCAATGCGTCAGCCAGGCACCGGGACTCATCGACGAAGCAATCAGCCACTGCTGGAAGTCCAGCCGACCCGTCTCCATCGTCTTACCCACGGACATGGTGCATGCCCCCGTCATGGCCGAGCCGCTCTCGCGGCCGCTGGACATGCTGCCCTCGCCCAACGATTCCGCGACGGAGCGGTGGACCGCCGATGCGATCTTGCGCGCACTCCGGATCGCCCGGCAGCCCATCCTTTTGGTCGGAGGGTACAATGTCCGGTTCTCGAAGAGGCAAGAGGTGCAGGAGTTGGCCAAGGCCTTCGGACTGCCAGTCTTCTTGTCTGCCTCGGGCAGGGGCATTATTGACGAAGATCATCCCTGCTTCCATGGACTGTATCTCGGGGACTGCTCCGATCCGTCCACCACCCGGAAAGTACGCTCGGCCGATTTGATTATCTCCGTCGGCAACATCCATTCGGATTTGAACGTCGCCTCCGTGTCGTGGGAGTTTGATCCCCTGAAGATGGTCGAGATCCGCGATGGGACGGTGCAAGTCCAGGGCAAGGCTTACCACGGGCTGAACAGTCAGGGGCTTCTGCAGACTCTCGTCCGCCGAGCAGAAGAGTTGAGTCAGTCTGCCCGACGAAGCCCTGTGGCTACTGCGCAGCCTAGCACATCTGCAAGCCCACACCCGATCTACGTACCCCCCCCGATCACCCCCACGACTGTTGACCGCGAGGCGATCTATGGCGGCGGGCTGATGATGATGCACGGGATGCTGAAACGTATGTCCCATACGCTGAGCTACAGAAAGACGACCGGGGCGCTGAACCACGACTGGCTCTGGCCGGCCCTGGGTGAATGGCTGCAACCGGGGGATACGATCATCGCCGAGACTGGCACCTCCAATTTTGGCATATGGTCCACCCGGTTTCCTCGCGATGTGACCTATATCAGCCAGTATGTCTGGGCGAGTGTGGGATATTCCCTGGGCGCCTGCCAGGGGGCTGCAGCGGCCGTCCAGGATTCAGCCCTGCCCGATCGACGCACTGTCCTCTTCATCGGCGATGGCAGTTTTCAGTTTACGTGTCAGGAGCTGAGCACGATCGTCAAAAATCATCTGACCCCGATCATGTAAGTCAAATGACCCATCGAAGTCTGCAGCTGCATTGGGGATGATTAACTTCGATTGTCCAGATTTGTGATCTGCAACAATGGATACACGGTGGAGCGGCTGATCCACGGATGGCATGAATCGTACAATGACATTCAGGAATGGAAATATCGACAGCTGCTGGAGGTGTTTGGAGCGGAGCAAGGGTCCTATCAGACATATCAGATCCACACCAAGGAGGAACTGGCGGCGCTTCTGCAGGATTCGGTGTTCAATAATGGGCGAATGCTTCGGGTGAGTTCCCCAGCGCTCGGTGATGCATCGATCCACGCAGGTTACTGACCCCATTGGCCATTTGGTCATCGTACGGTAGTTTGTCGAATTACATCTGGATCAGAACGATGCCCCCTCGGAGCTGAAAACCCTCACCCAGCAACTCGTAACACGGGATACGCATCCGCATCCACCAGACTCCAGCAGCAAAGGGGAATTAATGACTTGAATTGCAGAGGACTAACTGTGGAGTAATGCATAGACTTGCTTTTTTTTTTTTTTTCTTCTTTTGCCCTTCTCAATGAGTGAGTGGTGTGAATGGTGAGAATGGTGACTCAATGGCAGCCAAGTAAATAGGATCGGTAACTTCGAACAATACAGTACAAAATAGTACAGTACAAAATAGCACACTTTGGTACAGTCTTGTGGTACTGCAGACCGCCAAAGGCGGTAAGTGTCATTTGGCGCCCCGGGCCTGGGGGGCATAATACGGAGTCTGCGGGGTAAGAGAAAAATACAGTTATTTACGGTCATGTGGTCACATGTGTTACCGGCCCTAATTCCCCGCTCCCTCTCTCTCTCTTTTTCTCCCTTGCTTGCTGTTAACTACTGATCAGTTATCAGCAAAGTCACTCACTCGTAACTCAGCCACCCAAACAAACACATACCTGCAGACTGCCAGGTTCATGCATAATGCATGGGAATCCCTGCCGTCTGTGAGGGTGAGACACCCTGATCCCTCTCACACCAAAGCACCAAAGCACTCGACTGTGACTAGTATTTTCGACTCTGCCCTCTTCCAAACAATTTTTCTGGCTTCTCCCTAAGACCAAACCCCGCCCCACTACATTCTCTCGTCTTTATCATGGAGAAGTTGTCCATCGTCTATGGAGTAGAGGAGCCCACCCTGTGGTCCCAGACTCTGGGCCAGCTGATCGAGGAACAGGCCACGCAGTATGGCGACCGCACGGCGCTGGTCACCCCGTGGCAAGACAAGCGATTGTCTTTCCGCCAGCTGGCGGACAGTAGCCGAGTGCTGGCCACCGCGATGGTGCAGGCCGGCCTGCGCCTGGGCGATTGCATCGCGGTGTTGGCGGGCAACCGCTACGAATACATCCAGGTGTTTCTGGCCGGGGCGCGGATCGGATGTCCTGTGCTACCCTTGAACAACGCCTACACCCCAGCGGAAGTGCTGCGCGCGTTGCAGAGAAGTGGTGAGTGGGTTACCATTCTGACTATTCACTCTCCATTTTCCAGCCGCTTTGCTCATAGACCTCCCTTTCAGCAACCCGATTCCTCTTTCTCGCTTCGCAGATCGGTCCCCGCAGCCTGGTCCCGCATCTCCAGGCTTTACTCTCGCCCGCGTCGCAAGCCACCTTGCCGGAGCTGAGTGGGATTGTATGCTTCGATAGTGACGGACCCTATACCCAACCACAGGTGCAAGGCTACGGGTGTTTCCTGGCCTCGGGCGAGAGGGCAGCACCGGATGAGGGCCTGCTGCCCGCCGCGGAGCGGATCGTGCGGCTGTCCGACAATCTCAGCTATCAATTTACCTCGGGGACGAGCGGAGAGCCGAAGTTGTCCATGCTCACCCACCGGTAGGTGATTCAACTCCCTAGGATTCCGTGGGACAATCTCTAATACGTGAATTCGTGGCACTTGTGTCAGCGGCCTCATCAACAACGCCCGCCTCGTTGGCGACGGGATGCGCCTGACCCCCGCCGACGTGGTCTGCTGCCCCCCACCCCTCTTCCACACCTTCGGGCTGGTTCTCGGCTTTCTCAACGCCTTCACCCACGGCAGCGCGATCGTCTTCCCCTCCGACCATTTCCACGCCGACAGCGTCATCGACGCGGTCATCCACGAAAAGGCCACCGCCCTGCTCGGGGTGCCCACCATGTTCGTCGCCGAGCTCGAGGCATGCGCGGCCCGGAAGCTCGACAAGATCAACACCGTGCGCACGGGGCTGGCGGCCGGGTCGCCGGTCTCGGAGACGCTGCTCAGTCGGCTCGAGGAGAGGTTCGGCGTCAAGGGCATGTTGATCGCCTACGGGATGACGGAGACCAGTCCTGTGACGTTTATGACTTCGTTGGATGATCCCAGGGACAAGGCAATGACGAGTCTAGGGAGGGTACTGCCGCATACGTCGGCCAAGGTGATCAACCAGGAGGGGGTCATTGTGCCGCGGGGCGAGAGCGGCGAGTTATGCACCAGTGGGTACGGGCTCCAGAGGGGGTACTTTGAGAATGAAGCCAAAACGAAAGAGGCAATGCAACGCGACGCGGACGGGAGGTTGTGGATGCATACCGGAGACCAATGCTATCTCGATGCGGAGGGATACTGTCATATCAGTGGGAGGATGAAGGATGTGATTATCCGAGGTAAGACTGCCCACAGACCCTACCACGACGCCGGGGATCGCGTCTAACCCGGTATCCTTTCCTTCCAGGAGGAGAGAACATGTTCCCCCTCGAGATTGAGGAGCGTCTCCTGCTGCATCCCGCCATCGCAGAAGCGAGCGTGGTGGGCGTGGCGGATCCCAGGTACGGCGAGGTGGTGGGCTGCTTTCTCAAGTTGACCCAGGGACACGTTCAGCCGCAGGATCAGGAACTACGAGACTGGGTACGGGTGGAATTGAGCTGGCACAAAGCCCCCCAGCATGTCTTCTGGATTGGAGACGGCGGAGTGTGTCCGGAATTTCCCAAGACTGCCAGTGGCAAGCACCAGAAGCACATCATGAAGGAGATTGCAAACATGTGTCTATCCGGGCGGCGTGCAGGCAAGGATCTGCCTTTTCGTATGCAAGTGATCTCTCTGTTTGGGCTCTCGGTGTGCTTAATTCCGGTGGCATTGTATCTGTCGACTTTGGCGTGACCGCATCAATGGACTTCTACTACTGCCCCCATTGACTTCTGGATTGTTGGCGTGCAGAGAGAAGCTGTTGAGCAAGCAATCTCAATGCCCAGGATGACACACGTAACCAACATTTGATTCCTGCTATGTAAATCTAGCCGCCAAGACTGCCTCGACGGGCTCTATACACTGTCATGGTAACGTCGATCAGTGTATTGTCATGTATCTCATCAGACTACCTAGACCAAACCCTAACGCATTAGAGTAACCTATCACTGAATCAACGGAAACCGCGTGAGAGCATGCAGCACATTCTCCTTCTCGCTGGACAGCACAAACAGCACGAACAGAACCGCAAAGGAGCAGACAAACGAGCCCAGCAGATTGACCGCTAACCGGGGTCCAATGCCCCAGACACTCAGCGCCCCGCTGGCCGTCTTCCCTCCCAACAACGCTTGACCCGCACCGGATATACAACCAGCGCAGCTCGCGCTTGAGCTGGACGCGGTTCCGCCCGGCCACAGCCTCGGTCTTCTCGCCCTGCAGGATCCCCAGCGCCTCCTTGGCGATGTCCATGGACAGACAGTCGCAGATGGCGGCCATCTCCACGGCGGCATCCTGGGGTCCGCGCGACCGGGCCCCGCGGGCGGCGAGGAGGATGATGGCGACGTTGTGAACCCCCGCCGTCATGACGCGGAACTGGGTCATCATTGTGGTCTTGCCCAGGAGCAAGGGCCGGAGGCCCCCATCCACTTTCTCCACGTACTGCATGATGTACTGGCGCCAGGTGAGCATCTCGAGGAGCTTGATCTCGTCCGGGTGGACGTGCTCCGCGCGCAGCCCCGCCAGGATATCGGCCAGCGAGTGACCCAGCAGCGTGAAGGTGCCATCCGCCAGATCCTGCGGGGGGATGACTAGGTCGTCCGAGATGGTGCACAGCGCCAGGTACAGGTGCTTCCACTTGTGGTGCTCCAGCGAGCCGTGCCACACCGTCCACCACTGCAGCGCGTCCCGCATGGCGAACCGGCAGACGTCCTCGGAGGACTGGTCCTGTTTCCCGCTGTGCAAGGTATAGTCCTCCGGCCGGCGGGCAGGGGCGGCGCGGAGGAAGGCGTCGATATGTGCCACGAGGGCATCCATGCCGTCGCACGTACAGGGAGGCCGGCTGGTGTCGCCGATGGCGGAGAAGAGCCCCATCACGTCCTCGGGAATCTCGACCCCGAAGTTGATGTTCTCATTGCGGGCTTTGGGGGGTTTCAGATCACAGCAGTGGGTGTGTAACTGGATGGGGTTCTCGCCGAAGTAGGCCTTGACGGCTTGCCACATGGAATCCATGATGGTCTCGTTAAGGGATGACTACCACGGCCGTGCTCTCTGACTTTGTTCAGATGAGAGGCTAGTTTGAGTACAATTTATGGCTGCTGAGTACCAAGGGGCTCCGCTGGATTCGCCTCCGTCAGGATGTCGTCTGCTGGGCACTCTCTCAGATGGCCATACATACCAAAGGCCCCTCTCGTCATGAGAACGCCTTTCCTGTGCAGTACGATGTTACCGGACGAGACGAACGCGCTCCTCTCATCTGTACCACCCGCGTCGGCAAACATTCACCCCCGCCGGGATTTGAGCATGCATGAAGATACGAGCCCTTGACGCCGTGATAGGCAGAATGAACGTCGATAGCACGACATTGCCTGCCGCCAAGTCGGAGAAATGGGCAGTAATAGTGGGTATATTGGTCATGGAAAGGTGCGGCGACTCCGATCAGATGAAGTAGCAAGGTCGTTCTTCGTGCTGGTTGCCTCAAAGGGCTTGGGGCAAGTAGCCCCGTAGGGTGTCTACCGGAACACTCTTGGATGCTAGACACGTCACGGCAGATACGAGGAAGGATTGAAGACTCCCGTATCGGGTCTCTCCACAGGAACGATTAGGTGAAGCTGAATCCCAATAGTAGCGGCGGGGGGGGGGGGGGGGGGGGAAAAAAAAAAAAAAAAAAAAAAAAAAAAAGGGAGGGTGGTTAAAACTATACAGGGACAAGTATGGATCAAGGCTCCCGTTCTCGACATGGTTGTCTGGGCCTTGTCACACAGCATGTGGGTGCATTATCAGGGCTTTGATCTGACGCATAGTGGGGTAAGTGCAATACCAGGCCGTAAGTGGATTCGTCCGCAGAACATGCATCGGGTTGATGACAGCGGACTAGTGCGCTCAACACACCAAGCCTGCCATGATTCGACATGGAAAACGGCTACAGTCTCAAGGTCTGGCATATGGCATCCTGTCAGCGAATTAATTAGGTGGGCCGGTTCAACCCTGAAGGAATGGGTACGTCGTCATCTGCTGCCCGCACCAGACTGTCGATGAGATGTAAAGCACCAAGTTGATTGGGTCGAGATAAAAGCCCCTAGTTTAGAGCCGCAGGGCGGGTCTGGTAATTTTTAGCATTTATGCAACATCTGCTGGCCATGAGTCTTCAGGCAAGATAAGACAGACCAGTTTCCCTTCGGGGCATTAGGGCAACGGAGACGGAGGGCCAACCTGCAGATTCGCCTCGTGTTTGACTTCCACTAAGTAACAAGCTTATCCTGACCCCTGTCAGTAGCGTCGTAAAAAAGGAATTAAAGTAAAGCTCTGTACTAAATAGCCGTTGGGCTTGGCGGAATTGTCTCATCCTTGCCAAGCAGTGTCCTCGTGTTATGAGATTCACCAGCAAAACAGCGCCATCTTGGCCGTTACACTAGTCCACTGGTCTATCAACATTCTTTGTATGTATCGTCGTTTCTGAGTTTTGCAAATAACGCACAGTCCATGTGGCCTCGTCATTGGTGGAAATGTCATCTAGAGAAGAAAGACCCTTGGTTCCAGACCGTTGCAGAATAAATCCATCCATCCTCAGCCTCCTCTGCGTATGGGCGTATTGTCTTACAAACATCCTAAGGACGAGAGATACACAAAGAAAGCCTGGATAGTGCCTAAGCATCAAATTACGTGACGTGGGCAGCCTGCCCTGGTGTGTGTTGGGGATGCTGCAAGCGCATCTGACTGCAGACTGTACTGCTCCTGGCTTACGAATAGCCTCCGTCCACAATCAGACAGAAGGACGACGATGAGTGGAGGGGAACCTGCCGGCGATAAGTTATGTTGAGGCTTTCTTCAGAGCCCAACCTTCCTCGCCAGTCTCAGTTTTTGTTTGCGTGGGCTCAATTCTTTTCTCTCCGCATTCACGTCCGCTGCGCTGTTTCTCTTCCAGTTCATCAGTCGCCGACTCTTTTTTCGCAATTAATATCATGCTCTCCGTGGAATTGTCGGCCTACTTGGCTCTCAAGGCTCTAGCATTGGCACTTGTTCCAGTAGGCTCACTATATCCCCGCAGGACCAGACACACGATCTAACGAAGGCATCATCATGATAGTACTACATCGGCTTCGCGATCTACAATGTCTTCTTCCACCCGCTGAGGCGCTACCCTGGCCCCCGGCTGATGGCCGTCAGTCGGCTCCCCATCGTGTTCGGGGTCATGACGGGCCACTCGACGGGGTGGATCAACCAGATGCACGCAAAGTACGGGCCAGTGGTGCGCGTCGCCCCGGACGAGCTGAGCTACGCCAGCGCCAGCGCCTGGAAGGACATCTACGGCAGCCATCCCGCGCGCCCGGGGGGCATGCCGCGAGATATGACCTTTTTCCGGTCGGTGGAAGACCAGAACGGGATTCATTCGATCCTCTCGGCCAACAATGAAGACCACGCGCGCATGCGGCGCCTGTACGCGCAGGCATTGTCCAAGCGGGCGCTGGCCCAGCAAGAACCCCTGATCCTGGGCCACGTGAACCGGATGATGGAGAAGCTGGCGCTCGCGGCGGCGCAGAAGCAGCCGGTGGACATTGTGGACATGTTCAATTTCACCCTCTTCGATGTGGTCTGCGACCTCCAGTTCGGCGAGTCGCTCCACCTGCTGGACGACCCGACCTACCATCCCTGGGTACGCAGCCATCTGGGCGTCATCCGCAGCGCCTCGCTGCTGGCCTCGCTGATTGAATTCCCTATCCTACGCATCCTCTTCAACCTGACGCTGCCCCGGCTGGTCAAGACTGAGCGCGAGAGCTACTTTCAGATGTTGAACGCGCGTCTGGACCACCGCCTATCCGCCGGTGTGAAGCGGCCCGACCTCGTGCACTTCGTCATGGAAGCCCGGACCGAGGCCGACGGCATCTCCGAAGGCGAGCTGCGCGCGACAGCCCCCATCATCATGATGGCGGGCAGTGAGACCAGCTCCACCGCGCTCAGTGGCTGGATGGCCCACATGCTCCAGCAACCGGAGATGCTCCGCCAGGTCCAGCACGAGGTGCGGGCCAAGTACCGGTCGAGCGAGGACATCTCGATGCAGACCCTCAAGGACCTGCCTCTGCTCGATGCGTGCATCAAGGAGGCCCTGCGTGCCTACGCCGCCGTGCCCGGCATTCTGCCCCGTATTGTTCCGGCCCCGGGTGCCACCATCTCAGGAGACTGGGTCCCCGAGGGAACCCGTGTGTATGTGACGCCCTTGGCAGCGTTTCGCTCGGCGGCCAACTTCCATGAGCCGGAGAGGTTTGCTCCGGAGCGGTGGTTTACCCAGCCCGAGAAGCAGTACGCGCAGGATCAGCGCGATGCGTGCAAGCCGTTCTCGGTGGGGACTAGGGATTGCGTTGGTCGAGAGTAAGTGTATCATCGCGAGAGATCCATTGGGCATGGGGCGTGCTGACATCCCGGTAATAGAATGGCCCAGTATATGATGCTACTCATTCTGTGCAATCTGATCTTGCACTTTGACTTCGAGACCGTGCCTGCGAATGAGACATGGTTCTCGGGACAACGAATCTGGACGATCTGGGACAAACCGGCTCTGATGGTCAAGCTGATTCCGGTCAGGGCCTAATTGTCCATGGCTTGATATTCGTTTGTGTTAGAGATATGGAATGTCACCTTGGGTGTAGGATGCCCGAACCACGAGCCCTAACAGTGGAAGCTCAACTTTTGACCCAAGTGTTTCTTACAAATCTGATGGTGCTGTAGATAGCGGGGTAAGTGGGGGTAGAAGATTGCTGATCGGACCGAGATTCTTGACGTACTATGCAGAATTCTAGGCCCAAACCTACCCTGCATAGGCGCAGATGCAGAATACGAGGCTGTCAGCACTTGTATTGTTAGCGTTGCCGTACTGTACATGTACATGTATGTACTTACCGTACAGTGTGTGTGTGTGTGTGTGTTTGTGTGTTATATCTCTGCCTCCAGACAGCCACCTAGGGCACAATATAAATCTCGTCCCAGGGATAAACGGATAAACCGTGACATCTCCATTCCCTTGCCCATTTGTAAGAGCCCAGAAACCCAAGGACACCATGACACCGAACCCCCCTCCTATCTTCGAGCCCTACACGCTCACCCCCTTCGACTATCTCCCTCCCCCACTGCACATGACAGCCTTTTTGACCTTCATTCTTGACAATCCTGCGCGGGCCATCCCAGTCCTTGAAGCTGCCGTAGAGCGACTCATCAATGAGCTGCCCTTCCTGACAGGCAATGTGGTTCTCTCCTCCTCCTCCTCCTCCTCCTCCTCCCCAATCCCTGGCCGACAGAATGTACGGGAGGTCCAACCCTCCACTGCAGCCATGCTGGATCAGCATCCAATGCTCGTTATCAAGCATCACCCCCGCAAATACGTCTCTGGTCCGGCGAAAGCCTCGCCCGTCCGCGGCAGAGGCCAAATTATCAACTACGACGAGATCTTCACGGAGGAATATCTCCCCCTCCCGCTGGACATGGGCTCCGCCCCAGCCAGCCCGGTGTATCGCTTCCAAGCCAACATTCTCGAGGATGGAATCATCCTCTGCGGCAGCGCACACCATAATGCCGTCGACGGAATGGGCCAATGCTTTGTCCTCGAAGCCCTAGCTACCTGCAGTCGCGAGGTCGACATCGCCAAAACCACCATCACCACCACCACCACCACCACCAACCTTCTCACCACCCTGGAGCAGGAGAAACAAACCCGCGACCTAATCCTCCAAGTCGCCAGCGCCGGCCCCGTTCAGACCCTGGATGGCCAATCCGCCGGGCAAACCTGGGGCGTCGCCGCTCCCCCCGACGTACCCAACCACCCCATCAGCCGCAAGCTCATCTTCTCGCCGGACCGAATCTCCCAACTCAAGACTCTTTGTAGCGCTCACCTCCCCACCGCCACCTCGGAGGGAGGGGCGCAGGCAAAAGACCGGATCCTCTCGCGCAACGACCTCGTTCTGAGTCTCATCTGGCTCTGCGTGATGCGCGCCCGCGCCCGACTCCTCGGTCCTGCGGCGGAGAAACACCACTCCAGCCTCAGCACCGCCATCGACGTGCGCGCTGCCCTGCGCCCTCCGCTCCCACGCACGTACATCGGCAATGCAGTGCACACCATCCCTCTCCACGCCCCCTTCCCCATGGCCGCCACCGTCGACGGCACATACCCCTATTACCCGGATCTCCTCGACCCGACGAATCCGACGAACCCGACGGAAACTCTTCCTGGAGAGAGCCAGCGCGCACCGTTGGAGACGACGGTGCTGACCAACCTCACGCAGCTAGCCCTCCTCATTCGCCGCGGCAACGCCTCGGTGGACAACGACTACCTGCGTCAGCATCTCGCGCAGGTCTACAACTCCCCAGACTGGTCAGTGAGCGCGGCCTCGCGACCCGCCCAGTTCGGCCAGAGCAGTCTGCGCAGTATTGGGACGTATCGTCTGGATTTCGGGAGTGTGCTGGGCCGGGTGCGCGATTTCGATGTCCCGGATCCCCGGTTCCGCAGCGCAGCGTGGATCCTGCCGGCGAGGGGCAAGGATGCACCCTGGGAGGTGCGGTTGGTCTTGGAGCCCGAAGCGTTGGCCTTGGTCAAAAGGGATCCGGTGGTGAGGTGGGCGGTTGGGGGCGAGGGGGCGAGGTTGTGATATACGTAGTTCCTGTCTTCTAGAACTTGATTGGCATAGCCATAGTCATAGTGGTAGAGTTGATTCTATGCGTTTCTCGTTCAATCGGGAGTGTGATTGTCTTGTGGCATCCCTGTACTATGATCATGCGCTAAGCAAACTAAACAGCCAACCGATCCCTCAGCCGCACCATCAACGACGGCTTATGCCAGATGAAATACGTGTTTTGATCATTCCACCGCTCGGAGGCTGGACACAGCTCCATATCGAAGTGATACACCAGTTTGGCAAGCGTTAGACGCATTTCCAGATAAGCCAAACTGTTTGCTGTCAGTCGACAATCGTGCTTCGACAATCGGAATGCTAACCTCTTCCCTAGACAGTTTCTGGCTCCCATGGAAAACGGCTGCAGCGTATCTCTCCTATCGCCCTCAAACTGTGGGTCAGTGCCCAGCCAGCGCTCTGGGAGAAACTCCTTTGCCCGAAAGAAGTTGGCATCACTCATGTAGGAGGCGTAGTGCGGGACGTGAACGTCCGTCTGAAGTAAGAGTGAGTGCCTCGTTCCTAAGCTCATCACAAAAGAAAAAAGAAGGGCAGGAAGTTGCGTACATTCTCAGGGAGAAATTGACCGGCAACGGTCGCACCGCCTCGAGGCACCACGCGAGGGAGATGGGCCGCCATGGGCGAGTACATGCGCAGCCCTTCATCAATCACTGCATCCACGTAGGGCAGACTGGCGCAGGTGGCAGAGGTGATGTCTGCATCCGTCTGGAACGCCTCGCGCACTGTTTGACACAATCGGTCCAGTGCGGACCGGTTGGTACAGAGATAATAAATGCACCCAGACATTGCAGTGGCGGTCGTTTCGCTCCCTGCGAGAATGATACTACCCAGATCAGCGTTGCATGGTCAACTTCAGCAGCAAGGGAAGTCGACATACAAGGTAGAGTTTGCGTGAACCTCATGGCGCGACATGCGCATCACTCTCTTCTCCTCCTGCGTGTGCGGGCTATCGTCCTCAAGCCCATTCTTAATCATGGCCGACATGAAGTCCACTCGGTCCGCCCCGAGGGCCATCCGCCGCTCGGCCTTTTCCGCACTGAGTTCAAAGTTCTGCATGATCTGCCGGCGGAACCACGCCGGAGTGCAGGCCTCCTGTAGCATCGCGAGCACCGGGAAATGGCGAATGGAACTGAGGATCGTCGAGCCCATGATACTGTTGAAGATGAACTCGATCCAGGGATGCAGTTGACTATCCTGCAGGCAGTCAAACGTCTCGGCAAACATCAAGTCGCCCGTGATGTCGAATGCGGCGAACTCCAGCCACGCCTTGATGTCGATGTCCTTGCCCTGGTGGGCGAGGTCTCGCAGCCGCGAAATGAACAGGTCAATGAACGAGCAAATCCTTGCCTCCTGTTCGCGGATCGCGCGGTCGGAAAACCCATGCGCCAGAAGCCGTCGCTGTCGGCTGTGGGATTCATTGTCCAGAAACCCCCCAACGGCGTCGCGAGTGGGCATCAATGAAGACCCGTAGGTCTTGGGGTCTTTCGGAAACTGAGGCACGCCCGGGCGAAACCCATAGATGTCCTTGAACCCTTCCGCAGTGTTGAACGACAGGGCGTTGGGACCAGTCCGCACGATCGGACCGTACCGATCATGAAGAGCAAGCATCTTCAAATGGTGATGTCCTCGCATCAAACTGAGCTGGGAGGGGATGTAGGACAAAGCCCACAGTCTGGGGCCAGGGTATTTGGCCAGTGGAGAGAGCAGCAACTCATACACCACTGCATACGACAGCCATGATATCATCTGAGTCCTACCTTTAGTCCATGGTCTGCGGGCAGGAAGGTAGACTTACCAGAACTCCCGCCGCATAGGGCCATGACCAGCTCGCCAGTACGGTGGCTATCGCCCGGTGTACAGAATCGCTGACGGCGCTCATTCTGACGCTGCCACCAACGTATCCAGATGTCGCTCTCTTGCTCCTCGCTAGGACTGATCCTGAGAAAACCCACTTGATAAAGAGGTCGTAGGAAGGGCTACCAGCAGCATGCAGCAAGCCGTTGCAAACGAGGTGGCGAGTCCGAGCTTATCATCCCATGTCAGCCGCGTTTCTGACAGATGTCGAAGTCCTCTATCTGAACGGAAACGGTTTTCGTCGTATTCGCAATTGATGATCAGATGTATGGCGTAATTTTCCTTTGCGCTTGTCACGCACTAACCCACCAGACACCCCACTCAATACGAACGGGTTGAAACGATGGGCCGGCCCACCGACCCGCTTCCCCGGGGTGAATCCATCGGAGAAATCCCGAGCTTCGCTGAGGGATTCCCCCTCATGCAGTGGCTCGTGTCATCCCTTGGCCTTCGGGGGGGTCGGGCGGCGCCAAGCAAAATTGAGCTAGATCTTGGCAAGGATCCTGGTAAAACGGCCATAATGAAGACGGTCCAGGTCGTTACAGGTCGTTACGCTATCACCCGTGTGAATCGCTACAATCTGGTTCGGCCGACTCTATCCAACCCACAACTGACCCCACGTCTCCCAAAAGTTGAGGGCCGACGATTCGTCCAGAAGAGCATCCACCATATTGTCCATATCATTGCCAAGTCCCGGATTGCCAGCAGCCGTGGCATTGGTCACGTCGTCGGACTGTGCAGAAAGAGGTGCCGCCGCAGAAATCGAGACTGAAGTGTCTGGCTGCTCATCGAGACGGTCGGGGCAGACTTGTTGAATGGCCTTGGCAAAAATTCCACGGTAGATGGACGCAACGGTGTAGACCTTCTGGAACTCCTCCATGACCATCATACATACGTTGAGCTTGTTGAGCCGGAGACGCCGTGATAGAGAGTTGCCGGTTCGACAGTTCAGAAGGTGCATTTGCATGGCCGGAATCAGTAGAGGTGGTCTGTAGAGATCAGGATCATCATCGTAGAACAGACTGCCCCATTGAGGCTGACTTACGTCATAGGAAGGGCATATTCAAGCAGACTCTCCTGTGCGAGGGTTTCTAGGATTTCGTTGGTACGGGAGGCTGCAAAGTCGGCCTTATGACGAATGATTTCCTGCCACTGGGTCTGGTTATTCAGAGACACGTCGTCCGGCGGGTCGGTGATACACGGTCGATATAGGACGATGAGGATTGCTCTGCAAAATTTTAGCGGAATAACGAACTAAGAAAAGGCTTGCGCATACTGATAATGCAATTGGAGGTGATGTAGGTAGAATCTCGTGGGACCATTCCAGTCCGGGGACGCCTTCTCTGGGGGTTGTTGACAACAGATCTCTTCCTCAAGAGTCTCAACTTCCTCACGCGAGGGTTTCGGACGGGCTGTCTTGTAGCTCATGGATAGGACAGCGCCTAGCAATTTGCTCATTCCTATTAACTGGATCCAATATTCAGCCAGGCGAGAGACTTCATTCGGAATGAAAGCGGATAGAAGTGGCTCCGGAACATCGTTGAGGTCATACAGAAGATCTTCCACTAACGGCATGGCCACATCGCAGTCATCGAGGTCAATACGTAACGGCCGTCCCAACGTTAAACTCAGCCAACGATCTCGGAAGAAGCATGTCCACCAGAGACGACGCCAGAGATGTCGCTGACGGTCGGTGATCGATGCATTATAACGTGCCGCGTCGGGATTGCGATGGAGGCCGAGGATCTGACAAAGAGTCACGGATATTCCAGTCCAGTACCAAGGCTGGACATGTTCATCTACTTCGGAGTGCCAGAAGCCGAGCATCAAAGAGGACTGCAGAAGAACGACCTTGTTTCGCTCTCCACTGTTGTTGTAGAGACACTATTCCTCGAATTAGTACCTAACTCAGTGCCATGTGCAGCTTCGTCGACTAGGATATCGCCTGTAAAAAGTTCTTCGACAAGCAGAGGTACCAAAGTTCTTTCTTGGAGCGCTTGCCCAAGCACGCGAGTATTTGAACAAACTTTGCCTGAGCTTCGACAGAGTAGAACGTGGCAGCAAGGACATATTGAAGTCCGAAGCACTTGTAAGCGATAGGAGCGTGAATGGGATGCGTTGGTGGTATTATAGGAAGCTTGTTCGCCCGCACAGACACAAGGGGAAAGGGCACGCTATCTTACCTTTGCCTGGGAATACATGGCTGCTTTCATCGCCTTTCGAGAGTCGTACCCCTCTCTCTCGCAGAGAGAGGACGGAACAAACTGCGAGGGCGTTTAGCTATTTTCTGGAATTTCGGCTCTCCAATTTCCACTCGAGCCGCAGCATGCATGCCGCAGATGCGTCATCGTATACTGGTCATGACCTACATTCACAGCAACAAAAAACACACTCCACACCAGCAGCAAATTGAACTCATGCAATCGTCCCGCGTGAAAGAAATGCAGGATCTGATCCGCTTCGATGATCGGCATGATCGTATGGACATGACGAAAGTATGCCTGAAGCAGGCAATGGCATGCTTCGCTGCTCGGTAAATTGAAGACCCCTTTGCTTGCCAGGTAATTCTGATCCTCCGCCGACAGTGAGGTCGCTGCGCGCGACGGAATCAGGAAATGCCGGGGTAGAGATTCTCCCGGAGCAAGGAGCGTCAGGGTTGAAGTTATTCCAGTCTTATCCCCTGATCCGAAATGAGGCCGTTAGCCTTGGGTAGACTCAAGCCACGGCGTTGTGCCCGGGTGAGCTGAAAGGAATGAGCAATACCGGTGTAAAAAGGAACCTGTCCGGCACGTTCCGGGTTGCCCAAAGCGGCCTCTGCAATCTCGAGACCGTTGCGTTCTTCGTCCTGGATGCTGTATCGTTCCGAAGCCGAAGCAGCCGGTGAATTTGCTGAGACTCTTTGAAAGGCCGGTGTCCGAGGCATCGTCGGGCGATCTGCATCCCCTTCGGGCTGTGCACCGCGGAAAGACGGGCTACTGTTCACGGCACGTAACCGTTGTCGAGCCGATGCATTGCGCCGGCTGGTCCTGGCACTTCCCACACTCCGTCAGTAATTCTCCTACGTTATGAAGACGCTTCTTGCCGGTCTCACCTCTCAGCCGGGGGAGGGTCCACCACACATTCGGCATGGTCTTGGGCACAGCGGATGCAGGGAACCCCGGTAACATTGATGCTGCATCGTACCTTACGCTTACGGCATGAGTGACAGGCGACCGTAGATCGGTAACGACGAGCTGACATAAGGAAGTTGTAGTGGAAGCAAGAGGGGATGGAGGACGGAGGATGGAAAGTGGAAGTTGATTCAAGGTAGTGGAGGTTCCTCGGGAATGTTTGAAGGAGAGAAGGAGACGAGGAGATCCCGCGGGAGGAGGCAAATGAGGCAAATGAGGTAAATGAGGTAAACGAAGCAAACCGCGCAAACGGGCAAACCTTCGTTCACACTGCATGGTTAGTCAGCATCCGCTATCCAACTGATTTTATGCACACCCTGATGGCATGAATAACCAGGTTAGCAGGTTAGTATCCTGCCAAAATACAAATACGTCTATAGGACAAGCAAGTAGGAAGAGAACTACTATAGGAATCGGTATGTCGACAACTAATCATGGATACAGAATATTTTCTAGCACTTCTAGCATTTGCCGTCTTGGATCCCTCATGTTTTCTCCAGAATATCCAGTACAGTACACATATATATTTCAGTACCTTCGCCAAACTGCCGGAGTATCTACCTCGTGGACCTCCCCAAAACAAGCCGCGCGCATAGTACTAAAAACAGAAGATCTGATCCGACATCTTCGCCACTGCCCCAGGAGCCTCGAACCCCAGAGACACCAAAGCCCTCTTGGAGGCGTTCACCATCCCCGGTGGTCCGCACAACATGACCTTTGTATCAGGAGACGAAGCAGGCAATCGCTCCTTCATGGTCTCTGCCGTGACATACCCCCTCCCAAATGCCCAGGTCTCCGGTGGCGTATCCAACATGTACCAGATCTGGAGGTTCCGAGGATAGCTTTGCGCGAACTGGTCCAATTCCCGCCGCAGCAGAATATCGTCTTCCGTGCGATTCGCATAGATCAGACTGACCTCCGTAAGATCGGTCGGGTCCTCGCAGATCGCCCGGATCAGCTGGTACATGGGGGTGATTCCAGTGCCCCCGGCAATCATGCCGATGCGCTTACAGATCCCTTGGGTATACTTCATCGCGCCCTTGGGGCCCCGGAGCTGAATTTCGTGGCCAATCTCTAGGTCGGCGAGATACTGTCCCGTCAGCAACCCGTCGGGATAGCACTTGATCACCAGCTCCAAGACTCCGCGATCCAGGTTGTTCGAGGTGGGAGTATAGGATCTGGAAACGGCCTTGCCGTCGACGTTCGCCTTAATAGCAACATGCTGACCGATCGGCAGTCCGATTACATCCTGCGGGCTGGGGAGCTGCAGCACGAATTTATAGACGTTGGGGGCCAGTTCCTCTTTGCGAATCAGGGGGAGACTCTTGTACTCCTTGGGATCAAGAAATCCCTTGACCAGATGAAGATTCCTTCGAATCCGCTTGCGACATTGGATGTAGGGCGGGTACCTGATGAAGCCCGACTTGATTTGGGTCATTTGTGATAACTTGGACGCGACCATCGAGCCCACGAGGGTCGCCAGTCCGGCTGCCACGGCAAACCCGGAATAGAAGCCCCCGGAGGTGGGCAGCGCATGGGGGGATTGGAGCGAGGGCAAGAGACTTCGAAGCTCGGGAAGTGCTGACCAACTTCCAGGGAGTTTGGCCTGCAAGTGACGGCCATAAAACAAGGTGACGGCCGCCCCGCCGATGGAGAAGATGGTTAGGGCTACAGGCGTGATGGAAGCGGCCTTCCCCGGGGCTGTGGGCGGCACAGGGCTCGTGGACTGGATCAATCGGACGGTCTGGGGTCGAACCCGCTCGCGGGCATCTTTTAATGTTCCAATGAGATATGTCTCGAGGATCTCGTCTGCATCCTGTGGGTGTCATGTCGGCCTTCAAACGTACTGTACATACGTGGTGAATATGACTCCCGTGCATACCTCGGAATGGCCCACGTCCTCATACGCTTCGGTCGCGTCCAGTCCAGCGACATCCATCAGTACTTCTGCCCCGCCAGGATGATCTCGAACATAGTCGGTGACGTTGTACACTACATCAGGAGATCTCATCAGCATTTGACTTGTCATGGAAGCCAGCAGTCCACGAGTGAAGGGGGTGTGGTACCTTTGCCACGAATAGCGATCCACAAATCATCCTTGGATTTGTGACCAGCAACCTCGTCCGTTGTATATTGTGGTAAGTTCTGCATCGCGAGAGGAGAGTGCGAGAGGAAGCGAAAGAAAGAAACTTCTTAGAGGCCTGAAAGTTCGGACTGAGGTTCCCTGAGCTGATTGACGGGCCAACGGTGCACAGAGACTCTTGTATATTTATAAGGTCCCAGAGCGGCCGTATGCCTTGGGCTTCTAGAGTAAACCTCTCCCGAACTCTGTCATGGCCCACATCCATGTCACACCCCATGAGCATCATGGCCAATTGTCGAGGGCGAAATGGAAAGCTGACCGTCCTACCTCGGAATGAAGCCGTGGGGCCCTCCTTCACTGCCGCGGGAGAGACAAAGCCGCGGGGGAGATGGATGCGTCTCCACCGAGGTATATGAGACTTCATTAAGAGTGGAAAATTGATACTGGCATCTACCCAGTTATAAAGACAGGGGCAAGTCATTCCCCAAAAGGCCAATCAAGCCCAGATCAACTAGCATATCATCGTGGCCACACATCATGTCGAACCAGCAGTTCTATCTCTTGGGCGAGGCGACCCCCTCCGCCAAGCACATCACAATTGATGCATCGGCGAACCTGGATCAACTGAAGCACACGGTGGCTGCTTATTTTGCCATTGTGGAACCCACTGGTCAGTCTGACAGCGACCATGCTCCGTTTGTCATTAATCACTAACCTCAAGTCAGAGATCGGCTTCCAAACCGACATGGAGTGTCTCGTCGATGTCAGCGATGTCCTCGCGGCTACCGGACCCGTAGCCATTACGATCAATGGCCAAGCAGTACGAGACCCCGACGGTCCCAAAGGCCTCCCTTACGTGGGCAATTATTTTGAGGTTTATCCAGACCATCTGGGTAATCACCAGCGGCTCTATAGCCAGTATGGCCGGATCTTCAAAACCACCAACCTGGGCCGTACCACATACCATACCAATGATCCGCAAATCGCCGCCATCGTCTTCGCCGAGTCGGACTTTTTCTCTAAAAAGATCAACGAAGCCCATCCACTTCATGCCTTGAAAACCCCCTCTGCGGGGGTCTTTCTGGGAGATACCGACACCCCGGAATGGCGCGTGGCCCATAAATTCTTGCCCCCAGCCCTTGGTCCGAAGGCCGTGCGGCATTATGCTCCGACGATGCAGCGCACCGTGGAAGACGCGTTCAAAGTGTTTGACGCGCTGGATGAACAAGGCTCCGCCTTCAATGTGTACCAGTACATGTTGAAGCTTGGATCCCAGGCGGTGGGCAAACTCACGCTGGGACTGGATATGGAGCATTTCACCTCCCCCGATGCTCCCGTGCACGAGATGGTTCACTCCATTGCGGAAATGCTGTCCCTCAACAAGAAGGTCACCTCTCGTGGGGACTGGTACGGCAAGCTACCCTTCGGGGATCCCCAGCGGTTGAGAAACCTGAAAGCGAAACTGGAGGCAATGGTAGAGCAATCCATCAAGGATGCAGAGCGTGGCGGTGTCACCGACCTGCCTTTACAGGAGGCGGCTTTGCAAGCCTCTAACATGGTTGGTGAGTATTCCTTCGTTGCCCTTCATGATTCCCCCGCATTGTGACCGGGCTAATACATAAATCTTTCAGACTATGCCATCCGTGCCACCGACAACAAGGGGGAAAAGCTGCCGAAATCGAGTCTGATCTGGGCGCTGATTGTGGCCACCGGGGCCGGGTTCACGACCACGAGCTCCCTGCTGTCGTGGTTGATATATGGTCTCGTAACGTATCCAGGGATGCAGGAGCGACTGCTGCAGGAGCTGATCGACAACGGTATCACGGAAGACACCGAGCTCACAGCCGAGATCACGGATCGGTTGGTCTTCCAAGACAAATACATCAAAGAGACGATGCGCCTCACCAATCCATCATTCCAGCCCGGCCGGACCGCCAAAGTCGATTTGATCCTGCCGGGGGGCTATAAGATCCCCAAGGATGCGGTTATTGTGCCGGGTCTGCACCATATTCACAACAACCCCGACCTCTGGGATAATCCCAGCCGGTTTGATCCTGACCGGTGGGATACCCCCCAGGTGAAGGAGAGACACAAGGCGGCTTACATACCTTTTGCCATGGGCCCCCGCATGTGCATTGGTTTCAATTTTGCGCTTCAGGAGGTGAAGATTTTCCTCCCAAAGCTGATCTACCGCTATCAGTTCAGCCGGGAAAATGATCTCGTGCCCGTGGAGTATGATCCAATGTTCCAACTGATCCGACCGAATAATCTGTACGTGCGCGCGGAACGAAGAGTGAAGTGGCCGCCCCGGACCAGCAACTGAGCCTGACGGCCGCATTTAAGTTGCGTATAGAGTTATCGTTTGCATAGAGGCATGGAGCATTGAATCAAGTAGTATTTGGAATTCTGAAGCAAGTTATGTACTGTACATTCGCAGGCGTTCTTGGTGGCGGTCATAAGAAGGTCACGGGAACGTATACGTACCCTAAGTTGTACCGTACAGAGTTGATCAACATTCGCCAACGGGTCAATCAATCAGCCCCTGACTGAAAGGCAAGGCAAGGGGCGTTTTTTATGATATGACCGTGTTGCTGACTCTGCCTGACCTGCGTCAGTGAGCGAAGGCTTGGCCTCGAACAAGTGGGATCCATGTTTCAGAGCGGTGGGCCTCCGACCAACGAAAACCATCATGATTGTCAATAGCACACACATAACTAGACGGCTTGCCGACCTTCCAAGGGAATCCATGACTTCTGTCCCGCGGGAGAGCCTGCAGAACGTATACACGTATACACGTTTTGACTGTGGACCTAGGTGTTCGCAGACCTTACGTGTCTGCAACTTCATCATTTGCTGTGTTGTTGCTGTCTTCACTGCCTGGTTGGCTTCCCACTGTTTGAATATGGGACTGTTGTTTCTCCAGTTGGCAGGACCAGAACAACAACACCATAGACAGTAGACAGACTCATGTATGTTTCTCTCGCTTGACAAATAGTCCCAACTACGGAGTACAGCTTAGCCCGATCGCACGATCTGGCTTACCGCAGCAGGGCAGTTCTCACGTTAAACCCATTGAAGATATCGTGCGTGTCGATCGGCCACCGAGAAGGTTTGCCAGCGCATTTCGACGGCGATTCTGCATGCCACGTCCACTAGTACTTGAACTATTTTAAGCCCAGTTTCCCAAATGGTCAGCCCTCCATTCTAGTAACAAGATGATTGGTACACGCCATCCCCTACAACTCAATGCAGCAGCGCTCTTGGGAGGTGACGTAGGTCTTGGTCTCTGTGGGGAATCGAAAGCTAAAGCTGCTACCTAGTAAAGCTCCGCATTCCCCGGGTGATCCCTATGACATTTCTCAGGGCCCACGAGAAGAAGCAAGGAGTGAAGCAATGGAGACCCCAGTCCTCCTCACAATTCTCACAGTTCTCACACTGGTGCTGTCTCTCGGCCTGTATCATGGCGGCTTCATCCGCTCTGGTCCATCAGGAGCACTGCCACTCCCACCGGGTCCGGGTCTCGTGGCCGGACTGACAGCCCTCATCCAGCAACGAGATCTCGCTCCAACCTTCCATGCATGGAGCCAGGCCTACGGCCCGGTGGTACATTTCAAGATCGGCACACGATCCTTCATCATCCTGGGCACTCGCCAGGTGGCACAGGAATTGCTCGAGAAACGCGCCAACATTTACAGCTCGCGGCCCCCGTCCGTGTGGCTGGACAAATACCTCCACCAAGGGCTGGCGGCTGCCTTCATGCCGTACGGACACGAATGGCGCCTCAATCGCCGGCTGCACATGTCGCTGCTCAACTACCAATGCACCAACGCTTACCGGCATCTGCAGGATATCCAAAGTAAGCAGCTGATGCACTCATTCCTCCCACCCGCGGACAGCAGCAACAGCACCACCCCCAAGTTCTCGGACCTCTTCTACCAATACACCGCCAATGTCATGTTCACCCTCGTCTACGGCAAGGGCCAGGGCCGCTCCGACACCGACCACACGCGCCTGGAACAGATCAACGAGATGGCCGTCTTCATTCTCCAGGCCGCCGCCTTCTGGACCAACCTGCTCGACCTATTCCCCATCCTGGACCGCCTCATCCCCGCCCGCCGCTTCCTCACCTGGCGCACCAAAGCCAGTGCGCTGCACGAGCAGACCAAAGCCGTCTACCAGGAGTGCACCGACGGCGCTCTTAGCGCTCCCTGCTGGAATTGGAGCCACGAGATTACCACCAAGTCCGACCTCGTGGCCTCTCTCCCGTGGGAGCACATCTGCTACTCACTGGGCGAGCTGTACGTGGCGGGCATCCACACCACCAAGATGATGTTGGAGAATTTCGTCCTTGCCAGCCTGCTTCATCCGGCGACCGTCAAACAGGCGCAGCACGAGCTCGATGCTGTGGTCGGCGCCTCACGGCTCCCCACCTTTGCCGACATCCCGGCCCTGCCCTACCTCGATGCGGTCATCTCCGAACTCCTGCGCTGGCGGCCCATCTCCCCGATTGGAGTGCCGCATGCGGTCATCCAGGAGGACGAGTATCTGGGGTATCGGATTCCGAAGGGTGCGACGGTCATCGCGAATCAGTGGGGGTTCAATATGGACGAGGAGGTGTTTGAGGAGCCGCAGGCCTTCCAGCCCCAGCGGTATGTCGAGGACCCTGGGCTGCCGGTTTCGGCGTTTGGGTTTGGGAGGAGGTTGTGTCCGGGCTACCGACTGGCGCGGGCCTCGTTATTCATTGTGGTGGCGAGGCTGCTGTGGGGGTTCGACATTCTAAGAGATGAGGGTGGGGAGGAGGATGAGGATTCGCCTTTGTCAAGGGACTCGGATCCGGGTTCTGTTAGGGCGAAGTTCTGCCTGCGAAGTGAAGACAGAAAGACGATCATTGAGAAAGAGTGGGAAGTAGAGGAGAAGGATGAGAGGGTGATCCTGGAACAAGTGAGGGCACGGATGGTGGGGGGATCATGACCACATCCCGCGGGAGTATGTTCATGTCTGTCCCAACCAATACGTGTGCTTTATGGAGTTAAAGGAATAGTATACTATAGTATGAGTATAACTATAGTAGAGGCATAGCAGCCGCTCTCCCGCGGGATCAAGCAAGCAGTGGATCCAAGCAGAAGCACCACACCTCGGCATGCCGCGGCAGGCCGGATATCGGCATCCCGAATATACCTCAGGAACGACTCCTCGTATGCGACCAGCCCTCTATATGAGCAGATCTTATATATAGCATTTCCTTCTTGGAGTCTCGGATCCCTGTCTGTATGCAACGAACCAAACAAGCTTTCCTCCTGCTGACTGCAGAACTTGTAACACATCGTCCTGCATCTACAAAATGCATTCCAGCTGGTCACCACCGCACGACTACCGGAACCGCCCCGTCGCGGTTTTGGGCGCTGGCGTCCTTGGAAGGCGAATTGGTCAGTGTTATTGAGGCTCCTTAACTGATATATGCACTAATATATGCCATGAATAGGCTGCATCTGGGCCTCCGCGGGCTACGACGTCCACCTACGCGATCCGAGCCCGGAGCAACTCACCTCCGGCATCGCCTACATCCACGATCAAGTCTCTTCCTACGCCAGCAAGACGGGCTGCATCCCAGGCAAAGCACACGGCTTCACCAACCTCGAAGAAGCGGTGGAATCCGCCTGGCTCATCATTGAGGCCGTCCCCGAAAAGCTGTCTCTGAAGATTGCCACCTTCGCCGATCTATCCGCCCTCGCCCCAAATGATAGCATCCTTGCATCCAACTCTTCTTCCTACAAGACCTCGGAGATGCTGGACCGGGTTCCGGACGCGGTGAAGCCACGGATTCTGAACATGCACTACTACATGCCGCCGCAGTGCATGACGGTGGAGTTGATGACGGACGGCTTCACGCATGAGGCCATCTTCCCCTTTATGGTGGAGCGGTGCCGCGAAGGCGCGACCTCGCCGTATGTCGCACGCAAACAATCGACTGGGTTTATCTTCAATCGGCTCTGGGCGGCGGTCAAACGAGAGGTGCTGACCATTCTCTCCGAAGGGGTGTCCATCCCCGAAGAGATCGATGCTATGTGGGAGGAGATGTTTATTCGGGGAAGGACGCTGCCGTGCAGGATGATGGATAGTGAGTTGGATGCCCTTCATTGCATCTCCGTCTCGTCATACTAAGTTTGATTGGTGGAACAGACGTTGGCCTCGACACCGTCGCCTTCATTGAACAGCACTATATCCACGAGCGGGGTCTTTCCTCCGAGAGAACCGTAGACTACCTCACCACCAACTACCTCGAGAAAGGTAAGTTGGGCGCCAAATGCGCCCTGGGCGGGCTCTATCCCCTGTCTAGCGCAGCCAGCAACAGTGGCAGTGACCCCACCACCCACGATAGCCGTCTCCTCGTCTTAGACGTCGGACTCGCCTCTTCCACCGCGGCCTCCTCGATCTCCACCCCTGTCGGACAGATCCTCTCTCTCGCGGCAGACGGGACCGATTCCAGAGTGTTGGTTGCCAACCAGCTCCTTCCTGACGGCATCGCAGTCGATGCCACGACCAACCGCATCTTTTGGACCAACATGGGGGTCCCCGGCCGACAGGATGGTGCAGTCTACTCCTCAGCTCTAGACGGGAACGACATCCAGACCGTCCTCGAACCGGGTGCGATCAACACCCCCAAGCAGCTGACCCTCGACCAGACAGCGCGGAAGCTGTACTTCTCCGACCGCGAGGGCTGCGCAGTCTACCGCTGTAACCTTGACGGGTCGGGTCTGGAGACTCTTGTCTCACGACAGCGAGGGAGACAAGGCAAAGAGGTGACTGACGTACGGGACTGGTGCGTCGGGATCGCCGTCTCGACTCGCTTCAACCGGTTCTACTGGACACAGAAGGGCGCGCCCAAGAGTGGCAAAGGGCGCATCTTCTCGGCTGCGATCCATGCACCACCGGGGATTGTGGGCGAGGACGAGGATGAGGAACTGTGCATCCTGAGCGGACTGCCGGAGCCGATTGATCTGGAAATCGATGAGGAGAAAGGCGACCTGTACTGGACGGATCGCGGGGAGCTGCCTCTGGGCAATGCACTCTATCGAGTCAGCTTAGATGCAAAGGGTCGACCGGTGGGCAAGCCGGAGGTTCTGGCTCGGGGTTTGCATGAGGCGATTGGGGTGAGTCTCGATCGGAAGTCTGGGGATATCTTCCTGACGGACCTCGGGGGTGGTGTCTATCGCTGTGATCGGGAGGGGAACCGGAAGGAGATTTTGTATCAGGAGGATGGGCGTGCGTTCACGGGGATTGTTTGCGTTTGAATTTGGTGAAAGGCGATTACCACCGTGCTATAGATTGGATATTGAGAATGTAGTTTCGCTTTTGACTATACAGCACCATTTCTCGTTCTGCGGGGGGGTAACTGAGAAAATACCACCATTCAAGTGTGATATCATTCCAGTATGCCACTTGTGGTAGGTCATACAAATGAAGGGAGGAGGAGGGGACAGGCAACAGTGGTAGCCCTGTAACATCGGCAGCTCAACACCATGCAGATGTCAGCTCGAAGAGCGTCCTACCCACTGGCTGCACTCTGTTCCAGGATCGATCTCGTGGCGCAGACGCGTGACTCCGCGGCATAGGCAGATATGGACACCAGCGTAATCTTGCTCGGGGCTTCAGATAAACCGGACGCAGTGGATCAATGCTTGACTCCTCCTTGCTATCCTGCAACAGGGGAATACTTGCGTCACGTCTGCGGCTGCTGATGGATCAAGGTACAGCAAAAACCTAATCAGAGATGAAATCAGACGACCCAAGTGACATGGATTCGGGCTCAACATTCGCAACGTTGGTGATCGGCTCGCCCTGCTACAAACGTACTTGATCAGAGCCACCTGATGCGATGCATCAAGGTCCAGCACAAGCTGAAAAATACCCTTTAATTTGACTACTGATTGCCAGGCAGCCAAGCGCGCCCAACACGGACCCAGCAGCTTTAGGATGGCCTTTCGAGTGAATTGCTCATCACAATACCCCGTCATCAGACCGGACGCCTACCTTGCCTTCCACACTAAACATGGAAGACTACGATATTTGCGACCGCTGCCATTATTTCATAAGAGGAATGCTCCAGTAGCATCAACCTCCGCTTGTCAGCACTTATTGCAAGTTAAGCCCAAGATCAACTGGCCTACCGTCAACATCATACCCGCCTCAGCGTCTAACTGTGATCGGCCTTCCTATACGATGATTTCTGCTGTGAACTCGAGTGAAACCGACGCATCCGAACGCAATCCAAAGGTCATGCCCATCGCCATCATCGGCATGGCCTGCCGCTTCCCCGGTGGCGCGTCCAGCCCCGAAAGACTCTGGGATGTCTATGCCAACGGGCAGAGTGCCTGGTCTCCGATTCCGAAATCTCGGTTTCACGCGGAGAGCTGGTATCATCCGGACAAGGAACATCTAGGGACAGTATGTCAACACTCACCTTGCATGACTCGCCGATCTGGTGGGGAAGACTGTTGAATTTTCTGCCAACAAATCATAGTCATATGTGAAAGGCGCGCATTTCCTCGCGGAGGACATTTTCCGGTTCGATGCTGCGTTCTTCAATTTCATAGCCGACGCGGCCAGCGTGGGTTCCATTCTCATTCGTGCCTGCAAGTGTAGAGACCATTGACAGTTGCAGACAATGGATCCCGAAGTGCGCCTGCAATTAGAGACCGCCTATGAGGCCCTGGAAAGTGCAGGTCTCCCCCTCGATCAAGTGACTGGCTCTCGCACCGGTGTCTATGCAGGCACTTGTTTCCGAGATAACCATGACAGTTTGTTGCGCGACCCCGATACTCTAGCTCGGTCCTTCCTCACAGGTAATGGCGCAGCAATGATCGCGAACCGGATCTCCCATTTCTTCGACCTCCGCGGGCCCAGTCTGATGGTCGACACCGGGTGTTCGACGACGCTGACGCTGTTGCATCTGGCATGCCAGAGCCTCCGGGCGGGCAAGTCAGAGATGGCCATCGTGGGTGGCTCAAATATCCTACTCAACCCGGATATGTTCATTGCCGGTTCAAATATTAGCTTGTTGTCGGCGGAAGGGCGCTGCTTCGCCTTCGATGCTCGAGCCACGGGCTATGGACGTGGGGACGGAATTGCCAGTATTGTCATCAAGCCCCTGATAGCAGCAGTCCGAGACGGTGACCCGATTCGTGCTGTGATTCGCAACTCAGCCGCAAACCAGGATGGCGAAACAGCGACTCTGACTTCGCCCAGTCAGGAGGCACAGGAGGCCTTGATGCAGGAATGCTATGAGATGGCTGGTCTCGATCCGCGCGACACCGATTTTGTTGAAGCCCATGGGACAGGCACGGAAGCGGGCGATACCATTGAAGCTCGTTCTATTGGGCGCGTGTTTGGCCTCAGACGTTGCACTGAGTGCCCGCTATTGATCGGCTCGGTGAAGACGAACATCGGCCATACGGAAGCTGCTAGTGGTCTAGCGGGTGTTATCAAAGCAGTCATGGCGATGGAGAAGCAGGCTATTCCTCCGCATCTGAACTTCGAGTCTCCGAACGAGAGCATCGCATTTGATGCATTAAACTTGAAGATTCCCCTCATGTTGCAGGATTGGCCTTCACTGTCGCTGCGGCGGGCATCCATTAACAACTTTGGTTCTGGAGGTGCGAATGCTCATGTTATTATAGAAACCCCAGAGATACTGCAGCGGAGTACCCCTTTCTCAGGAACGGTGAACACCGCAAACCCTAAGAAGCGGTCTCGTGTGTTTGTGCTCAGTGCCAAAGATTCCGGAATTGCTCGCAGAATGGGCGAGAATCTCTGCGACTATCTCGCGACCAGGATCCGTGAAAGCGAGGAAAGCGAGGAAAGGGAGGAAGAGTTGCTCGATCAGCTGGCTTTTACCCTCGGACAGCGACGCACCCGGTTTCCTTGCACCATAGCCTGGAGTGGCTCGTCGATCACTGAAGTACACGCCACTATCGATGCCCCAGGTTTGACAACCCAGCGCAGTATGCGTGTGCCACGCGTGGGAATGGTATTCGCCGGTCAAGGCGCTCAATGGTTTGCCATGGGTCGCGAGCTGCTCGACGCTTACCCGGCCTTCTGTGATGCCATACACGAGGTCGACGCTTGCTTGAAGTCAATGGGTGCTACGTGGTCTGCCCTTGAGGAACTGCAGCGAAATGCCGAGGAAAGTCGTCTTAACCAGGTCGCGTATAGCCTGCCACTGAGCGTGGCTATTCATTCAGCTTGCTCTAGTCGACCTGCTACGTTCTTGGGGCGTTTATCCTGCAGGAGTCACCGCTCATTCCAGTGGAGAGGTGGGTGCTGCCTACGCCGCCGGAGCCATCACCCTGAAAGGCGCATTGGCAATTGTGTACATTCGAGGCGATCTGACCAGTCAGTACCAACAACTCCTTGATCGTCGAGGAGGCATGGTCGCGGTGGGCCTAGGACGTCAGGATGCTGAGAAGGCGCTGCTGGCTGAGGTTCGATCCGGCAAGGCCATCATCGCCTGCGTAAACAGTCCGTCTAGCGTGACGATCTCGGGCGACGAGTGTGCGATTGAGGAAATCAAGACAATACTCCATGGCCGTGGTGTCTTTGTGCGTCGTCTTCATGTCGAGGTAGCCTATCATTCGCACCACATGCTGCCGCTGGCTGAGGCGTACCGAGCCCAGCTGTCGCGATTCCTCGAGCCGAACCCCGTACTTGACACCGGCATCATCTACTCGTCCCCAGCCACGGGGGGAAGGATCACGTCGGCTGCAGAGATTGCTCACCCCGACCATTGGGTGCGTAACATAGTGCAGCCGGTGGAGTTTCTGAGCTCGTTGCGTAACTTGTGTCGCGATGATTCTGACGCCACCAGGACCGCTATTGACATGCTTTTTGAGGTCGGCCCGCATGGCGCTTTAGCTGGTCCTATTCGGCAAACGTTGACGTTACCTGAGCTGAGTAGTCGGGAGATCACCTATGCTACGTGTCTGTCGCGTGGCCAGAACGCTGTCCAGACCATGCATCAGCTCGTCTGCACTCTTCTGCAAGCGGGCTATCCTGTTGACCTGGAAGCCGTCAACTTCCCTTGCGGCTGGAGCACGCTGCCCGTCTTGACCAACCTTCCACCTTACCCGGGGAACCACGAGACCTCATACTGGGCAGAACCTCGTCGTAACGAAGAACTCCGCCATCGAACTGTCATCCCTCACGATCTTCTTGGGGTTCCTGCACCAGGATCGACTCTGACTACGCCCACGTGGCGACATATAGTCCGCCCTCGTGATATCCCTTGGGTGCGCGACCACATCGTGCAGGGAGAAATTGTCTATCCCGGGGCGGGGTTTATGAGCATGGTGGTTGAGGCACTGCGACAGTTGCAATCACCAGCCCAACCCATCCATGGCTATGAGCTGCAGGAGATTCGAATACACAAGCCACTAATCCTGGAAGACTCGGCGGAGGGAGTAGAGGTACAACTGTCCCTCCGTGCATGTAGCGATCAGGTTCGTCAAAGATAGGGGTGGTATGAGTTCTTGATCCAGTCTGTCAAACAGATGAATGGCTCGTCGACGTTGCATTGCGAGGGGTTTTGTTGTACCTCAGTTCTGGCTCAGAGTGCCGGTTTGATAGGCCCTCCTGCTCCTACTGCTGCACCATTACCAGTACCTCCCAGTACGTGGCGTACCCTTGACCCCGCGGATATGTACAGGATGCTAGACGCCGTAGGTCTGTGCCTCGGCCCTGTCTTCCGGAATCTGGTGTCGGCAAAATCCGCTCCTAGATACGCGCAGTCAGTGATTCAGGTGGCCGATTCGGCGACGACAATGCCCCAGCAATACCAGCAACCCCACATCATTCATCCTACCACTTTAGACGCAGTCTTCCATGCAGCCTACCAGACTCTTCCCGTTGGGGGAAGCGGAGAACGCGCCGCAATGATCCCGACATCTATTCAGGATCTTTACATTTCCGCGGACTTGACAGCGTCCCCAGGTCACCGGTTCCACGCGAATTCGACCTTGGTGAGGGTAAACAGACGCGGGTTCGAAACCTCAATTCGGGTCACCAACACAGGCGCGGAGTCCGAAAAGTCGGGTTCTCACTGTCCAGGGGCTCTGGTGCCAGTCCTTAGGTCCGAATCCTGCGATGCGGATGCCCGACGACAGACTCTGCTATACCTCGGTCTGGAAGCCAGATATTGATTTCGTCCGACCTGAGCACTTCATTGAGCTAGATGCACCAAGCGGGACCCATCTCCATCTTTTTCAGCTACAAACCGCGGCTGTCATGTTCATTGTGGATGCTTTGCATCAAGTTCAAGGTAAAGATCTTGTTGCATCTGAGCATTCCAGTTACTGGAAATGGATGACAGACGTTGCAGAAAGGGCTCGTCCGATTCTCGACATCCTGGGGGTTACCGCGCATGGAATGGCAGCGCTGACACAAGAGCTGAAACAGTGTGTCGAGGGAAAATTACTGTGTCGATTCGGAGAGAAGCTTCCTGACGTCCTGTCTGGAATAGCCCTGGCGAAAGACATCCTGCTGGATTTCATGGCCGAGAACCAGGCTGAGTGGTATTCTGTTTCAGAGAGGCTCGAATCGGTGTTAACTCGGCTGCTCCAGCTTCATGGCCACAAATGTCCTCGGGCAAGGATCCTCGAGATTGGAACAGGCAATGGTGCCAATACACAGAGATTTATCAAGACCTTGACCAAGGTCGATACGCGACTGTTCTCTCGCTACGAGGTCACTGCCCCTAGTGCAGAACTGGTCAAGAACGCGGATACGGTCCTCAAGGATGAGGCAGACATCGAGTGCAAGGTTCTAGACTTGAACGCGGAGCCTGATGCCCAGGGATATGCCCGGAGAAGCTACGATTTGCTTATTCTATCCGCATCAGCTTTGTTGACGGTGAAGGAAATGGTTCAGACCCTCAGCTCACTGCATGTTCTTCTTGCCCCTGGTGGGAGATGCATCCTCTGGGGCCCCAGCCTGGGCGATGGTGCGTTGCAGACTATTTTCCGACTTTTTCCAGGATGGCAGGGCAGTTTTCATGCCAGTGGCCTGTGGAAGGAGCTCTGTGTGCAGGCCGGTTTCGAGTCGGTCAGCTCCCACCTCCAGCCAGATCTCAACGCAGACGGGTACCAAGGAGAAGTAGTCGTTGCGACGGCCAAGACAGACGTGACATCTGCCACTCGAACAGAAGTTCTGCTCATTTCTAGAACCAACCCGCCGGAAGACTGGCAGCAAGCACTCCAGCACGGGCTAGCTGCTGAATTTGTGTCTGGCGTCTCCGTTGTCTCCTCGCTTGAAGAGGTTGTTGCCGATGGCAAAACTTGTATCGTCTTAGACGAGCTTTTTCAGCCAATGCTGGATGACCCTACCGCTGAGCAATTCCATGCCCTTCAACGCGAGCTCAGCAGCTGTCGGGCTACAGTGTGGGTATCATGCGGTGCACAATGCAATGCTGAAGAACCTCTGAACAGTTTGCATCAAGGTCTCCTCCGCACACTGCGCTGTGAGAATCCTCTTCACCGATACGTCTCGGTGGACTTGGACCCCAAAGCCCCCGTGTGGTCTCTCTCAACTGCGACTGATATCGCACACATTGTCCGCAGCACATTGGCAGCGCTCCTCTGTCAGAAACCGAATACGCTGTGCGGGATTCCGTGATCCATATCTCACGGGTATACGAAGACCAACAAGAGGCCCAGCTGGTGGGCACCACGCGGCCTCAGGCCCCCGAGATGCGGGCTTGGTCGACCCCTGGCCAGAACATTCGGCTGGAAGTTGCCACCCCGGGTCTGCTCAACAGCCTTGTGTTTACGGAAGATCCCACTATCGACGAGGCTCTTGCCGACGACTGTGTGGAGATCGAGCCACGCGCCGCTGGCTTCACTGCTGGACAGCGGGTATATGCCTTCATTCTCGGCTACTTCGCAACCAGGGTGCGTATCCCCTTCACCAACGTGGCCCAGATGCCCGCGGAACTGGACTTCCTCACGGCAGCCTCCATCCCCTTGCATTTATCACCGCCTTTCATGCCCTGGTGGATCTGGCACGTCTCCAGCGCGATGAACGAGTGCTCATCCACCCCGGCACGGGGGGTGTCGGCCAAGCCGCCATTATGGTTGCGCGGTGGATCGGGGCAGAGATCTTCGTGACGGTCGGATCGGAGCACAAATGCGACTTCCTAGTAGAGGATTACGGGATCCGCCCGTCGCACATCTTCAGCAGTCGCAACCGTTCCTTTGCGAATCATCTCATGTCGGCGACCAAGGGGAAGGGGGTGGACGTGGTGCTCAATTCGCTTGCGGGCGCTTTGTTGCGCGAAACGTGGCAGTGCGTCGGGATGTTTGGACGATTCATCGAGATCGGTAAGCGGGATATCGAACAGAACAGCATGGTGGAGATGGGACCGTTTGGGCGGAGTACGATGTTCGCGTCGCTGGATCTGATCACGCTCGGGGAACGGAGAGGTAAGGAGGTGCAACGGATCTTGGGAGCGATCAATGGATTGATGGAGAAACGGGAGATTCGACCGGTCAGGCCGATCACGCTGTTTGGCATGGGAGACATTGAGAAGGCATTTCGCACGATGCAGACCGGGCAACACGTGGGGAAGATTGTGATGGAGGTGAAGAAGGAGGAGGAGGAGAAGGTGAAGGTGCAGCGGCCGGTGCGACCGGTGGTGATGCTGTCACGTGAGGAGACCTATCTAATCGTCGGCGGTGTGGGGGGAATCGGGCAGTATCTCGCCCAACGGCTGGTGGTGGAAGGCGGTGTCCGCCATCTCCTCCTCCTCTCCCGATCGGCTGCTTCTGCTTCTGCTTCTACTTCTACTACCACCACCACCACAACTGGAACTCCTCCATGGCTTGCACATCTACGACAGACCACTGGGGCTACAATTGTGCTAGTCAGTTGCGACGTCACTAATACGACTCTGCTGCAGTCGGTTCTACAGCAACATGCCTGCCACCTACCGCCCATCCGCGGCGTCATTCAAGCCGCCATGGTGCTGAAGGTACGTATCGTAGATCGATCCGTCAACATCAACAGATCACAGAAATCAGCATTAATCTTACTTGTCAACTCTAGGATGGAATCTTCGAGACCATGGCCCGTGAAGACTACCTCGCTGCCATCAAGCCCAAAGTCCAAGGATCGTGGAATTTGCATACTCTTCTCCCCCCCCGACCTTCGCTTCTTTATACTTCTCTCCTCCATCAGTGGGCTCGGTGGCAACGCAGGCCAGGGCAACTACGCTGCTGGGGGAAGTTATCAGGATGCATTGGCCCGCTACCGCGCAAGTCAGGGTCTCCCCGCCGTCTCCATAGACTTTGGAATGGTCTCATCCGTCGGCGTCGTCGCAGAATCGAAACCCCTCACGCATCACCTCGAGAAGCTCGGACTACGCGCCGTGTCCGAGCAGGAGGTGTGGCCCTTGGTCGCGTCCGCCATCCGCCATCCCATCCGAACCCCAGAGACTTGTCACATCGTCACCGGGCTACCAAGGGGTTTGGTCCGGTCGGAGGCTACTGCGGGCTGGAACCGCGATGCCAGGTTCGCCATTTTTGAGCAGCAAACCCCCTCTTCTTCTGGTCCTGCATCTCGTTCCTCACCGGAAGCCGGTCTGAGAGACCACTTGGCTGCCGCTACCACTTTGACTGAAGCAGTCTTAGTCATCGAAAACGCCTTGGTCACGAAATTGGCCGAAATGTTCAGTCGCACCCGAGAGGGGATTGATCCCTCCTTGCCTCTCGCGCAATTCGGCGTCGATTCCTTAGTGGCGGTGGAATTGCGCAATTGGTCGGTCGCGACGGTGCAGGCGGATTGCTCCATCTTTGATGTCATGCAAGCGGTTTCGATGACCGGGCTCGCAGGGAAGATGGCGGAGAAGAGTCAGTTTGTCAAGCTGTAGAGGGGGGGGGGGGAAATCAATGCATTTTATGGATACATCTATGCTACCATCAAGTCAACTTGAAGAACTTGTGTGCGCTGACCACGCCGTCTCTATAGTTGGCTCAATCTAAATCCAAATGCCAAAATTCAAACTCTTTTAATCGCATGAACTCCTGACTCGAAGCCCGTCTCAAATGGGCGAAGATGATCCTAAGCTTCCTGAGGAGCTTTACCAGGCACGACCCGCTCGACAGAATCCGGTCGATCGGGGTCAAGGTCCAGTGTAATATTGGTGAAACCGCGATGTCGTCGCTGCCCGCTCCGCAGGCTATAACTACTCAAAGCCCTCTCCCGACTACCACTGCTGCTCCACGAGCCAGAGAAAAACACCTGGCGGAAGGATGGTACGCAAGCCGTGACAATAATCAGACTGGCTTCAACGTTGCTGTAGGACGGTCAGCACCCTGCCATCACCACGCGAGTTCATCATCACCTACATCCACAACACCATAGCCCCGAGCCGATAGGATTCGTCGTTGGTATGCAGCATTGGGACGACCGACACCAACCGCATACAACTGGTAACCAGGGACCTACCCACGATCATGCATTCGTCAGTAGCTGCAGTGCGACCGACGAAGACGAGGAAGGACGAAGCATACAGTCCGCCAAGCCCAAACATGCAGGCCACCCCCACGCGCTTCTTGGGCGCCATGTTGAGCCCCACCACCACCGGGAGAGGCGTGATCACCAAGACAATGTCGATGAAGATACTGGCGCACGTGCCGGCCAAGAAAATCGAGGCCCGGCTGATGCACTGCCCCTCAATGGCTACGTCCCAGGCCTTCTGGATCGGGTTGCAGCCGAAGAGGAACAAGCATTCGAGAATGACCATGTAGGATATGACAAAGATCGTGAAACTCCACAGTATGATTCGCCAGCTGCGCTGCATATCGGACAGGCGATAATAGAGAATGATGAGGCCGATCTTGGAGAGTCCGAGGGCTGGGATGTACATGACTGCGCCAGCCATGAGAACCTGCTTGGCCATCAATGAAGGGTGCTAGACGAACCAGGCACGACTGGAACTCCGTACCTTCAGTGACTTGTTGTAGTCTTCTACTGTGAGCTCCCATTGATGGATCCCAAGCCCAGCGTGAGTGTATCCGTCTGAAAACCCCGGTGTGTTGTTAGCGATCCATCTCCGGGAAGCGGGCAGACACTGCGGAACACCTCACAGAGTAAGACGGATTGTGTGATGGCTGCAAACATCTGCACCATGAACATTCCAAATCAGTCGACGATACCAGTCGTCTAGTCACCGACACTCACCCATGAAAGCACGAGAACAGCTAATGATCCGTTGGTTAGATGTGATTACCCGACGCATCCATGCCACTTACTGTCATCCAGCATCCATTTCCTCACCACCACCAGCCGGCTGTAGATGCGCACCAGCAGAGAGATGGCACTAGCAGTCGTTCCTACAATGACGACCACGCGATTTGCCGTGTGCAGATGTCGTGTAGGGTGCGCAAAGTCGGGCGTGACCCCGGCAGGCGGTGCGATCACTCCAGTCTCATTGAGGGCCATGGTTGGTTACCACCATTTGCGTTCGATAGCTCGATGAGCATTCTTTGAGTCTTCAAAGAAAGTGAGGAAGAATTGAAAATACAAATCCAGTCACCAGGAGCTCAATGGCCAGGGTTGACCTTGTCCAGCCCCTGGACTAAGATTTTTAGCTGATGCCCGACACCTTCCGCGCATGGTAGCAGGCTGGAACTAGAACCGAGTCTGACCTCAGTACGCGACAGCTAAGCCCTGGGTTTGCGCCTGGGTTTGCGCCTGATCTGCACACGCTACGGCACGTTGCAGTTGGTTTAATCTCGAGTTAATCTATCTTCCACACTTGGCGTGGAACAACTTCGGCCATGCCCGTGCGTTGACTACTTGCTCCCTGTTCGGGCCTGAAGGATTTACTAGCTTAAGGTGAAGATATCGATGATATCAGCAGCAGGGATGTCGAGGTAAAAATAAGCACCGTGTTATCGCATGGATCAATAACGAGGATCTTGCCGTCAGGCAAAAACGGCTGGCTCAACGGCTGGCTCTACAGCTCAAAACAAAACGGCTTGGTGACCTTATACCGGAAGTTGCTATCAGCTAGGCGTAGGGTGTAGTATGATCAATAATCCAACCTCATCTATAACATCTTCGTGGCCCTCAAACATGGAGCTTGGTCATCATCTGTCCATTGCTGCCTCGCCATCGACAGCGGCCCCATAGGATCATCATGGGTCTATTTTGAGTAGACAGCCGCTCATTGTTCATGCCTCAAGCCCCCATGCACATGCTCGAGCATATAATTCTTTGTGCATGTACGGTACACCCATACTCCGAGATCAGGGCCATGCAGACGTAAACCAAGGCGTCGATCCACCCGATGTCTCATCCTGGACTGTACCGGTTGAACCTAAATTGATTTATTGATTCATTGAATCAACGGTTCCGCCCTTCCGCTGCGGCACGGTTCGTTTGAGATACTCAATCCGGCCGATGATTGCCAAACTTCGGGCATTCTTCGGAGACTTATCCCTCCCAGAGTGAGTGGATAGCTAGCTAGTTATAAGCTAGTTGTAAAAAAAGGGTCAGTACTTTTGTCAGGATCAGGTCGAAGGTCTGTCTGCAGCATTATCATTTCACAGCGTTTACTGCTGAACCGGCCCAAAAAAGACCTCGGGGCGGGTAGACCATGCGCCCGGAGGAACTGGCCACCGCCTCTCTCTCCGCTCGGTTCTGCCCGTCTTTTCAGCCCCAACTGGAATGCTTCAATGCCCGCTCGGTTCTGGCCATGTGGTGTACAACAGATAAGTTAGTTAAATACAGTACTCTCATCTCTCCAACTCAGTCTGCTTCGCTATGCTATCGACCAGCGACAGCTTCAACATAAACAGCAACACGACTCACAGCCGAGCACTCTGCAGAAGTTCTCCTCGTGGTGGACGCTCGCTTCCTGCATGGTATGGCTATCTATGCCTCTGGAGTGTCTGCACACAATGTGAGCTAAGGCCAGATATTCCACCGTACTGCCAGTGAGCGATGCCGCAATAAACACCAGAAATGTGAGTCTGAATTTATTTACTCTTGACCTTAGAGGTCTTTGTACTCAGTTGCGAATTAGGCGATCTCGCTGTCAATCGCAACACTTGCTCCACTTGCGAGCGAGCGGGTCTGCTTTGCAGCCAGAGTCGTCAGCCAGACCTCCGCATCAAATTGGTGGATATACCATCGTTCAAGCGCAAACGCCGCAAGTCTGCTCCTGGGGGGACCAGCGCGAGACTTAAAGTGGTTCAACAAGCCACTCGATCGGAACTGGTGGACGCCGGTGAGGACGACCCTGGCAACAGAAGCTCCGCAATCCCACCGACTCAGTGTCCTCAAAAGCGTTCTCTAAAGCGACCGCTTGCATCGCAGAATGAAGGATCAGCAGTTCCGTCCGACCATGACCCTGGCCCGTCAGTCTCAGCCCCTGCGTCGACCGCCTCGCCGCAGTTCTGGCCACTTTCCAGGGAAGAGGCCCGGCTGGTGAAGTATTTCTTCACCAATTTAGTGTCGTGGGTAAGCCAAGTGCCCGATCGCACTTAAGTGGACTACAATAATGATATTGACCGAGCGTAGTTCGACTATTGCATTCCTGACAGGCACTTCCAAACCGTTGTGGGGGCCACCGTTACCAAAGACCCGTCCATCCTATTTGCCGTTTTGGCAATATCTGCCCGACATCGGGAGTTGACGATGGGGATCAGCTCCTGCAATTCGCATGAATATGAGGGGCGGTGTCTTGAAGTTCTGATCCCGAGTCTCAACGATACGTCCAAGGCTTTGGACGATAGCGTGCTGGCCTCCGCCATGCTCTTAAGATTACTCGAAGAAATGTCCGGTAGGTGTTGGGTCTTATCCCAAGTACCGGCCCAACTGCTGACTTTAACATAAGAGCCAACCGAAGCACAGGTCTTCACATCGCATGCGGTTTCCACCCCGATTTTGCTTCAGATCAAGGGTGGTAACGTCCGACCATCGGGATTCAGTGATGCAGCCATGATTGTGGCTTTGCGGCAAGAAATCGTTATTGGCAACGTGGTGAAACGAGCCGTTGAACCCAGCCTTGCCTCCTGCAATGCGAATTGGTCCCTGGCGCCCGCTGACGATGCTACGTGGACATATCGCATGATTGCACATGCAGCACGCGTCACCACCTTTGCCTACGGTGACGGACCCAAAGACAAGTTGGAGTGGGATCGACTGTGGCAGTATGTACTGGACTGGGAACAGCGCAAGCCCGACTCATTTCAGCCGATACACTATTCACATCGAACCCAATTGTGGACCTTTCGCCTTCGCCCGGAGAACCCGGGAGATGCACCATCTGCCAGCGCGAACAGGGACAGTTAACTCCCGGTGATCTATTACACCTACGACTGCCCCATTGCAGGCCAGCAATATCTCCAACTGTCTCGCATCTTATTACTGGCGCATGACCCCCGCTTGCCCAGCTTAGGCATGGGGCGCGCTCAGTATCTGCAGAAGCAAGAGGAGGAGATGCGTAACGCGGTTCGCGTCATATGTGGGATAGCCATGTCGAATCCGGAATATATGCCCGCCAAGCTGACCGCGGGTCTGGCAATCGCATTGGGTGGTGAGCTGTTCGACGATCCCGAAGAGACTCGAGAGCTGATGCATCTGGTTGCTGAGGCCGAGCTGCATGTGGGGTGGCCATGCTTGAAAGTGAGCTATCGCCTCCGAGCTTTCTGGGGTCTCGAAGGCAATCTTGAATGATGCATGGAGTCGGACGGTTTATACCTCAAAGGGAAATTTCGGTCCGGGCGCAGCTTATGTATTGTAACATGAGTTAGTAGTCGGGATGAAATGCCATTCTGGGTAATTTTCCCCCGGGTTGCCCTATACAATGCAATATATTATGGATGGCCCAGCAACATCAACTTTCTTTCTCAATTCACCTCTCACCCTGGCAACTACCACAATCTGAATCCTCATCATGCCCCATCCCGAGACCGACTTTCCAGACCTATACGTCAACGATGGCCAACTAGACCCTCAACGCACGGGTCTGCTCGAAGCAACCTGTCCGCGTACCACTCCCATGGCTGAGATGCGGCACCGATTGGAACGAGACGGGTATCTCTACCTTAAAGGGCTTCTGCCTCGCGCCGATGTCCTTGAGGCAAGGAGGAAATACTTCGAGATGCTTGCGCCGACCGGGATTCTGGATCCCCGGACCTCCCCAATCGAGGGGATCTTCGATCGCTCCCAGGACGCCACCGACTTCCCCGGCTTCGGAACCGGTCGCCACGGCACCGGAACCACCACGTCCGATACTTTTATGATGCTGGCCCTTCGTGCCCATGCTGAAGACTGGCATCGCAATGATCTCTGCAAACATCCGGCTCTCATCGCCTTCGTCGAGGACTTCACCGGCTGGGGCAAGAGCACATGGGCTTTGGAACGGACTATCCTGCGGAATAATCTCCCTGGAAATCCAGCGACTGGGGTACACTACGACTATATCTTCTTGCGGCATGGGGAACACTCGGTCTTGACAGCGTGGGTTCCGGTCGGGGATATCGCCCTCAACGGGGGCGGATTGATCTACCTTGAAAACGGTCTGTAGTTGCTGGAGCTGGCTATCGATCGCTTCGAGCTAACACGACCAGGCCACGTCCTAGGTAGGGCCACCGAAGGCCAGTTCACTAGCAAGGCCCAAGCGGCAGGCCTCTCAGAAGAGGAGGCCAAGACCGCGTTCAACCAGAATATGATGTCCAATGGCATGCTCAGTCAGGATCCGAGGCATTTTGGTGAGGAGCACCAACGCAGGTGGCTTGTTTCGGCATATGAGGCGGGGGATGTGGTCTTCCATGATTCCTACATGGTATGAAGGCTCTTGCGAGATTGCAGGATGCTCGCTGATTGCCCCGTCAAGATTCATGCCTCGACCTTGAACCACGACACGAATGGTGTCATTCGCCTCGGAACGGACTTGCGGTTCGTTGATGGGCGTGGAGACTGGGATACGGTCAGCCCGGCCCTTCGATTCTTTTCTGTCCTGCACTGACTGTTTCCCATAGCGATGGGCCAGCATCTACAGGGATGATGATGGGCTTTGACTGTGTAAACAGATTTTGTTCGGTCGCGGCCTTCGTTCAGCAATCTGGGCTCAGAGAAACCGAAGACGGCCGATAACACGAGGCGAGCTGAAAGGGCAAGGTTCAAACCGGAGGGAGAATGTATTAGGTCGTTGGTTCACAATGGTGGTCTATCATCGTTTTTTTTTTTTTTTTTTTTTTTTTTTTTTTTTTTTTTACGATCTACCTGTTGGCTTCCTTCAAGCAGTTTTCTGGTCTTGCAATGTTCGAGAGTTGAAGACACGCGAGGCATTCAAGCATTGTGAGCATTCAGGTGGATTATGTAAAATGAGAGACAGCTAAAGTCCAACAGCTGGCCTGCTGGCCCAATGGTAAGGCGCTTGACTACGAATCAAGAGATTGCAGGTTCGAGCCCTGCGTAGGTCATATTTTTTGCTCCCCTAGACTCAGTCTGGTTCTCCCCTCCAACTTCTTTTTTCCCCCCTCTTCAATAAGAAATGGGTATCTCCTTCTCTAAAGCCTCGCAAATCACCACGATATGTAACTTCTGGCTTGTGGTCAAATGTTGTGCCATCAGATAGTGGAATTATCGCATGCTATCCGACGTACATATCTTACGGAGGATCAGCCCGAACAGTAACACCACGCAGCAAGCAGCACCGACACTATGAAGCAATACTATTCATTCATCTCTTTCACCCAAACAAATAGCAACACTACCAATTGACTATAAGGCCCGTTGCGATAGTTTCCGTCCTCAGCCGACGAACGCTCACTTCAGAACGCTCGCCATGACCACCACCGGATGACCCAACTCTACCCCCTCCTGGTACAATTCCAAGGCCGTGATGGCATCGATTCGCTCTGAGAGTAACTCCCGCCCAATCTGTAGCGCCCGGAGAGCAGCGCCCGCCGGAGTCCGACCGTGAAAGATGCGTCGGAGAGTGGTGGTGCGATAGAAATAGAACTGGTCCGGTGTCAGCATGCGTCTCACCAGCCCTGTAACCAGAGTTCGACTAAGAGACTCGGAACCCACCGGACCCAATCCCTGCTGCTGTTGGGTTGCATAACCACCGATCACCGACTCAGGCTCACTCTGCACTTTCCAACTCATGGAGAGGATCCGCCCTGCAAAGCCGGCCGTGTCAGCGAGAGCGAGGATCGTTGCGATCGGCACACGTCCGCCAATACTGGACAAGATGACCCCGGACGCGCTGAGGAGGCTGAACGCGCGAGCCTGAACGAGGCTGGTGTAGTGCAAGTCGAGAAGCGCGGAGGCGACGAAGGGAGGAATCTGATAAGGTAGATCGGCGCCAGAGAAGTACGTCGACGATGTCTGATCCTCCAGGAGGGTGGCCCCCTCTGGGAGGGGAATGTTGGGCAAGTTCCTTGGGGCATGCGTTAGGTTGTAGGTCACGAAGGAGTGTATTGAACGAGGTGAACGCACTCATAGATCAGGTCGAAGACTTGTTGTCCCTTCAATGGCTCCAAACAATACCCCGTCAAAGCAGTAGCCTCGAGAGCTACCGCTTGGATCGTCTTCCGGGCGTCATGAACCGCGGAGATCAGATTCAATCTGGCGGTTGCGACCACCTCGGGCGATAGGTCGGTCATGGTGATGCTGGTCAGCTCAGGGAAAAAGACCTCGAGGGCGCCCACAGCATCGGTTCCGGATCCAGTCCCAATCGTGGCGAACCGACGAACGGGGCTGTAGCCAGCGAGTTGGAAAGATCGAAAGGCCTGGAATGCTGCCGTCACTGTCCAGTCCGCGGTGGGTTTCTCGACCTAGAAAGTGGGAAGTGGAAGGCATGAGCATTGTTCTGACTGTCAAACATGAACATAAGCTTTTCACCTTGGGTTGATAGCTGAGATCTGAAAGACTGATCTTGAAGGAAGGCGAGACATGACGAGGCTTCACCCCATAGAAGGACTCAAAGTGGATAGAGAGATTATTGCGAGCCTTGGGCACCAGGTCAATGGTAGCCCTAGACAAGTCGTCAGCAACAAGTATCTTCTCCTCCAGAACCGCAGTAGACATGCTGACAAGTGGGTAAAGTAAATGGTGTTACAACCACATCGAGCATCTCAGACCTCAAATTCGGGCGAACAACAACATTAAGTATCAATAGCACCTGTCAGAAGGCGCCCTCTGCTTCGTGTTCATATTACTCCGAGATGTCGCGTTCAGGAAATAAGCATATCACCGTTGTTGTTGTTGTTGTTGTCTATTTCCCCGGACCGAGTGTGCCAGGCATGTCATCTTCATGTCTTGATGGAGGCTTCTGGTGCGGCTGACAGCTCTTAAGGTGGTGTGGCCGAGGTAAGTAACCCCGGAAAGTTTCGCTATTGGATATTCTCCTGAGTGTCACAGAACGCTCGGATCCCCCGAGTCGAAAGGGCATGCAAGTTACTTAGTTTATACAATACGAATGATTGATTCCATTTCGGTAGCAGGGAGAAACACACTGGCAGGGCGCACACCGGCTGGGGGAAACCGCGGACCGAATGTTTGCTGTTGACGCCACCATCCACCAAACTATTGATTTATAGCTTCGAAAGGACTGCAGCTTAGCGTCTGCACCTGCAGCCCTCCAAGCGACGAAGAAGCAAGCGAAGCGAATGGTTCATTGCCAAGCTGCCACGATGCAGCCCCAGATCCCAAGGCAACGATTGCCGAGCCTGCTTTGGCCCAGACCATGCGGGGATTCCCTTCTTCTCAGCTGCGAACTCAAGCGCCTCTGCCTGGCATTTGCCCTCCCAGCCAGTCGCAACCGATTGCTTGTCTCTTTCAAACCCACTTTGGGCTGCCATGGACTTCTAGGGAGGTCTGGTCGAGCCGGTCTGTTTGACAGGTCGGAGGAAGGAGGGAGGAGGGCGGACGGCTGTTAGTTAGGGCTTCTCGCAGAACATGTCGAGGACTATAAAGCGCGATGAGTTGCCTGCACCGATGGAGTTCATCTCTTCTCTAATCGCGCTCACAATGCAGCCTCCAGTGTCCTCCGAGGTACAATGCTCCCACCTGGAGGTCCCCGATGCCAAGTTGTACTATGAAGTACGTGGCCAAGGCCCCCTTCTTCTGCTCATGGCCGGGGGCAACGGCACCGCAGCCTTCTTCGCATCTTTCGCATCCCTCCTGTCGTCCCACTTTCGAGTAGTGACGTACGACCGACGAGGATTTTGGCGGAGTCCTATCAAAGATGCGACCAGCTTCGACGCATCCAGACTGCTAAAGGCGAACGTCGAGGATGCTGCTGCCCTGATCCAACATCTCTCACCCAGCGCATCGGCTATTGTTTTCGGATCCTCCTGGGCAGCCAACATTGCGATGAATCTGCTCAATGCCCATCCTCAGCTGGTTCGCAAGGTCGTTATTCACGAGCCTGTCCTGGGGAACCTGTTCACCCCGCCGATCCTACAAGGATTCACTGAGGATGTCGATCGAATCATTGCTGCGTTCCGCCAGCGGGGAGTGCCGGCGGCCAATGCGATCTTGACTGCCATCACGAGTAGTCAACGCGATCGAGAGCTGTTCGTTGCCTCGCCAGTGTTCAAACAGCTGATGTCCATCCCCCCGAGCAACCAAGACTGGTACTTCGGAGTTGAAATGGCTGAGTGGCGGCAGTTCACCACCTTCGAGCCGGAGGTTCTCCTGGACCATCGGGGGAAGCTGGTGCTCATGCGCGGGGCAGAAGAATCCCCCGATTTGACCGCGCAACCGATCTGCGTCTTGTCCGACCGACTGGGTCTGCCCGTCGTTGACATGCCTGGAGGTCATTTAGGCTATATCACCCACCAGCAGGAGTTCATTGACAGCTTGAGGCAATTGTTATCGCATCACGAGCGGGCTCGGTTGTGATCCATGGTTCTGCGAGAGTCTTCCCAGTTTCTCCGCGTCATTGTCGCCACTGCCCTGCCCCCAGATAAATCGACCCTCTCCACCTTCTTTCAATCTCGCTGATGTTAGACGTCTCAAGGCCACTTTCACCACACCTCAAAACACACCTCAAGACCAAACTCAACCATGTACCAAGCGTTTATCAGTCGCTCAAGGCCGGCTGTGTCCAACCTCGGCCAACGCATCCAGTCAGCGGGTAGGGTTGCTTGAGATACAACCAGAGACAACCAAGAACCTCATCACTGAGTAAAGGTAATAGATCCCTCCCAGCGTCGAAGACACATCGTACGCTCGGATACCTATCGCCGGGACAGCTTCGAACCCGGTCACATCCCGCTCAGTTCGCTGCGGGTGCAGGCCGCGGCCTGGGGCGTTGCAGGGGCGGGCATCTTCGCCACCCTGCATGGAGTGTATATGATGCTGCGGTCGTTCCGGCAGATCCGCTACCTCTAGGATAAGGAGGAGATGGAAATGATGGACGGTCTAACGGGTGGGGGCTCGCATTCCTTCTAGCTTCACAGTCTGTACAGCAGCGTCTTTTGATTCGTTATCTTTAAATGCCAACTACCGCTTTTATGCCAGGTCCAGGGAAACATCCAACCCCCTTCAAACTCCTCTACTGCACCACAAACTGCTCCGTATGACTCTTGTACAGCACACTTGAGTCCAGAACTGCGCCCGTCTCGGATCGAATGAAGTCCACCTGCAGATGCGTCTCGTTCAGCACCCGCACGGTACTGTAACTGTAGTCATCGGCGTAGACAAACGCTGTGTACGAGGGCTCGGATCCGACCGAGCTCAAGCCCTCGATATTGCCCGCTCCACCGGCGACGATGTACATGGGCGCCGCCGGGTCATTCAGCCCATTGGCATCCGCGGTGCCGTTGTAGACGGGCTGGAAGCGCTGCGAGTTGTGCACGTGGCCGAACACCCCCAGATCCACCCCGTACTTGTACAAGAGATCCTCGAAGGCCTCCTGGCACGCGTCGCAGATGTTGCTCGACCCACCCGTGGAATACCACGGTCGGTGACCCGCCACGATCACCCACGGGGTCACGCTGCGGTCGACACTGGCCAGGTCCGCTTCCAGGAACGCCAGCTGCTGCTGGGGCTGGCCGAAGGGGCCGCCGTCCAGCCCGGCAGAGCCGTCCGGGCCGTCCGGGGCGTCGGTGAAGTCGGTCTCGGTATCGATCATGGTGAAGTGCACCATGCCGTACTCGAACGAATACCAGAAGGGGGGGTTGGAGAGCGTGCGTGCGGTCGCAGCCAGGGTTTGTGCGGTGGTGTTGGTGGAGGACGAGGCGAAGGCCGACGGCATCGTCTCGTCAAACCGGTGCATGAAGTCGGTGAAGTTGCGTTGCCCCTCCGGGCAGAGATCGATGAGCAACGACAGCTCGTCGCAGTCGGCTTCGTGGTTCCCCGGACTGACCATGTAGGGCTTGCCGGCGGCAATCGGAGCGAGCTGGTCGTAGAACTGCTCCAGAATGGCTTGATAGGCGTCCTTGCCGTCCAGCAGGTTCTTCAGCTTCAGATACCAGTCGTCGGCGTAGGCAAAGTCGCCGGGGTGAATGACGAGCTCGTAGTCGTCGAATGTGTCGGCCAATCGTCCGATGGTGGTGTGGTTGAGGTCGGGCTCGACGTACGGCGTCTCTCGCTTGCTTGTGGAGGAGTCGCTGGAGAGGGTGTAGCCATCAGCCCCGTACACTCCCAGGTCGATTACGACATCGAAATTGAAGGGAGTTTTGTCCCCCGGGGTCCGGGGGCTGAGGAACTGTTCCACCGTGGAATTGCCAGACACAATCTTGTAGTAATAGGTAGTGCCCGGCGTAAGGCCCGTCAGAGTCACAGCATTGGAGTAAGTCCGCGAGGTCGAGTAGGTCGTCGACTTGGTCGAGCAGGCCTGCTGGCTCAGGTCACTGCTGGAGGTGCCGTATTCGACACAGCTCGAGTTCAGCTTCTCATAGGTGTTCCATCCAATTGAGACCGCTAGACAGAGGGGTTGATCAGGGACTGTCGGGTTATGGTTGGGAGAGGAGGCGCTCACATGTGGGCCCCATGATAGCCAGACGCTGCTGGTACGGGGTGGTCAGGTCATTAGGCAGAGTAGGATAGTCCACGGCCAAGGCTGCAACCGCCAACAAGGGGAGTCCCTTGAACAAAGTGGACTGGTGCATCATAGTAGTGGTTGTCGCTTGCGTCTGATGCTTGTGGTCCTGTTGTTTGCCCTCATATGCTCGAATTTATAGTCGCGGTCAGGCGTAATCCCGCCGTCGTGAGTGGCTCGGGCCAGTGGCCCCAAGTGCATGCTGGACCTTGCAGATTCCAGCTTGCATGATTCTTGTTTGATGCAGAATCAAGGTTACGGCCGAACGTGCCTCGGTCCGCGCCTCTGTTTGGGAATGATGTTGGGAGGGCATTGATGGGGGATTGATTAGGGTACCTGATCGGCCAAGCACGTGGGGAAAGCGTTGGCCTCGCCGTGCTTCCTTCTCCGTGCCGGCTCTGCCGCATAAATTGCCCACGGGGGACGGTAGACCGTTTTCTGCAAGCATCTCCGACGTCACGTTGGTGATTCTGCGGGATTCTGCAGCCACTGCCAGGCAGCAAGCTCGGTGGAGCCATTCGTACGGACTAAATGCCTATTTGGGAGGCGGGTTGCTGCATCACCACCTGGCATTCCCCACCTCATAGTCCGGCGTACTCAGACCGGGCATAGTGGCATAGCTTATATAAGCAGGCATTATCCACGAATCTCCTGTGCTGTACTGTCTAATTGGCAGCGGAGGAGTCGAGGAAGCGAAGTGTATTCAAGTGTATGACAACCCTGCCTCATAGCTGGGCGGCGAGACCGATTGAGCCACTTCGAATGCTGGGAGCTCATCGCCGAACAGGTCGCTGTGCAACTTGTCACTGCTACTAGCTAGCTGATGGATACGAAGTGGAAAGATCGATCCGTAGGACCTGACCGAAGTCCTTCGGTCCAATACACGATTCGTTCGGTCATTGACAATATCCTCGCCCGTGATGACTTCGATCTTGAGGTGATGATCGACGGTGATGGCTGGGGTCTTGGCGACCTCACTCGGATGAAGCCATCCACGACTCGGGCAATGGGACTCTCGGTCCAGGTTATCCACAGCATTGATGGCTTGTGGTATCGTAATGTCGAATTGGATCTGAGCCCGATCATCCGTCCGACTCAGTGAATTTGAGTGTCGGTGGTTGCTGTTTGATAACGGGATCTTGACCTCTCCGCGACTTAGGGCACGTGTCGACCTCTGACCAGGACTGAGGCTTGTCTGCCAGTCGCCGTTGGAGATCTCTGTGATAACAGCTTCTTCTCCCACTTCCCACTTAACTGCGTTGACTATCACATATTTCGCTTCTCCCGCTCGGTCTCCGAGTGCGTAGAGATTCTGGACCAGCAGTGACACGGAGAACTGAGCCCTAGGTGTGTTGTGATTGGGTTGCCGCTGTGTGATGCTGACGTCGAATGTGAGAGGAGACTGAGGAAACATCCGAATGTGTTTGGCTGTGAGATATGAGCTTTGTAAGAGGCGATGGAAGATCCCCAGCGGTCTGTATAGAAATTCTGACTCTCCGGAGGCCAGAGTCACCGTGGCCCGGATCGCGTAGCTGATGGCTCCCACGTCTGTGATAGTCGTAGCAGGAAGGTTATCGGGCACTGGTACACAAAAGGGAAACTGGAGACACTTGAGACTAGTATCTGTTCTTGCACTCTGAGACGTGGCGAGCAAATCCGGCGAGGACCAGAGGTTACACTTGAGCACGGTCTCGCAGTATGTCTGAGCTGTCGTCTGAGCGGTTCTTGGTGAAATCATCCGCCGCTTAAATGGGAGCGAATATCGCCGGTGACCCCCGGTGATTCTGTGAGCTGACTCCTTGGCTTCAATTTCCACAATTCGTAATAGACTGATAGTGATCCCTGAAGGGGCTTGGGTGTCCTTCGTGACGGAATCCGGTGAAATCCAGAGCGACCCAGACAGAGGCAGAGTATATGATCCCCGATCCGGGTGGATGAAGATAACATGCGAAGTGGGAGTGTCTAAGCGGAGACGTGGTATGGCCATTTCGGTCGACATATAGATGTTGGTGATGGAAGAGATTGGCAGTAAAATGGGTGCTTGAGAAGAATTTGAAGCAACAATGGTCCAATGGTCCAATGGTCCCATAAGTAAGATATTGATGCCATCGACGTATAACTTGCACGTCCAGGGTTATAGTGGGTGGCAGCCAGACTAAGCCCGAAAGGGCAGCCAAGCTGTAAAAATAAGCTTTTGCATCGTTTGCAGCTCCACCGTCGATGCCTGAACGTCGCCCGCTTCTTCAGGCCGCCAGCGCCCCTTCCCCTCTCCATAACAGAAGCATTGCCCTGCCCTGCCCTGCCCTGCTCTTCCCTTGGAACTCAGTTCTTGTTGAGTCTCCCTCTCCATTCCCCCAAATCCGCCAGCCTGCTCCTGTCACGGGTCGGTTCGTCTATCTTTACGGCTCGATTTGGAAGGCAATTCCACCATCAGGGGTTCCCACACTTGGACATGGCTCCCAGACTCCATTTGGTCCGCCACGCAGAGGTGCGATTCATGGCCATTGGCTTCCCCCATTCCTGACTTGACCGACAATCAACTCTAGGGCTTGCATAATCTCGGCATAGCCTACTGGTCTCTCGAGGACCCGCCTCTGACCGCGAAGGGCAGGGAGCAGTGCTCCAAGCTCAGAGAGCATTTTCCCTCGCATCCCAGCGTTGAACTTGTCGTATCGTCGCCCATGCATCGTGCCATCGCGACTGCAGTGGAGAGCTTCCAGCCGCTGTTTGATCGTCTCCCGGACTCCAGGTTGGTGGCACTGCCGGATCTCCAGGAGATCAGCAGCTTCCCCTGCGACATTGGAAGCGAAGTGACCGCACTTCAAGCGAAAACGGAGGACTTGGGCGCTCACATAGATTGGAGCCATGTGGAGGACGGGTGGACGAGCAAGGTGAGTAGAACAGCAGTATAGTACACCCGATGGGTGCCAGAGAGACCCGTTGAGGCTGACCTTGGGACGCCTATCATATCTAGGACGGACGATACAAGCCCACCAGAGAAGCGATTCAGGAGCGGGCTCGTGCCGCCCGGCGGTGGCTCTATGAGAGGCCAGAAAAGGAGGTGGTGGTAGTCACCCATGGGGCCTTCTTACACTTCCTGACCGAGGATTGGGAAGACAGTTGTGTGTACGAAGGGACGGGCTGGGCCAACACCGAGTATCGCACGTATGAGATGGCCGCCGCTCCGGAGGATGACGAAATCTCGCTGGTGGAGTGTGACAGCTCGCGGGTCCGCCGTGGCAAGACTCACGGGGCATCTTCACGAGATGAACAAAGTCGATTGTATGGGATGGCGCTGCAAGGGTGGGAGGAACAGGGCTACTTGTTGAATGGGATCACCCAGACGGCGGTAGTGGGATAGGGACCTTGTCAGAAGTATTGGTTAGCTATCTTCAACTTATGAGATTGATAGCATTCACCACATTCATCAGCTCTTATTCGCCGAGTATAGTAATGTTGCTGGGACCACGAGATATACAAAATAGACAGAATATACAATCACCCCGCCCGATCACGTGTGGGTCACATGACCCAGCAAAAATTTGAGCGTCCAACCTTGACGTCAACCTGGCATCTACAACCAACCGACTAACTAGCTAGATATCCCTCAGATTGATCGAATTCCATCTCCCGCATCCCGCCTGATGCTAGGCGTCTTTAGTCATTTACCCCCAAGCACTGCGTCCGACAAAGGTCAGTCGTCTCCCGCAGCTGGCATCTTCCCCTACAGCCACACTAACCACAAAAGGGCGGACCTCCAGACTGTTCCAGGTGCAAGTCGCGACGGATCCAATGTGACCGGAGTTTGCCCAAGTGCCGAAAATGCATCTCGCGTAATTATGACTGTCCCGGCTATGGGCCGGTGTTCAAATGGGTCCAAGGGGTGGCCAGTCGAGGCAAACTAAGCGGCCAGGCACTTCCTGTGCCTAGGAAGAATGAGAACGAGGAAGAAGAGCGCAGGGAATGTCGCACTCCGCATCACTATCAGCTGCAGAATGCGGAGCTGACGGGATCGGAAATCTACATTCAACCAGAGAGTCCGGCAGAGGCCCTCTTGTCCCACTTGCTAGCTCATTTTGACCAGCATGTCGCGACAAGGCTTGCATGGGTGGATGGGCCCGACAACCCCTGGCGAAACCTCGTCATACAATTGACGCATTCGTCTCCGGTAGTCCTCAACTCTGTTCTCGCAATGGCATCGGAAGACTTGATCCTTCGCTATGAGGCCGGGCACCGCCTGCGCCGCCTGCAGGCTGCTTCGTTGGACTATAAAAGCAAGACCCTGTCGTTGCTCGGACAGCAGCTGGACATGCTGCCACGAAACGGCTCGGGGTCGCCCGGGCATACCCACCAAGTACGATGTATTCTCGCCGCAATTCTGCTTTTGTACAACGTGGAGCTGCTCACGGCAGAAGATGCGCGTTGGCGAGTACACATTCAAGGGGCGCGCGCGGTCATCCAATGGATGTCCCAGGCCGTCGCTCGTCGCAATGTGGAAGACCAAGTGGATGTTTTTCTGCTCTATGAGTACTACTATTCTTCAGTGTTCATGGGGCTGACGACTTTCGACCCTTCGGAGGAAACCTCGAAAACAATTCAAACCCACGATACGTTAACTGTATTCAGCGACTTTGTTCAAGTCATGCAGACGGTCACTCGTGCTGAGCGGGAGAAGCACGCTGGGAACCCCGACGCTATCCTGCCCACACTGGAGGATATGATGGAGGAGATCGATGCGGCGAAATCCAGGACCTTGCTGCTCAGCCAGCGTATTCAATTTCGGTCGGCTGACGCACAGCGAGATTTCGACCATCTCTCCTCCATGTACTACCATGCGTGCTTGATATATAGTCATCGGGTCCTCGGGGATAGTTCTGCCGAGGAACCGTGCATTCTCCTATCGCGTGACGCAGTGCTGGACCACGTCTCTTGTCTGACACACAGCGCGTCGTTTGCCCAGGATCTGGTCTGGCCACTTTTCATCGCTGGCACGGAGTGCAGAGGATGTCCCGCCAAACAGGCGACGGTGGAACGTGCGATGCTGGCCGTGATGCAGATCAGTGGCCGGCTGGACCGCGACCGCGTGCTGGCCTTTTTGAAGACATACTGGGAAACAAAGTTGAGTCCCGATGTGACCTGGATTCAATTCGCCCGGTCCAGAGCGTCGGATTGTCGTTTTCTGATCATCTGAAGCTAGTAAGGTTTTGTGCGTGAGTCACTCAGCCCGCTGGACATGACACAATGACCGTGATCGGAGGCGTGTTTCGGTGTCAGCTACCTTGGGTAGCAAAGCATTTACCATGGAATGCGAGTCCTGTGATGTTTACCATCACCCGTAAACCAAGGGGACAGATGTGGCCTCTGAATGAGTCAGTAACTCCCCCTATCAGGCAATATTTATACATAAATGGAAGACGCCCACGCGAACCACGTCCATAATACCAAACCAGTTAATCCAGCACAAGCTTCGTCAACAGTTAAGCTGCTTGGATACACCATGGCGCAATGAATAAAATCTGCGGTTGTTGCTATTTTGAGCGCGATACTTACGCCTTGAGGTATATCCCACAGGTTGGCCTTCAAGCCCACGCAATCCTACGAGGCACCAGCTCGTGCACAACTCTGACCCAAACATTCAAAAACTCGGGACCTGGGCTGCTTCACGAGGTCTGCTATCGGTTCCCACTCTTCGACGGGGTCAGTATCGTCGGATTTCGATGCCAGGTGGGCGATCGAGTCTTGCGCAGCGAGGTCAAGACCAAAGAGCAAGCCAGCCAAGACTACCACACAGCCGTCTCGCGTGGCGCCTCGGCTGGGGTGCTTGACCAGTCCAGTCAAGACTCGGACATCTTTATACTGCGGCTGGGCAATGTCCCTCCTCGGGAGACCATCACAGTGAGCATCACTGCTGTGGGGGAGCTGAAGACCGACGCGCAAACCGAGGGCATTCGATACACATTGCCAAATGGTATTGCACCTCGTTATGGGTATAGGGTGGATCAGGTCGTGTCTACTCTGATCAACCCAACAGACAAGAAAGGCCTCAAAATAGTTGTAGACGTCGTCATGGAGAATGAAAGCGCAATTCGGATGGTTCAGTCACCCAGCCATCCCATCCGTGTCAGACTGGGCCGGACTTCATCCACCCCCGAGGAATGTACCGAATTCGCAAAGAGCTGTGCCTTCGCAACGCTGCATGTCGCCAGTGAAAGCCATATATTGGAGCGAGACTTTGTCCTGGTGATCAAAGCCGATAAGACAGATGTTCCTCGCGCTTTGATCGAATGTCATCCCACCGCCCCCAACCAGCGTGCCATCATGGCTACCCTTGTACCCCGGTTTCACATCCCTGCGTCCGACCCGGAAGTGGTTTTCCTGATTGACCGTAGTGGCAGTATGCGGGACAAGATCTCAACCTTAAAGTCTGCTCTCCGGGTCTTTCTGAAGTCGGTGCCCGTGGGCACCTATCTCAACATCTGCTCTTTCGGGACCTAGCACCAGTTTCTCTGGGCTCGCAGTCGGGCCTACGATGGCCCCGGTCTGCAGAAAGCATTGACCCTGGTGGATTGCCTGGATGCGGACATGGGATGCACGGAGATGACGGCTGCTGTCCAAGCAGTTGTGAAGCGTCGTCTGAAGGGACGGGAACTGGAGGTTCTGATTCTCACCGATGGACAAATTCACCAACAGCAAGAGCTATTCGACTTCATCCGTGCTACTGCTGCTAACCACACAGCTCGCTTCTTTGCTTTGGGCATCGGTTCCTCTGCTTCTCATGCCCTTGTGAACGGTATTGCACGTGCTGGTGATGGGATTGCCCAGTCGGTCATGCTTAATGAGGAGCTGGACTGCACCGTTGTGCGTATGCTCAAAGGGGCTCTGAGTCCGCACATTCATGATTATTCGCTGACTGTCAACGACGACGAGCCGAATGACGGTTTCGAGGTGGTTGATCATGAAGAGCAGGAGCTAGTGCAGGAGCCAGACACCACCACCACCACCCCAGAACCTTCCCCTCGGAGACCTATCCTGCTCTTCGACCCCGAACTGAGGGTATTTTCGACACTGCTATCACATCGAGCGAGCCTCCAGTTGTGCAGCCTCCGAGTATCATTCAAGCTCCACAGCACCTGCCAACCCTCTATCCGTTCATTCGCACCACGGTCTACCTTCTTCTCACATCGGCTCGAGCTCCACGCTCGCTGACTATTCGTGCTTCCTCCAAACATGGCCCACTGACACTTGACATTGCCGTGGAAGACGTGGGTTGTGGCGAGACCATTCACCAGCTTGCAGCCCGCAAGATAATCACCGACCTGGAAGAGTCTGGCGGATGGATAGCCCGTGCCAAGGACAAGCATGATCAGCTCTACAATTCTGTGACTCAGTCAAGGCTAGCTATCCAGGAATGTAAACGTCTGGGTCTCCAGTACCAGCTCTCTGGCCACCACACGTCGTTCGTGCAGTCGATGAAAATGCTCTTCTGTCAGGAGAATGCTCGTCATCTGGTTCAACTGCCGTGGTGATTCTCCCACACCAACCGGACACGGGTCCAGACTCATTGATGGGACATGTCTTGCCTGGTTCCCCGAGGAAGTGTTATGCTATGTCGAGAGCTTGGAGAGGTGGTCCACCGGGGATTCTGAGGGGTGGTGCCAGAGATGGTGTACGAGGTGGCACAAGAGGGGGTGGGCCAGCAGGTGCGAAAGGTGGCGAGATACCCACCCTACGAGGCGGTGGCAGTCCCCTCGTGCCAGTGCCCCAATCTGCGACTGTCCCCAGCGCATCACGTCGACGGATATATTGCGTCATTGACTTGCAGATCTTTGACGGAAGCTGGCAATGGTCACCAGAGCTTTTCGAGGTATTGGAGCTGGACGAATCGATGATGCGTAAGCAGCTTGTGCGTTGGTGGCAGCAGGCTGGCATTCAGCCGAGTCAAACGTTTCCAAACTGTGACGACGGTTCGCTTCTTGCCACAGTTCTAGCCATTGAATACCTGCAGGGACGATGTCAAGATTCGAGAAATATCTGGGAGTTAGTGTGTACTAAGGCAGAACGGTGGCTGGATGAGCGAACTCGAGCCATGGAGGAGAGGGGTTGGGGTTTAGTCGGACGTTGCCGGGAGCACATTCATTCCCTCGTTTCGGACAAGGATACTGAAGGATGAACAGGGAAGGTGTAAGCGGATCAGCTACTAATTTTAATCTCTCTCGTGTTTAAAAGTTTATCAAGTTGATTATTGTAGCAAATCTCATACAAAGGCCACTCCGGCCCAGAACATCAGCACCAAAATCCCTACACCTGCAGCCCTGACCCGGTGCGCAGCCGCACTCGTAGCTCCACAGCACTTGCCATTATACGTGACATTGTTCATCTGGGCTGCAACCTCGAAGACCGATCCAGGAAAGTTGCCATCATTGTAGTAATCGACTAGGAGAAAGTTGGGGGGACGATCCCATGTGGCTGCCACAATACATATCCCAGGTCAGTGTTATCATGAGTGCACCGCAGGATGATTCGAGTCCCAAACTTACCCCGGCAATTGTTGGCCATGAGCCCCAGACTGCCGAACCCAGATACAGCATTGGTGGTGTTCAGCTGCGCGGTATCTGGGATCAGAATCTCAATTCCCTCCAGCATCACTTCAATGTCGAGGTTGTGGTTGATCATGTACATCCGCTCCTCGGCCTCCGCCGCGGTAATCCCCGGTGGTCGCTGCACCGTGCAAGGGAATGAAGCGTTGAGAGGAGAAAAGGGGGTCTCCCACATCTGGCTGAACTCGTCGAGGATGTAGGGGATCGAGCTCTGATCGGCCTGATAGTCCATGAACACGACCACGCGCTTCTCGGCCAGAATCATTTCTGACAGGGTCGGCCAGTCGCTGACATTCATCGGGATTTTCCACGGCTCGTAAACGTACTCGATCAAGCCGGAATTCTGGATGGGAGCCGTGAAGTTGGAGGGATCCACGTAGTCGGAGTTGACAATCAACACCGTCACCACGTCATAGGGATTCTCTTTGACCCAGTCGGTGACGTTGGTGAGGTAGCTCTCCAGGGTGCCCATGTTCAGCAATTCGCACGAGGTATGACAAAGGTAGATGTCATCCTGATAGTAATGTGCTTCAAAGGAGACTGCCTGACAGTGAGTGAAGGCGTGGTGTGCAACGAGGATCGAAGAACTGACCCATGCGTACGCCGTCCTCGAGCTGAGTGCGGACCGGGTATGCCTGATTGGCGGCGACATTGTTTTTCTTCACAAAGGGACTGTTGTGAGCAGTCACCATCGTGATGTTGGAGTATTTCCTTTTGCAGAATTCGGCGTAGCCATTGCAGGGCTGTGAGTTGGCAGCCGTGGTGGCCGTGGCGGTGCTGCTGCTGCTGGTCATGACCCGCGTGCCGCTGAGCTGAACTGCTGTGTCGGTCGTACTAGTCGTGCCTGTTGCTGTCGCGGTGCCATTGCTAATCGTGGAGTTGGTCACCGTACTGGCAACTGCAGTCGTCGACAGCGATAGATTCTGGGCCAGTGTGATAGTGGTGGTGTAGCTGAGATAACTGCCAGTGGGCACCACCGCCGAGGCCGAGGTAACCACCACGAGAATGTCCGAGCCAGTCGAGGCCGATGAGGTGCTGCTAACCGTGGTTCGGTCGGAAGTAATCGATTTGGCGCTGACCAGGAGCGTGAACGCCTGCAGCACGAGCAGAAACAAGCGCCTCATTGTGAGCATGGTATGTGTCGCGTCAAGATACTTTTGCCAAGGTGGGCATCGACGGGATATAATGGAAAAACTGGAGGGAGTGACGTCGTCGGAAGCAGTCGGAAAAAGCTTGGCCAGCCTAGTCTAGTACTCTAGTACTCTAGTACTCGTGCCCGACCTGACTGACTCCGGGCCATGTGGCCGAGCCTTTGTCGGCTTTCGTCGAGAGGATAAAACTTTGTTGCCTGCCGCGTCATCCTCGCCTGGAGTGACTTTTTCCGGGTGGAGCACGACCGAGGTTGGCCGTTGGTGGGAGGCGAAGCGGAGGGGAACCTTGCAGAACCTTCTTAGGAACTAGTCTGGTCACTTCCACTGCCTCAATGGGCTTTTGATCATGAATTTTATCCCAAACATACTCACAGCTTTGAGGATGGAAGTGAATCGAGATCGATGGTTTCGATGGTTTCGATGGATTCGCTGGTCACACCGATCGCCATTGCCAAGTCGGATCTTCCCGAGAACCATCGTCGCCTCAGGCATCAACGACGCCAAGCATGCCGCGGCCTGATCAGGCACAAAGGCACACATGTCTGCAAAGATCGGGCTGTCCCCGTGTTCAATGCTCTCCTCATGGCTAGTGTCCCAGCAGGAGCAGCGGGTGGTATTGACTGTTCTGCCATTGCATTTCAGATCGAATGTCAGACCAGAAATGGAGGGTAGTACTACGGTACATATGGTACAGTACGCCCAGGAAGTATGGGTAAGTTGCCACGTCTTGCTGATCTCATGCTGATCCGCAGCAACCTTAACCTTAAGCTCTGAATTCAATCTGACCAAGCCAGGGTATAGCGGGCGAGCAGGACGACAAAGAAAGAAGGGGACAAAAGAGAAAAGAGGGGAAAAAGGAAAAAGAAAGAAGAAAAAACAAAAGCAGAGGCGCCGAGAAATGCCATGAATCGCCGTGTCTCAGTTGCAGTCGGCGGGAGTTTCATCGCGGCCACACGGCGCTTGAGTGTCCTGCGTGACAGCTTCAGGAGAGTCCCCATGAGCACTCCTAAATCATTTAGACTAGGGGCCTGTTGAAGCAGATTCGAGGGACCACCTATCCTAGTTTGAATGACTGATTCCCCATCACGCAGGATGGTGTGTTGGAGAGTATGTCTTGGTTTAGGGCTGGGCCGAGGCCGGGCTGCAGAATTAACATGAAACCTCATTTCCCCCTCTTATACCCATTTAGACCCATTAATGCCCATTTAAAGTCTCAACCAAGACTCCACCCAAGTCAATTTACTCCACCAGAGCCAATGAACGACCAGAATATCAGGCATCAACCACCCTGAGCCATCAATGCCAATCTCCGACAGACCCTGACACCACACTCGGCATTGCACCCTTCCAGGGTCACCTGGCTGGGGGTGGGTTCAGGGATAGCACAGTTGCCCGCAAGTATATCTAGCCTAGGATCCCACGAGGTGAGACCACTGTCCATTCTTTTTGCAGACAGCAGCTTCACCAACTACCGCCCTCCATCATGCGTGGGCTTTTCACTCTTTCTTTGCTTTCTGCGGCGCTGGGCGCCTCTGCCGGCTTGACCGCATCCAACCTCGAGACTCATGTCGATGTGCTGGCACTCGACAACTCCTTCAACCCGATCGAAGCCGCTTACTGGACTAGCTTGGCGCATCACCGTCGGACTCCTTTTGCGGTTTCTCCCAACGGCAAGACGGCCTATTTGGCCTACCTCGATTCGAGCGGAACCGACGTCCATGTCACCGAGCTGGACCCTACCACTTTCAAGGCCACGGGCACTTCCGTGACGGTCAGTGGTGGTAAGGAAGGTAAGCCATTCTGGAGCCTGGGGTCTGGCGGATATACATAAGATACAAGCAAGCTAATACGCACGGTAGCCGGTGGTCTCGTTGCCCACGATGACGGCTTCGCTCTGTTGACCAACGAGGTGATGCCCTCTGGCACCACCAATGCGCCTCCCAGCGACACCCCCGTCCCGGTCTTGCACCGTTACACGAATGGCAAACAGACCTGGAAGACCTGGCTCGGTGGCCCCGACGTGCACGCCTCCGATGGTCTGGCCGAGGCGGTGGATATGAACGGCGACCTGGTCTACTCGGAAGAAGCGGGGATGTACGGGGCCTACTTTGTGGTCAGTGACTACTCCGGCTGGGCCGAGGGCCACTACGGCGACAGCATCGAGTACGTGGCCACCAACGGAACTTTGTTGGACATCAGTGGGGCCTCCAGCGCCTGGGGCTGCAGTCACAACACCGGCATTGCCTTCGAGGCGGCCGACGAGCCTCCCTTCGCCAGTATCTGTGCGGAGGACCAGGGTGCCATCTGGCTCAACACCCAGACTCAGGGCATGACCAACAACGGGGTCAAGATCTCCAACGAAAACACCACCAACGGGGCCTCGGGCGAGCCCATGGGTGGGATGTCCGGCAGCTACAGTGGCCTGGCGCGCTTTGCCGACAGCAGCCGCTACATCTTCACCTGGGTGTCGCGGGGTGCGATCGATGTGACGGAAAACAGCTGGATGGGCGATGGATACACCCACGTCAACAACCGTACCAACCCCCGCAACGTCGCCCTGGCGCTCTTCTCCGACAAGTACACCAAGGTGGGCGCCCAGGCGACCTCAACTGTGGGCGCCGAGGATGGGGACAGCCAAGTGACCTGGGTCACCTCGGGCTCCAACGACTGCTCCAACGCCCATACCGCCACTTTTGGGAACAGCTCGGCCCTGATCACCTGGGAGGAGATTTCCGATCCGAGCTGTGACTACATTGCCATGGGCTGCCAGGGCAAATTCGCCGGCACCTACTTCCAGCAGGTGGATGCGAGTGGACAGAAAGTGGGAGATGCTTTCTCCAGCACCGATGTCTACATTGCGGGTGACATGGTGACCATGTCCGACGGTCGCATTTGCTGGCCGTATGTGAGCATGGACTGGGATCTGTCCGTGGTGGTGTATGAGGCCGACTCTTCCAAGTTCACCAAGCAGATCAGCTTTGCCTGCATGTCTCCTAGCGGCAGCTCCAGCTCCAGCTCCAGCTCCAGCTCCAGCAGCTCGTCGAGTGCTGTTGCTGCTTCTAGCACGGTTGCCAGTGTCTCTACTACTCAAGCCGCGGCTGCTGCTACTTCCAGTGCGGCTGCTGTCTTTGTGGAGACCATCGCAGCTGCAGCTGCAGCTGCAGAGACCAGCGTTGCTCACACGGCCGTGGTCAGTTCCGTTGCTCCTGTCGCCACAGAGGCCAAGGTGGCCTCTTCCAGTTCCACCAGCCAGCCTCCTAGCTGGGCTACCGCCGCCGGTCAACGGACCACTCTCGCCACTCAGGGTCACTCCAAGACCTCCTCCGTCAAATCTTGGCCGACTGGGGGCTGGGAAGAGGGAAGTGTGCCTCAGTGGCAACAACCCTGGTCGGAGGAGCAGGAGGGCAGTTGCTCGTACTAGGACATGGTACAATTCAACCCCACATAATCCGCTGCTAGCATGAATCAGGTAGTCGATAAACGGGGGAGAAAAGAAAGGTCAACCAGATGGAGGGGCATGCGCAGGTTTCATAGCTGAATCTCATTTTGTCTCTTAACACGGTAGTATCAATTGCCACAAAGTCCAAGCTACTCAAGCCAGTGCTGAAGAACTCTTTGCCAGTGGGCCTTTGGCAGACGAGTCGGTCGAGTCCAGTAACAATTGCACAAGTTCTCTCAAATGTAAGTTAAGGTATGTATCCTACCTAAGCACAGATTGATGCAAGTTGAAGCATAAGTCAGCAAGCGACACCCCGCTCCGTACAACTTGCATACACAAAAGAATGCACCAGAATGTACCCATGATACACTGTAGATTTTATTCATGTTTATTCCCCCTTGTTAGGGCAACTGGCGGACTACCTCACCTGACCGGTACAACCTTCCATCACTTCACAATTCCCACTTCGATCCGACATCGGACCCGGCCCCTCGTCGAGAGAAGTGCTCACTGCTGACGAGGCCACGAACGTGTTGAACGCTGCACTAAGCCAGTTTGATGGGGGCCACGACCTTGGCGACATTGGAGTACTAGGTATTTTATTTACTATATTCACTATATACACCGTTCCATCGAATTTGAATATTGGTAGATATCGATGCAGTCCTCCCGTTCTTATGGAGGCGGATCGATCGGTCGGTCGGCAAAAGCGGGTGGGGCAACGGGGCAACACAACAGCCGATGGGGGAATCAGAACCAGTCGGGAGGGAACCATGGGGGAATTCCCCTCAGAGTGTGGGGGAGGGAAAAATGACAAATCAAAAAAAAAAAAAAAAAAAAAGTCTGACATCAATCAGATAACGTCCGGTAATTCTCCTCCCCGATCTTGCACCACCATCATCACCACCATGAACAACAAAGACAGTCGCATTGTCATCGTAGGGGCGGGCGTGTTTGGTCTGGCGGCCGCCCGTCAACTGGCGTTGGAGGGATATCGCCAGGTGCTGGTGCTGGATCGCTCGCTGCCCCCCGTGGCCGATGGCTCCAGCTCCGACATCTCACGCATGATCCGCTTCGACTATGCGGACGATGACTATCTGCGCATCTCCCATGAGGCCTATCTGGAGTGGACCAAGCCCCGGTACCAGGGCATCTTCTATCCCGCCCCCTTCATCCTGACGGGCAACACCAGTGCCCACGGCCAGGCCTGGATTGCCAGCACCACCGCAGCCCTAACCCGCCGGCAGTTGCCCTTCACCCGGCTCGACGATGTCCACGCCACCAAGCAGATCCACCCCGTCCTCAGTGGCGCGTTGGCCGCTCCCCCGTTCAATGGCTATCTCAACACCCAGGCCGGCTGGGCCGATGCCAACAAGGCCATCACGCAGATTCGGGACGACTGTATCGAGCTGGGAGTCTCATTTGTGTGCGGTCGCAGAGGCACGGTGGTCGGCTTGGAGACCGATGCCGCCCACGAGATCAAGGCCGTGCGGACGCTGGTCGGCAGTCCCATCGAGGGCGACTGCTTCCTCCTCACGGCCGGGGCCTGGGCCTCGAGCCTGGTCCCCATGTATAATTCCACCCTGACCACCGGACAGGTCGTCGCCTATCTGCGCCTGACCCCGGAGGAACTGGCCAAGTACAAGGACCTCCCCATGTATGCCAACTTCTCCACGGGTTGGTTCAATTTCCCCCCTCATGAGGAGACGGGCATCCTCAAATTCGCCGTCCACGGATGGGGCTACACCCGCACGCCGGGCCAGGAGGAAGTCCTTTCCAACCAGGCGAATGTCTCGGCGCCCCCCCTGATTCCGCCCCGCGAGCGCCGCAACTTCGTGCCCGCCGATGGGGAGGTCCGGTTGCGCGACGGATTGCGCGAGATTCTCCCCGAGCTGGCCGATCGACCCTTCGAGAAGCTGGCCCTGTGTTGGTACACCGATACGCCCACCGGGGACTTCATCATGGACTACCACCCCGACTACAAGAATCTGTTTATTGGGGGAGCGGGCAGTGGACAGTAAGTTCAGGGCTATTCAAGCACGAACATCACCGGGGAATTAGGTTTCGGCTGACCATCTCCACTAGTGGATTCAAGTTCCTCCCCGTCCTGGGCGAGTACCTGTCGCTGGCGTTGAGGAAGGGGCTGCCGAAGGATCTGGCGCAGAAATGGAGATTTCGAACCGATTACGCCACACGCGATGATGTCTTCTTGGGAGACGGCAGTCGAGGCGGACCTGTTCGTCGTGAATTGAATCCCCAGGAGAGGGCGAAACTGTAGGGGATGTCTTGTCGTTTGTTGTAAGTTGAGCACGTATGTCAAATATCTCGTGCGTCTGTGAACCGAAGCTTCTAAAGTGCGAACATGTATTTCCGCCCGGTCACAAGAGCAGTTCCTCAATGCTAGGGTGGGGAATAGCAGCCCTCCCCGAACGATGCATACCACAGTTTACGCCCCACGTTCTCCAGACTACATCCCTGCCGGTCTATAGTAGCTAGTTAGTCAACTATTACTGATTTGTCATTTTATCTTGGCGAGAATCACCCTGGGAGAGGGTCTCCGGACCCCCGACGGCAGTCCGGAGACGCGATCACGTGACGTGGTGCTGACCGGAGCCAGGACAACCCCCCAAATGCTGCCTCCCCCTCCTCCCAGGAGTTTGTCAACCCCATATGGATGAGCTGTCCAGGTCGCATCGGTGAAAATGGTTCGGCGCCTCACTGGCTCAGCGGCGCTGGCTTCAGCCTATACAATGCGACCGACCGCAATCTCCATGAACGTCCATCGGCGGTCTCCCGAAGCAGAAGCAGGAGCAGGAGCCATCGATCAGCCTCGAGTCACCATCGTGAACGCCAATCTCCTAATCCCTGGAGACGGAAATCCTCTGGAAGATGCGGCCTTGGTCATCAGTGACAAGATCATTGCTTTTGTAGGCCCCCGAGCCGACATCCCCAAGCGATATCTGCGCGGACCGCACACCAGCCACAAGGTCGTCGTCCTAATGCCTGGTCTGTGGGACTGCCACATGCACTTTGGGGGGGAGGACCAATACTACAATGACTATACGGCGTTTCTCGCCACTCACCCGGCCTCCTCCGGCGCCCGACTGGCTCGGGGCTGCTGGGAAGCCCTGCAGAGTGGCTATACCTCCTACCGCGATATGGCCGGGTATGGGTGCGAGGTCGCCCGGGCGATTGAGGATGACTCGATCGTCGGGCCCAACGTCTATGGGGCTGGGGCAGCGATCAGCCAGACGGCCGGCCATGGGGATATTTTCGGCCTGCCCGCTGGGGAGGTGCTGGGAAATTTCGGGGCACAGAGTCCGCGCCCCGGCCACTGGGGGGCAGGACCAGTGTGCATCGTGGACGGGGTCGAGGAGGCTCGACGCGCTGTGCGGCTGCAGCTCCGTCGGGGGGCGAAGGTGATCAAAGTCATGGCCTCTGGCGGGGTCATGTCCCGGGACGACAACCCCAAATGCGCGCAATTCTCCCCCGAGGAGCTGAAAGTCATGGTGGAGGAAGCCGCCCGCCAGGACCGCATCGTCTCCGCCCATGTGCATGGGAAAGCCGGCATTCTGGCGGCCATTCACGCGGGCTGCAAGAGTCTGGAGCATGTGTCCGAGGCGGACGAGGAGGTCTTTGAGTTGATGAAAGAGAAACGCGTCTTGTACGTGGCCACCCGGACGGTGACTGAGGTGGCTCTGGCCAACCATGGAGAGGGACTACCCAAAGAGTCGTGGCAAAAATTGCGAGCCCTGGCCGACTCGCATTTGAAAGCCTACCAAGGAGCGGTCAAGGCCGGTGTCACCATTGCCCTGGGAACCGACACTGCCCCCGGGGGACCCACGGCGTTGGAGCTACAGCTGGCCGTCGAGAAGGCAGGCATGACGCCCCTCCAAGCCATCAAGGCTGCCACGGCCAATGCCCCGCTGTCCGTCGGTTCACAGGCTCCCTTGACGGGCCAGCTGAAGGAAGGGTACGAAGCAGATGTCATTGCACTGGAAGAAAATCCCCTGGATGACATCCGAATCTTGCAGGACAATCAAGTGATCACCCATGTATGGAAAGCTGGCAGGCTCTTTAAAGGACCGGGCGTGGGTCCCTGGGGGGAGACCCCGAATCCTTTTCGCTGAAGCCATGATTTTGCTGAATGGGTTTGAATCCTCGATGAGAACTACCTTGAACGATGGATGTATCACGCTTGAGATAGTGCGATAGAAATGATCCTATATCCGATCCCCGTTTACCGCGTGTGCCACCAGAGTACTGCAGCAAGCCGTGTATAAGATCAGCACAACGTGTCTCCGCTCGAGGGGCTACCCGTCGGTAGTGACACATGTCCCGTTCAAATCACATCGGTAATCGAGAGCCAGGTGCTTTGTGTCCCATGTGGCTCTCATGGGAAACTCCGGACCGATAGATTGATGTCCATAGATTGGGTAAGTCCGGCCGAAGACCACTATATATCATGCATCACGGCCGGATCGAAGGACACTTCTTGTCCTTATCCTGACTCTTCTACACGATCTAAGTCTGGGCCGCCATCAAAATGCTCATGAAGCATCTGATCCTCACTCTCTTGACTTTGGTGTCTACCTTGTTCAGCTCCGTTCTGGCTTTGCCGGGCGAACCAAGCGACCCCGACTCAGATGATGGGGTTCCACCCAGCGGAGGATTCCTCCCCCTCGTCAAGACGTTGCAGAGACTTGGAATCGCTGGCATCAAGCTTGACCGCACCCTCGAAATGTCGCAAATCACGCCTGAGACCCGACAGACCATCCGGCAATTGACCCAGGACATCGAGAACATCGTGACCCAGGCCACGGCTGAGGCAGACGCCCTAGAGGTTCTGGACCCCATCCGCAGCACCAAGCTGACCAAGAATGCCCTGCCCATGAAGCCAGTGTTTGGCCACTTGCTCAAGGTCATTTCGAATGAGGTAGGCTGATGCCTTCGCGCGCGCGGGTGAGGACGTGGAACGGGACTGATGAACGAGCACAGAAAGAGGGACTATGCGCGGCTCAATTTTGCCACGAGATGCAGGACTTCTTGACTTGGATGCGGATTCGGTGCCACGGACTGGCGGAATCTCTGCGACGGATCGTCGGGTTCGGGGATGGAAAATTGATTGAAGTCTGTGCAGACCTGATCGATAAGCAGTATGCCATGACGATCACCGAGTATGAGAAGCTTATTCGATCTGGCCGCGACGAGGACCAGCCCGATGACCCAGGCGATGATGCGGGACCTCCTGGGCAGGGCCCCCTTTAGGAATGAGAAACCGGAGTGTCGACAGCGAAACTGAGTCGCACGGAAGACTTCTATGTAGTGCCTTGAGTACTGTACATAGAAAGTGGCCCCGGCCGGATAGGAACAAGGTCATTGACTTGGAATGACCCTAAAGAGCTCTAAAGGACCCCATCCCACATGTATGCTATGAGTATACCTCGTATTCACTACCCGGTGCGACGCCTGGCCGCATCTGGTCAGCCGAAGTGACTGAAACACATTTTTGCTTATGATCTAGAGCGCGTGCATGACCCACATGGAACAATATCTTGTCAGCCTTTAAGCAAACCATTCGCCATACTGCAATGCTGGCTGGGAAGGTCCGTAGACAAAAGACAGCAATCGTTAAGACTAGTAGAGTGTAATGATCTCATCATGCCAGCAACCCTCATTGCTTCTCCAAGAACACTACCTGACTACCGTACTCCGTCTCGAAAGTAAATTGCAACCCCATATTCATCAACGTGGCCCCCGAGTACCTCTCGTTCCCATCCACCGTATACTCTGCTACCGGATCCAGTCCCTGCAGCCTCACCCACGGCGCTACATGATTGACATTTGGCCTGAGCTGAAAGTAAAACAATGCAGCTTGAGCACCGCCCTCCGAGACAAACAGTGCAGCAGGCCACTGCGAGTCCTCTGGTAGTCGCAGGCGGTACAGGTCCCCCGTCAGAACCAAGGGGTTGACCTTTTGGGCCAACGCGAGCAGCTCCGGAACCGTGGCATCATCCTGCACGGTTGCTGGATCGAGTTCCAGACCGAAGGAACCACCCATCATGGCAACGTGCGCGCGAAAGGTGAAAGGGACCGTCCGGCCCGTTTGGGCATTGGGAACGGCAGAGAGATGTGCGCCCATTGCCGATGGCGGGTAGGCCAGCGAGGTGCCAAATTGGATGGTGATGCGGTCCACGCCGTCGGTATTGTCGGAGGTCCAGATCTGGGGGAAGTACTGCAGCATGCCGGCGTCGAAGCGACCGCCGCCCGAGGCGCATCCTTCCCAGAGAACGTCGGGAAAGCGGTTGGTGATGGTATCGAAGACGCGATACAAGCCGAGCATGTATCTATGGTCATTGGATGGAGAGGGAGTCTCATGAAAACCGCGGTTGTTGTCCCATTTGATGTAGGAAATGCCGCCAATCTGCAACAAATTGGTCATAAAGTCGATGATAAAGTCCTGCACCTCCGGCAGGGCCAAGTTGAGGACGAGTTGGTTGCGCCGTTCCGTTCGGGGGTAAGGCCCAGCGTGTAGAACCCAGTCGGGGTGTTCGTGGTAGAGCGTGGAGTTGGGATTGACCATCTCGGGCTCGACCCAGATGCCAAAGCGTAGTTTCGAGTCGGTCCCGTTGACGGTGAGGTTGGTGATTTCCTGCACCACGGGCGACAACCCCTCTGGAAAGCGCGCTGGATTGGGCACCCAATCCCCCAGTCCAGCATTGTCGGACACACGAGGGTATCTGTCGCCAAACCAGCCGTCGTCCATGACAAAGAGGTGAACCCCCAGCGCCGCCGATTCTTCCGCGAGAGTCTCGATGCTGGTTTGATTGTAGTCAAAGTAAACGCCTTCCCAGCTATTGAGGAGGATCGGACGATCCGCCGTGGCGAACTTGCTCTTGATCAGGTGGTTGCGATACAGTCGGTGGAATTTGCGAGACATGCCTCCGAGACCCTCCTTGGAGTAGATGGCAACGCACTCGGGGGAGGTGAGGGTCTCGTCCGGACCCAGCTCCCAGGAGAGCCGGTCGGGGCTGAAGCCGAGCAAGGCGCGAGTAAAGCCCTGGGAGCCCTTTTCAACTGCCGCCGAGAACGAGCCGGTGTAGATGAGGTTGAAGCCCCATGCCTCTCCCTGGGATTCGGTCGTGGACGGGTCGACAATGGCGAGAAAGGGGTTGTGCAGATGGGAGGAGGAACCCGTGTTACTCCCAAACCTGATATCATTCTTCCGTTTAGTATGATGACCGCCAACCTGAATGCGCGACCCACCCTTGGACACCATAATCGACCTTCCTTCGCTGGACCTGTGCCTCTCGGGCCCAGTCGCCCCGGAGACTGATCATGTCGAGGTCTTCATAAGGAAAGTCGACGCTCAGACTAGCCAGAGCCTCGATGGTGATATTGGCCGGGCCTCGGTTGGTGATGTTGACACTCCTCACCACGGCGTCGTATTTGGGAAAGATGGAATACGACAAGTCCGCCGCGACGGAGCTATAGTTGTCGTACAGGTGCACGACGAGCGTGGTCGCCTCCTGCGCGGTGCCAAAGGTCGACGGCAGCCCCGGTAGAGCATGTTTGCCCTGGACCACCTCGTGGGAGGTGTACTGCAGATCGGTGACGGTATAGCCGGGGGATTGGCGAATGCGCACGGCGGGAATGCGGAAATCGCCGCGGCCCTGGTCGGGGAATTCGCGCCGGATGCGACCGGGCATTCCCACCCACCCATTCACGGCCGGTTCTTGGGGCGAGGGAATTGTACCCGTGACGAGGCCTCCAAAGTGGTCGGAGACTAAATCCCCGGTGGTGTGGTTGACGTGAAATCGGTAGGAGAGCTGGTCGCCATTGAGAGCAAAGGTGGTGCCCTGCGCGACGATGGCTGGACGATGGCTGGTTAGTCAGCTCAGGTTCCGAGGCTGGCATCTTCAGGGCATTATTAGGTAAGGATTGGGGCATGACACACCTGGTGACTTCAACGTGGTCTGCGCGTGAACTACGGACACGCCAACGCACAGCGTCGACAGGCCCAGAGCCACGGCAGGACGGATCGACCCGACCATGATGAGAAGATGATGAAAGTGAGGGTGGCCGAAGATGGGGGGAAAGGAGGCAGTGCTTTGCCGGGTATTTATGTATTGGTTATCTTGGTGCTCTGGGACATGCATGGATGTCCCCAGTCAAGGGATCGACTGCATCCGGGGAAATGTCGGTCAATGCTGCTGCTTGTTCCTTGGCACCCCCACGCCGCATTCCATTTACAGTGGGGATCATCATGCTTGGCAGGCATGGAGTCGAGAGATCAAGGTAAAAGTACTCTTGGCCCGCAGTTACTATGAGTACCTAGCTCGTTTACAGTACTCAAGTAGGACAAATGGATGGGCCCATGGGGTTGAGTGAGGGCTTCCATCTTGAACAAGGTTTCTTCCCCCCGAGGTTCAATGTGATGGTAGATTAATGCAATATCATGCTAAAACGCTCTTGCAGAGCAGGCTTTAAATTTCTTCTGGACTTGCTATAGGCTGCTAATAGCAATGGTGTTCAGCCATTCTGGATCGGGACAATGAAATGAGGTATGCCCATGATACCTACCCAAAAAGGAACACCTAAAAAGGCGTCTGGTCTTTATAGGCAACGTACCAGTTGGGCGCTGTTCGATCACACCCATGGAACAAAAAATAGAAGAAGGGCTTCTGACGCTCAGAATACGGAAGCCACTTCAGCATGGCCGGCGTGATGTCGGGAATATCGGTAGTCCAAGTGTCGGCCAGCCACTGATTCCAGCTCCAGGTAATCCAACCGGACAAGGCCCACTCGTCGTTTGCGTGATCGGTCCGCCACCAGCGCACAATAGGGCTGATGTATCTTCCATCTAGCAGATCATCGGTGTCCTCGAAGTCGTAGATATCGCAGGCAGAGCGACCAATCGAGGCCAGCCCGAAGTCAATGATTACAACCCGCCGCGTCTCAGTCACTATGACATTCCGCGGGAACAAGTCGCCATGGCTCAAGTCTAGGGCATAGAAGCACGTCTCGGCTTCTAACACCTGCCGTATCAGATCCTTGCGTTCTTCTGTCGAGAAGTCCGCCGGCCGCAGGTGCGCCATATCCATCCCTTCGATGTACTCGGCCAGGACCAGCTGGACTGATCGCTGCCGACCTTGGGTGTCCGCGATCATCGTAGACCACGAGCCATAAAACTTTGGAATATGCTTCCCCAGGCCGTGGCGGATCAGATAACGGTAGGCTGAAGTTTCCCGCACATACTGGCGATTCGCATAGCTGGGGGGGTGGTCGTAAGGGTCAAGGTATTTCGCATCAAACAGCTTGGCAACCATCTTTGGGCCCAGCTGGCCCTCGCTAGCGTGACTCGCCTCCTCATGACCGTGAGGACCATGACTCTTGTCTCTTATCTCTTGGACCAACATCACCTGGGAGGCAAGTCCAATCCCAACCTGCAGCCCTTGGGCCACCCGCAACCGGAGGGTCTTGGTTCCATAGTCGGAGAGTGGCCGGTGCTCCTGCGCGGTGAGTTCGAAGCCTTCGTGGTAGGGCGTCATGATATCGATGCTGTGTTCTGCAGCTGGATGTCCAGGCCATGGATGTAGTATTCATGTCTCGCGACTATCGGCTCACTATAAACTGGTAGGTAGGCAAAGAGATTCCCCGAGGCGGCGTCTTGGCTGGTGGCCTCACCTCTTCGCAACAACAATGAGAATGCAGAAAGTGATTGTTCTTTATGTCTGCTGCTCGATTGTCGTACGTAATTGAGTGCCCTGATTCGGATTGAGATTGACAAAGAGTCCCTTGTCTACAAGCCTGCAATACGAAATATTCCGTGGACTTCTGAAGGAAAGGATCATGACCGCTCATTATCTCAGAATGAAGATACTCATGGAGAAAGCCGATAAGACCAGGTCAAAGGATCTTGATGGAGAGTATGCGGATCTCATCCACTGACACATGCGTTGAGGTGGAGTATATAAACCCCCTCTTGACCTTTCCTATATGCTCATCACCACCACCCTCGAGATCGTCAACGACCTTGGAATTGCCCAACCGTACGTACTGTTCTGCATTATCCCAAGTTCCGCACGGATCCTTCCAACAAGATGGCTTCACAGAACGCCCTACGACGACTGCGAGGCGGTGATGATTTGCCGGTTCGGGCCTACTTGACTCTCCGGAGGAGCCAGAACCGCGAATGGTGTGGCCTATGTGGGGAAGAGCTACTTGGCCGCGCCCGTCTCGAAGTGTTTAAGTGCTCGGACTGTGAGCAGAGTTACCACCAGGATTGCATCGACCAGCTCCGGCGCCAGGAGGCCGACCGCGGGGCTCCCCTGCCTTTCGGCTGCCCGGGTTGCGGCAGACCCTGGTACGAGACCTCTCGCCCCCGTTTCCGGCAAGAAAGAACCTCGGGACGGTATCAATATCGGATGGAAGGTCGAACCTTCATCTGCGAGGGGGGCCTCTTGCCTAATGGGCAGCAGTGCGCCTACACGACAACCAACAACTCCAGCTTCTACCGCCATTATGGTAATGTGCATGAGAGCCAGCACTTGCAGGAATCAGGTACCTGCTTCTCCTGCCCTTACTGCGGTCATAGCTTGCCGACTGAAGAGAGCTTGATGAGACACTGCCGAGCGGCGCATTTTGACCGGGAACTGCCTACGGCTGGCACCTCCTATCGTCAACGGGATGATCCCCGTTCCGCGGCCAGGGACTCTCATAGTCCCCGAAATGCCGGGAGTACATACCAGTCAGCCGAGGATGGTGAGTACTACTGCCCCCGCTGCGCCGCCGGTCCCTTTGACTACTCGCGAGTCTTGAATCATCTGACGATTTATCACAACGGTGAGCAGCCCTACTGTGAGCTCTGTGGCCAGTCGTTTTATGCCTGGCGTTTTCTGCTTCGTCATCTACGCGAAGACCATTGAATGCACGTCCTGGCGGCGTTTTCTGCTGACATGGACTAGGAGATGTGCTTCAGGCACGGAGCCGACTTTCCAGTCAATGCTCCTCTGAAGACTATAGGATATTTAATAAACCAGAAAAAAAGAACGTATGAGGTGTTACTTAAATGCCTCTGAAATAAAGATATATAACAACAAAATCCTCCTCGAATACACCAGTACATTAGTCTGTGCTATGCCTTAGACTCTTTATTTACTGCTTGCCCAGCTGCTTCAACAACCACACCTCACCGTCAAGAGTACCCCCCTCGAATCCTTCCGCCCCATTTGCCATCCATCTTCAGAAAAAATACACATTAGAGATTCTAATCCACAGGCGGAATTAATTTTCGCCCGGAAATTAGTTAAAGTAGAGCTTAGATGGGGCTCTGCAGGCAATTTAAATAGCTATAATTAGAGTGGCTAACGGCCAGGTCAGGTCAGGTTAATTAGAATTTTTATACCTGACCGCCAGGTTATGGCCAGATTAAGGAAATTTTTATACCTGACCGCAGTATAGCTAAAAAACAGGCGGTTAACTGTTTTAACTGTTCTTAGTGCTAAGATCCTTCCGCTATACCTATTTAGGTTTTAATATAGTTAAAATATATCCAGATTAAGCGGTTATTAACCTGACTATTTTAACTGTTATCTAAAAGTATACAAAAACAAGCTTTTTAAATTAGAAAATAATAACTAAGAGAAATATTAGTATCTTTTTTATCTCTATCTAAAAGAATTAATCAGAAAATCTTAGTAATATTAATAAAATTCAGCTTCTTATAAAACTGTTGTTCTTATAGTAAGAAATATATATAAATATATATAATTACAGCTCGGTTTAGACTGTATATTTTAGTTATACTATATAATAGCCGAAAAACTATATATTTATTACTAGTTAGATTACTAAAAATAAATATATTATTTCTATTTTATTATTCTTCTTCTTACTTCAGCTTAAATAGTTTATTATATTCTTATTTTCTATCTAAAAAAGCTGAATTATCTGTATTATAAATTAAACTTAAAGAAAAACCTGCTGTTAAGTTGCGGGCTGGTAGATATAGATAATAATAAACAGAATAATAAAATAAATAATAAATTAGCAGTATTTTAATAACTTATTTTTTTATTCTTAACTAGCTACTTAATTAGATTATTTTTAGATTTATAGACAAGATGTAGCTCGAAAAGCTATAAAAAGATTTAGAAATAGAAAGATTCTTAAGCAGATTCGGGATTATATAATAAACAGTTAGAAGCAGCAGATTCAGTAGATTAAATAAATTAAATAAATTAAGTAGATTAAGCAGATTAAATAGGTTAAGCAGATTAAATAGATTAAATAAATTAAATAGATTAAATAAATTAAGTAGATCAAGCAGGTCAAGTAGATTAAACAGATTAAATAAATTAAATAGATAAGTTGAAAGAATTAAAGCTGTACTATAATATCTGTATAATATTATCTATATAATCTTTTTCGGCAACTATATTTTCTAATAATTATCTAATTAAATACTAGATATTATATTTTTTAAAGAATTCTGTAAAAGTCTTTTCCAGGCCTTTTTTATTAATATAAGAATAATCTGATTAATCTAATTAATCTAATTTTTATAATTTTAGACTTAAGATATAATTTTCTGCTTGCTAGATCTTTTAAAATAAATAAAATACGGCAGGCGCTTTAACTGTATTTAAAATATAATAAATTATATTTATATAAAAGTATATTTTAAAGTAAAATAAACTGTTTTTATAGAATTTTCTACTTTTATTTTTTTATATCTATTATTTGCAGAATAGTCTTAGAATTATAAATTAATTATAGTTATTTAATCTATTTTTAGAAAATATTATCAAGTCTTTTTTTTCTATTTTTCAGATTTTTATAAACTATAATAATATTTTAACTAAAATAAGCTTTTTAAGTCAGATCTTTTCTTTTTTTTTAAATCTTCAGATTACGCGCGTTGCGAAGAATCGGAAGATTATTTTATATCTAATTTATAAAAAAAAACTCTTTATTTTCTAAAATTAGTAGTAAAAAATAATCTTTTCTAAAGCCTGTATACAAGCTTAAAAACCACTATTTTACTTTAATCGGAAGAAGATATTAATAATATAAAACAGTTTTTAGAAAGATATATTATTTTTTAATAAAATCTTTTATATTTACTATACTGTATATCTTTATATCTTATAACACCCGGGAATTAAAAACTTAGAAATTAGTTCTATAAGCTACTATTTTTATAAGAATTATAAAAAGAAAATACTATTAGTAATATTTAAGTAAATAATCAGCCAGATACTAAATAAAAGACTATTATAGATATTTACTTATTTTTTAAAGATAAATTTTTTCTAATTATTATTTTTTCTAGGCCTCTGCAGCTTATAATAAACAGAAATTTCAGAATTAAATCCTATACTTTATAATTACCTGTTGCTTATTATTTTAAACTGTCGAGTATATTTAATTTAAATAGATAATTAATCTTACGGTTTTATTTTTCTGCTGAAAATTAAGTTTTTTTAATTAAATATAAATTAAAAAACATCTCTTAGAGTTGTTAAAAGATATATATATATAACTATTATTAAAGTTTTTAAATATTAAACAAATATCGATTATAATAGACTATTGGATTAGTCCTAATTAAAAAGTATTTCTTACTTTAACTAGATATTTTTTAATAAAAGATATAGATTACTACGAAGTTCTACTGGGCTTCCAACTAGTATCTAAATCTTATATTAATAAAAATCTAGCTATAATTATTCTATTAGTTTTATATAAATATAATCTATTCTATTAGTTATTAGATATAACAACTGATAATACTAATAATAATAGTTTAATATTTAATATAATTTTATTTAAACTCCGGACTCAGCTTAGCCAGAGTATTCAGCTTTATAATATTTTATTCTATCCTAATCTTATAATAATTATTTAAAGCCAGTATTATATATTTTGTTTAATTTATATAATTCAGCTTGTGGTTAATACTTTTCTATAAAAACTTCAGATTAAAGCCTTAAATAGTAATATTAAATATATATAAAAGATTTATAATAGAAGTCTTAAAGCCTTTTCTAGTATTTTAAAAACTTTTAAAAAAGTATATTCTAAAAGCTATCTGTAAAAGACTAATACAAAAAGTTTTTATTATTTATAATAGAGACTATTTAAATTAGTTTTTTACAGACGGGTTCTAAAGATCTTTTTTTAATAATAGCTAATTTTACTGATTCTTGATTATAGATTCGGAAGATTATATAATTTATAAATATAAATTTTTAATACTGTAAAAAGTTTTAGCTTATTTAATAACTTAAATTAGACTTAGTCTACTATCTTCTTCTTAACTATAAAACTTGCTGAAACTTAATTTATCTTATAATTTACTAAATATTTAATTTTTATTAAATAATTAAAAGTTTTGTTCAGTACTGTAATTATAGTAATATTAATTATCTTTATTTTACTATAACTAAGTAGAAATAGATAGAGTATCTTCTTAAGTTTTTATATCTTTTTTTTTTTTATATTCTGTTTATCTAAGAACAGTAGGCCTACTGTTTATAAGATTTATAATATTTATAATAATTTTTTTAATTATCTAGATTATTTAATCAACCGACTGGTAAGAAAACAGGCACTCTAAAAAAAAAGATTCTTGGAGGCTTATAGAATATATATTAAAAATTTTAAAAATACTACTATTATATTTATCAGACAGAAAACTATATTTATATAATTATAACTAGAGTGGCTAACGGCCAGGTCAGGTCAGGTTAATTGGAATTTTTATACCTGACCGCCAGGTTATGGCCAGGTTAAGGAAATTTTTATATCTAACCGTAGTATAGCTAAAAAAAAGACGGTTAATTATTTTAACTGTTCTTAGTACTAAGACCTGTCCGCTATACCTATTTAGGCTTTAGTATAGTTAAGATATATCCAAATTAAGCAGTTATTAACCTGACTATTTTAACTGTTGTCTAAAAATATATAAAAACAAGCTTTTAAAATCAGAAAAAAATAACTAAAAGAAGTATTAGTATCTTCTTTATCTCTATCTTAAAGAATTAATTAGAGATTTCTAATAGTATTAACAAAATTCAGCTTTTTATAAAATTATGGTTTTTACAGTAAGAAATATATATAAAGATATATAATTACAGCTCGGTTTAAGCCGTACATCTTAATTATAATATATAATATTAGAAAAACTGTATATTTACCAATAATCGGACTACTAAAAATAAATATACTATTTTTATTCTACTATTCTTCTTCTTACTTTAGCTTAGATAGTCTATTATATTCTTATTTCCATCTAAAAGAGCTGAATTATTTGTATAATAAATTAAACTTAAAAAAAAACCCGTATAATACTATTTATATAGTTTTTCTCGGTAATTATATTTTCCAACAATTACCTTATTAAATATTAAATACTATAAAAATAATCTACTATTTTTATTCTTTTAATCCAGTTAATCTTTTTTACTCTTTTTATCTAGTTAATCTTTTTAATCTGTTTAATCTTTTTAACTCTAAGTATTCCAGAGACCTGCTATTAATTATACTAACCTTACTTTATTTATTTAATTTAACCGACTTTTCTATATAATAATAATATATATCCTAAAGTCTTTCTATATTTTTCTTTTCTTTTCTTCCTCTTTCCATGCTTAAAATTCTTATATTTTAGTACTAAATAGATTAGTTTTTAATTATTTAAACAGCTTTTATAGATACTGTATCTTTTATAGAGGACTTTATATAAGCCTTTTTTAAACCTTTTTTATAAATATTAGAATAATCTAACTAATCTGACTAACCTAACCGACTAAAATAAATAAGATATAGCAGGCGTCTTAACTATATTTAAAATATAATAAATTATATTTATATAAAAGCATATCTTAAAATAAAATAAATTATTTTTATAGAATTTTCTACT